GGGGTACATTGTGAAATTTACAAAAGTACCTTCAATGTATCTTACTTAGATTCACCCCCTCCAACTTTCTTCTTTATCCCCCCTCCTCCCTTCTTAGAACAGTTTAAAAAGTTCTCATGGTTCCATTTTCATACATAAATGTATAGTGTTTCCACTATATTAGCCTTCCTTTACCCTTTCCTTATGCCCTCTCCCCTCCCACTGGTTCCAACCCCCACACAGGACTTGTTTTACCTTCCTGTTTTTCATTTTTTACAAAAGACATTTTTGTTTGTTTATGATGGTTATATAGGGAGTTTGTGACATTTCCTTATATATATGTATTGTACCCCAAATTGGTTCATCCCCTCCATTATTCTCCTTTCTTCCTTAATCCTCTTCTCATGGTGATTTCAACAGGCTTGAATATTCCATGTCCATACCTGTATAGAAAATACATCAACCATATTCACCTTCTTGACTTTCTTCATTTGCCCTTCCCTTAGTGTGACCTGTTTTAGATTCTTGTTGTTCATTGTTTAGGTAGCTGTGGAATTTTTGCCTTGGTATTTTATCTGTAAATGTATTGTGCTTCAGTCAATCCAACCCTCTCTCCACTGCACTTCCTCACCCTCTCCACCCCATCTTGTATTGTTTTAACAGTTTTCTTTTTTTTTTAACTCAGTCAATTTTAATGAAAAAATATTATGCATCAACATGGCATCAATATAACAAATCTCAGGTAGTTTACCTTTTTTTACATTATGACTGAAATTTGGTGTGTATTTTGTATTTATGGTGCATCTCAATTTGGGTGTTAATATTTCTTTTTTTTTATTGTTTTATTATTCATATGTGCATACAAGGCTTGGGTCATTTCTCCCCCCTGCCCCCACCCCCTCCTTTGCCACCCAGTCCGCCCCTTCCCTCTCCCCACTAACCCCCTCAATACCCAGCAGAAACTATTTTGCCCTTATCTCTAATTTTGTTGAAGAGAGAGTATAAGCAATAATAAGAAGGAACAAGTGTTTTTGCTGGTTGAGATAAGGATAGCTATACAGGGAGTTGACTCACATTAATTTCCTGTGTGTGTGAGTTACCTTCTAGGTTAATTCTTTTTTTTTTTTTTTCATTTTTCTTTTATTATTCATATGTGCATACAAGGCTTGGTTTATTTCTCCCCCCTGCCCCCACCCCCTCCCTTACCACCCACTCCACCCCTCCCCTCCCCCCCTCAATACCCAGCAGAAACTATTTTGCCCTTATCTCTAATTTTGTTGTAGAGAGAGTATAAGCAATAATAGGAAGGAACAAGGGGTTTTGCTGGTTGAGATAAAGATAGCTATACAGGGCATTGACTCACATTGATTTCCTGTGCGTGGGTGTTACCTTCTAGGTTAATTCTTTTTAATCTAACCTTTTCTCTAGTTCCTGGTCCCCTTTTCCTATTGGCCTCAGTTGCTTTAAGGTATCTGCTTTAGTTTCTCTGCATTAAGGGCAACAAATGCTAGCTAGTTTTTTAGGTGTCTTACCTATCCTCACCCCTCCCTTGTGTGCTCTCGCTTTTATCATGTGCTCATAGTCCAATCCCCTTGTTGTGTTTGCCCTTGATCTAATGTCCACATATGAGGGAGAACATACGATTTTTGGTCTTTTGGGCCAGGCTAACCTCACTCAGAATGATGTTCTCCAATTCCATCCATTTACCAGCGAATGATAACATTTCGTTCTTCTTCATGGCTGCATAAAATTCCATTGTGTATAGATACCACATTTTCTTAATCCATTCGTCAGTGCTGGGGCATCTTGGCTGTTTCCATAACTTGGCTATTGTGAATAGTGCCGCAATAAACATGGATGTGCAGGTGCCTCTGGAGTAACAGTCTTTTGGGTATATCCCCAAGAGTGGTATTGCTGGATCAAATGGTAGATCGATGTCCAGCTTTTTAAGTAGCCTCCAAATTTTTTTCCAGAGTGGTTGTACTAGTCTACATTCCCACCAACAGTGTAAGAGGGTTCCTTTTTCCCCGCATCCTCGCCAACACCTGTTGTTGGTGGTGTTGCTGATGATGGCTATTCTAACAGGGGTGAGGTGGAATCTTAGTGTGGTTTTAATTTGCATTTCCTTTATTGCTAGAGAACACCCACAGAGTGGGAGAAAATATTTGCCAACTATACATCAGACTAAGGACTGATAACCAGAATATACAGGGAACTTAAAAAACTAAATTCTCCCAAAACTAATGAACCAATAAAGAAATGGGCAGGTGAACTAAACAGAACTTTCTCAAAAGAAGAAATTCAAATGGCCAGAAAACACATGAAAAAATTCTTTTTGATCTAACCTTTTCTCTAGTTCCTGGTCCCCTTTTCCTATTGGCCTCAGTTGCTTTAAGGTATCTGCTTTAGTTTCTCTGCGTTAAGGGCAACAAATGCTAGCTAATTTTTTAGGTGTCTTACCTATCCTCACCCCTTCCCTTGTATGCTCTCGCTTTTATCATGTGCTCAAAGTCCAATCCCCTTGTTGTGTTTGCCCTTGATCTAATGTCCACATATGAGGGAGAACATATGATTTTTGGTCTTTTGGGCCAGGCTAACCTCACTCACGAATGGATTAAGAGAATGTGGTATCTATACAGAATGGAATTTTATGCAGCCATGTTTTAACAGTTTTCAGTGTGTTTTGTTATGCCTTGTTCTTGCACAGATTTGGTGTGACTATATAGTGGCACTGTTGAAAGAAGTGCCACTTTAGTGTCCTAAAGTGTTAGGGACAGTGAGTTAGATACTGCTTTCCACCATCAGTGTAAATTTCAGGTTATCCTTGTTTCCACATGTATGTTCAAAGACACACATACCCAGCATACCCCACAATACACACCAGATCCTAGAAACTTTTTTGATTATTTTTTTGCTCGTCTTGTTTTCTTAACCTCTTTTAGAACATGTAGGAGAGTTAATAACATTTTTATTTCTTATTTTTTTGGTGATACTAGGGTTTGAACTCAGGGCTTCACATTTGCTAGGCAGGCATTCTACCTCTTAAGCCACTTTACCAGCCTTTTTATTTTTTTTTTTGTATTTACTTATGACCTATGCACATTCTCCCGTACACTTTATTTATTTATTTTTGCAGTACTGGGGTTTGAACTCAGGGCCTACACCTTGAGCCAGCTCTTTTTTTTGTTTTTTGTTTTTTTTATTCATATGTGCATACAATGTTTGGGTCATTTCTCCACCCTCCTCCCACCGCCTCCCTTACCACCCTCTCTGCCCCCTCCCTCTCCCCCCTCACTCTCTCCCTCTCCCCCCCACCCCCTCGATACCCGGCAGAAACTATTTTGCCCTTATTTCTAATTTTGTTGTAGAGAGAGTATAAGCAATAATAGGAAGGAACAAGGGTTTTTGCTGGTTGAGATAAGGATAGCTATACAGGGAGTTGACTCACATTTGATTTCCTGTGTGTGTGTGTTACCTTCTAGGTTAATTCTTTTTGATCTCACCTTTTCTCTAGTTCCTGGTCCCCTTCTCCTATTGGCCTCAGTTGCTTTTAAGGTATCTGCTTTAGTTTCTCTGCATTGAGGGCAACAAATGCTATCTAGTTTTTTAGGTGTCTTACCTATCCTCATATTACCAGTCTTTTTAAAAGGCTGTACATTTATTAGTTATACAGGGGTTTCATTGTGATATTTCCATATATGCTTACAATGTACCTTGGTTAAGTTCATCCCTTCCATCATTCTCCCTCATCCCCCTTCCCCTTAATATGATTTCAAAATGTTTCATTGTTTTATTTTCATGTGAGTATATAGGGTACATCTACCATATTCACCCTCCTTTATCCTCTTCATTCCCCCTCCCCCACCCTCCAGTACCCACCTCCTAATAGGATCTCGTTTATATTACTGTCCTTCGCTTGTTAAAGTGTATATGCATTGTTCAAAATGGCTTTGCGGTGGTATTTCATTTGTGAATATATTGTACTTCAGTAAGATTAACCTCCTCTATTACTCTTCCTTACCCTTTCCGTCTACCCCATCATTCAACTGCTTTCATTATAATTCATTATGCCTTCTTCCTACACAGATGCAATGTATTTCAATATTATTCACTCTCTATCCTGTCTTTTCTTCTTCCTCTTCCCCCAGTCCACTCAAAAAGTCCCACTATTGTAAACATGTTATATAGATAGACATGTGTATGTATGTTTATATTTGTCTATATGCTTACCTTTTGGATCTAGCTTACACAGATGAGAGAAAACATGGAATCTTTGTCTTTCTGAAACTGGAAATGACAATTACATCTTTTTAATGACTTAATAATACTCTTGCGTGTGTGTATCACATTTTCTTAATCCATTTATATCAGTTGTAGGACATTTGGGTTGTTTCTGTAACTTGGCTATTGTGAGTAGTGTTGCAGTAAACATGGTTTTGCACATGTCTCTATTGTATCCTGACTTAACATTCCTTCAGGCATATGCCCAGGAATGGTATTGTGGTATCAATATGGTAGTTATATTTTCAATTTTTTAAGGAACTTCCATACTACTTTCCATAGTGCTATACTAATTTACGTTCCCACCAACAGTGAATAAAGGTTACTTTTTCCCCACATCCTTGCAAACATTTGTTGTTGTTTGTGTTCTGATGATGGCCATTCTGGAAAAGCCAGTAACATTTTTATTTCAGAGTTATAGCAAGATTGATGCAGACCTGGAAAAATCTGGAAGATCGTGTTAATGATTATGGATTTTAGTATTTCAATAGGAAAGATACTTGTTTTCAACAAACAAATGGTTTACTAAATTTTAATGTATGATATTGAAAAATATTTGTAAGATAATTTGGCTCATTTTAATGGAACTTCTTAATTATCTATTTGAGACTATTAGTAATTACCCAATAATTTTATAAGCATAAAAGATAGATTAGTACCTTATAAACTGTGTTTAAGATGCTAATGTGTGTGGAATGGTAAATAGGCAGTGGTTGGGGGTGGGGACTAGAGTGGGGGAATTGGGAGGAAAGTATGTCCAAAACAGTTTAGAATAAATTTTCATGCATTTTAGTTTGAATTACTTTTGTTCATTGTAGTGTTTTCATTTTGTGAGCTTTTCTATGCACATACAAAATGTTTCTCCTCAGGCCCCCTTGTATTTGCTGGTCCTATTTTTATGAACCACCGAGAACAGGCTCTAGCCAGACTCAGATCCCATCCAGCACAGCTAAAGCATAAGCGGGACAAGCACAAAGGTATTTGGTCTTCCTTATCAACTAGGCGGGATGCTCTCCCAGTTTCTTCCACTCATTTGAATTTTGTCTTTGGGGAAAATGCACAAGGCTGACTTCTTCTGCTTTGCTTCTGTCGTTATTACACAGCCTGAGGAGAAAGCATATGCTGGAGTGTACTGTTTGTCAGTGTCAGTGGCTATCATGCTTCTCCTGTCATTGTCTGTTGTGGTTAGCTTTAATGAAGATGATATTATATAGTATACCTTTTCCATTTCATTTCACATGTCACAAAATTAAAAGAAGGTGGGAAAAATATTGTTGCTTTCTAATTTTTATCCTTTAATATTTGATGTACATCACTGTGATGTGGCATTTTATAGTCATTTTAAAATGCTTTAGACTTGACAAAATTATTAAATGCAATATACAAAGTTATGTTAAGACTGCTGTTGTATTTTTCTACTTCTTAAATATTAAGATTTACAGCACGTGAATATACAAATATTTGAGATTTAAAGATTAAATAGAGATAGATGTCTGCCAAGAGTGAGTCACATACATACACCTGCTTTCATCCTTGGTATTGGTCAGAGTTCTGATCAAGTCTATGAGGGTCTAAAAATCTATTTCTGCATTGTTCTTTGAGATGTCAGAGTTCTGGGTTAATTTAAAGTATTCCTAAGGTATGCTTATTTTTGTTTTAAGACACTAATTATGGCTCAGCTAACATTAGGAAAGAGTTTATTGCATAAAAAATTTTAATTTATGCATAAATTATGAGTTAAATTCTGACATGGTAACCAGGGACTCTTCACTTTGCTAGTCCAACATACAGATGCTGTTTTCTTAAATGCTTAAGATAAACCCTAAAAAAATAGAATAAGAAGAGAATATAGACATATTAATTAGTATTGTGTCTTATTTTTTATTTGGGTGGAAAACTTATAGTTTCATTAAAAAAAACCTTTGATATGCAATGTAGTATAATCAGCCTTGTTTTCATTTGCTTTTCTCAATCTGTCAGCTTGCCACTCAAAGCAAAACCACAAAGCAAAACAGACAATACTTCTATTTTTAGTAAAATCCCAAATAGAAAGCTCAAAACTTAAGGTGTATTCTGCATAAATAAAATTTGAGAATGTTTTAAATATCATGGTAATTAACCGTAGTAAGATTTGTGTTTGTATTTACTGAGTATTCTAAAAATATCATAACTATTTAAGCCTAAGGAATAATATTTGGAGTATGCTATGTAAATTATGTTACTTACTGCCAAAATCACTGATCTCTTACGCCACTATTAAAACAGGTTTCCTCAGTGTTCCCTCAAGTATATAAAAGTAGAATTTTTCTGAGACTGCTGGAATTCACATCTCATGAAATATTTAAAGTGTTAGTATCATATGACTTCTCAGCCTTGTGGCTAAGATCAAGTGTAAACGTTAACATCTTATAAACAAGTGTATTTATTTTTTTCTAGATTTTTAAATGAAGTGCTAAATAAAGACCCAGATTACAAATTTAAAGGAGACTTTTTCCAATGTCACATAATTATTAGCCATAAAAACTGTTAACAATAGCTAGACTTCAGTCAATTTTTTTCCTCCCACAAGGGTGCTCTTTGTGTAATTGTAACCTTTTTGGAAGGCCTTACTTTGTATATTACAGTATAGAACCTGGTTTATTTATATATATATATATATTATTTTGGATTTTCTAGTTTTATCTCCTTAATCCCAAAATGAATGTACAATGCAAATAGTAACATCAAATGGTGCCCTATTTACATAAAGTATTAATTTACCCTTCTCTAATTCCTATCTACCCACTAACCCTTTACATTCACTGTCCTGGCTTTTATTCATCTCTCCATTCACTGCTTTTACTACATGTTTTCCTAGTCTTTTAATTTTTTCCTTTTATTTCTTCTCTCTTTTATACCATTTGTCTTCTAGCTCATCCACTGGGAAGTTCAGTATACTAATTGCTGTTTTCTGTTTTACATTTAATTATGTTGTTAGTACAGATTGGATGATACTGTTAAAATGTTCTAGACTATGACTTTCTTAAGGAGTCAGAACTGTGGATTTATTAACAGGAGTGATTCCTAAGATGGAAAGTTGGAGAGCTTCTGTCTAATTGGAAAGAAGTCAGAGATCATGGAATGGCAAATTTTGACTAAAGGCACAATAGAGTATTTAAGGCTCAGCAATAAATAGAGTCCCATTTAACATAATCAGTTATTCTAAAATGTTATCAGAAACTATATTTCATTTTTAACATTTGTTTTAGAAGTTCAATACCATACATACATTTCAGTATATACATAGTTAGGAACATCTGAATTGTCCTAGAAATAGTCTTGGAATCTCTTTTAAAGTAACGAATGTGTATTTCTGAAGTCATGCTTGCTAGTCATGCTGGGTGTATTTTGCACCTGATTTCTCTTTGGAAATGGTATGGTGTAATGGAAGTATTATGGCCTTTAGAACTAGGATTCAGTTATCTTAAATTTGCTTACTCAAACTGCATGGCTGCTCATGAATTTGTTAGGCTCCCTGGGGTCAGTGTCTTTATTTTAAAAATAAGAACAATAATTCACAATGGTTGCTATGAAGATTAAAATTTATGTCACACATACAGTCTTTGCACATAGAAATCCTCCATGAACACTAGCTTTAATTCTTTGAAATAAATTATTTGCTTCCTCTTAGAATTCTCCTGAAGATACAAAATTTGATTCATTAATTACATAATTTTTTATTTTTACACAGTATTTCATATGCCGACTATTTTGTGATAGAAAAATGTGTGAGCCTTATTTATGTTAAAACTCCAAGTATGCCCTACCATTTATGTCTTTGGGCTGGTTATTTAATCCCTTAAGTATTTAGTTTAGTCACTTAATCCCTTATGGCTCAGTAAAATTAAAAAAAAACCTGTCTCGTTGGACTTCTGTTTTAATTAAAGAATGCAACAATAGTGAATGTTGATTGCACATTTTTCATATATTATTTTACCTAATCCTCCTGAGAACCTTATGAGGTGATCTACCATTGTTGCTATTTCATAGGTGAGAAAGCTAAGATTTAAAAGCCCAATGTTCAGTTGGATTCTGATCCAACTCTGAGGCTCCAGTACCCATAAGCATGTATGCACTGTGGTATTTGTTTTTACATCATTGAACACAGAACACATGCTTAGTAAACTGCAACTGCTGCTGCTCTTGCTGGCTTACTTTAATGATTTTGTTTAAAGTACTTATTCTGTTTTTTGATCATTTTTGTGATGTGTATGACTAAAATTACACTTAAAATTTAGAGTCCCTTAGATACTGAATCTTTTTTCCTATATTTCTGTACATATAGAAATATATACTATGTGTTTTATATTAACATATGCCAAAACTTTAGATGTTATAGTTTTAATATCACATATATATATTCATATGAACATACATTAGGGAAAACACACATATATGCTTTTACTTAAATGGACAATTATAAGATTATTGAGACCTGTTTTCCTATAAATATGAGATTGAATACTCTTTCTGTTAATAATACTGCTCTGAATAATGAGCATGCGCAGAGTTAATCTTGCTGAACTTCACTTGCTGATTCTTGAATTTGCACTAAAGTTTGGCTGCTTTTTAAGTATCCTTTTACTTTGACAAACTTCTATAAATTTCTAAATTATTGTAAGTGTACATGATTTTTTGACATCAAGTCATATTTTTACATATATATGTTTGCCAGTAATCAGGAAACTTAATTTTTACTTACAATATTTTCACCATCTATAATAACTGAAAAACTTTTATGTAGATACAGGTTGTTTAACATCATTCTATTTTTAGATAACTCTTTAACAAAATGTTTCTATTAGGCTTTTGACCTCTAAGTAATAGTCATTATGTTTTTTTTTTTCAGTAAATTATTAGGCTTTTTCTTTCCCTGATGCTGTCTCTACTATATCTGTTTTCAGTCTATAGTCAAGGGAGGAGACAAAATGCTAACTAAATTCAAAGGGAAAAGTTTCTAACATGACACTGATACATTTATGTAAAGTGAAATGATACTTTAAATGTTCAATTTAGTTAAATCTGGCAAAATCATGTGAATACAACTTGATTTTTAATTAAATCAGACATACTTTTAATAATTAGACATTTTTTGTCTGTTGAGATAAAGTTGTAAAATTTCTTTACATTTGGTGTTTTATTTAAATAGCCTTTAGAAAATATGTATTCCTTTTTTGTATGTAAGTCCTTGTGTGTATTTAACCATCCCACTGTCTTTCCAAGATGAGATTACTTTGAACTAAGAGAATATTTCATTTGGAGTGAAATGAAAAGTTGTGATATTTTTAATCTAATCCACTCTCTCATTTATTTTGGCAAACCCACATTAGAAAATTTAGCAGAACAGAAACCATATTCTTTATCCTATTCTAGTAAAACCACTCACTAATACGTAATTTATGTTACTTTAGATGCAGTATTTGTGATTTTTCCTAAGTAAAAATTTCAAAGTAATTTCTTCCTCTGAATTTTCAGGGTCATACTTTTAAGGGAAAACCTGTCTAAAATCACTAGCTTTTCAAACCAAGGGCTCAAGAAATGAAGGATTCCTTCAACGTGCCTTCAGCCTCTGGGTCCAGCAGTTAATTCTTGTATGTTAAAGGACTTCCATGTTTATGGTACATTTTAATGTAATACTGGCCTGTCTTGAAGTATAATGTAGATGAACACATTTTATTTGTTTTAGCATTTAATTTATAATCTGTATTGCTGAAGGTAACAAAACTGAATTTTTACTTAAATGTTCTATGATCAGTATTTTTCAGTAAGTCACATTAGTCTACCTGTTCCGAATTAGTAAGTCACATTAGTCTACCTGTTCCGAATTAGTAAGTCACATTAGTCTACCTGTTCCGAATTAGTAAGGTTTTGCTGTCTGAGTGTTGTAAAGGGTTTAATGCTTTTCAAAATAGTAGTCATTTAATTGTAGAAAGGGAAGTACAATTTAGGTCAAACTTATCTTACCTGGATTATACTAAAAGTTAAATAAAGAAGAAAGAATAAAATGACTTAATGTTATTCTGATGAACATTCCAAATGAGCAATGAAAATATAGAACTAAAAGTGAGTGTATATATGTATATGCATATTATATCTACTAGTATAGAGTTTCAATAGTACAAGAGAGTGGTTTAGAATAGTTGACCTTCTGGTGAAATTCCTTCCAGATTTACATTTATTCTATGTGCAAGAAACTTGAATCTTGAAGACATACAGCTCATATTTTAGTACTATCATGTAGTTTTTTGATTCAGAAAAGGGAGTTGTCTCTCTTTATACATTCAAAAGTAAAGTTTTTATATTTTGGAATGTAGTTTTTTGATGCTATGATTAGGATGACAGAAAACTCAGTCAGAAGTAGAAACCAGTAGTAAAGAGAATGCTAAAACTAGCTTAATGGAGGAAATTAGAAAAAGAACAGAGGAGGAAAGAAGGAATGAAGACAGAAGGTTTGGTTGAAGACCATGTTGGGGTCAAGAAGAAGGCCACAAAGTAGAATGGCTAAGTACTAAGGTGAGACAGGAGAGTTGAGTGAGAGTAGGCGACCAATCTATACTATCTTGAATAAAGTTCCTTGGTCTTCAAAGTTTTTAAAGTGTAGTTGAGTTTAGCAATGCTGGTGGACAATAAGGCGTTCCTGAGATCTGTTTGGAAAATCCAAATCACCTATGAGTCAACTAGGAATTTTTTTAAATGGCAAGTACTAACAATATCATTAAGAAAAATAATTATTAAATGACTTTGCATGCAGTTATTTTTTATGAAAACTAAATTTTCTCATATAAACTTTTAAGTTTTACATTTACAATTTTATTTCTGTAACTTAATTATCCATTTTCATTGTATAACTGACCAGCTTAAAAGGTTTTATCCATAACTAGATCATATGTCTATTTTTATTGATTTAGTGATGTTTGCAACTCTAAGTACACTGTGTATCTTTTCCAGTTTGCTTCTTTGCAGGTAGATTCTTATCTTTTCACTTCTAACAGCTGCAGATTCTTCCTGCTTGTTCCTTTTAACATTTTTCTCTTGTTCTTCCATAGTAAACTGATTTAAAATTTTATTTGAAACTTGAATAATTTCTTAATTACACATATAACACTTACAGATGGAAGTGGAGAAAGAGGAGACAAGGATGCAAGCAAAATCACAACTTATCCTCCAGGCTCTGTGCGATTTGACTGTGAGCTGCGGGCAGTACAAGTCAGCTGTGGATTTCACCATTCAGGTAGCAGCTGGAACTTTAGGGTATAACTGCATTTTTACAGTTGTGCTAAATAACTTGTTTAGTTTTGATGGACATAGTGTTAACTGTGTGTCTGTGGCAGTATCTCTCAAGTTATAAGAGCTTTGTATCTATTATGAAATGTCTTTTAAAAAGTGTGCAAAAACTAATTTCTAGTCAGTCGTCTCATGGGTTTTATAATTCAGTTCAAGAAATTGTTGAGATGGAATCCCTTTCAACTGTAAAATGCTGTGGTTAATAACATGTTCTGTATTTTGTTAATGTTCAATGAGAAATGGGCATATCAAATTTCTCTATTATCTTAATATGTACAAAATAATTCTTAGTAAATTATGGACATGCAGGTTAAATAGGTTAGGTTGTATTCTTCAACCTTTATAAAAATTAAAAACTGATAAATATATTTCCTTGCCTGATGAGGCATTGATAGACTTTAAAGGTCTACCATGTCATTGATGCTATACATAATTATGTACAGCTCCAACCCATCTGCTACCTATAATTATCTAGATATTAGAGAACAGTATTTTAAATGTAATATACCCATTGTTAAAATTTTACAATTGACCTCAATCAGTGTCATTAAAAATTGTTATTAAATGTCATTTTTAAGAATTTTAATGTATTAGGAAAAGCGTGTTCTATGACCTACAAATACTTTTCAAATCTAAAATTGCACTAATTTTTCATTAAATATAGATTTTGCTTGGCTTCCATTACCTGTTTTTAATGACCCTATACATTTTAAACAAGAAAAATTATATTGCCTTCAGTACAGTTATGATAGAAATATAAAATGCATATAATGAAGACAATAAAGCTGTGTTTTGGTTTCAGTGGTTTTAATGGAAAATGGAGATGTCTATACATTTGGATATGGGCAGCATGGACAGCTGGGCCATGGGGATGTCAATTCCAGGTACTTACCTTCTTTTCCTTTAGATACTAGACCTTTAAATTCTTTTTATCCAACCTATTTTGTTTTGTTTCTTTCTGTCTCTTTCTCCTACGTATATATTATGTTTCTAGAATTGAAAAAAATACTTACCATTTTACAAAACTCTAGCCTATTGGTGGTTCTTGATTGTATGGTTGAGTGATTCTGTGGGGTAGGTGATTTTATAGTTGAAGGAAAAAAGTTGATTTACATTTTATGCATTTTAAATGTGAGTGATTACGATTATTACAAAATCCAAACAGATTCTTATTCTATTTTTAAAGGCTATACATGGCAATAGAAAAAACAATGACTATCCCCAAATTGTTGTTTTAAAGGTCTGAGTGGAATTTTTTATTTTTTTTGACAGTAGTGGGGTTTAATCTCAAAGCCTTGCACTTGCCAGGCAGGTGCTCCACCACTCGCATCACGAATTGTGTTTTTTTAAAGCATCAACAGTACAGCTGGGGGCACAGCTCAGTGGTAATCACAGTTGCCTAGTGTTCATGAGGCCCTGGGTTCAATCCCCAGCTGCACTGATAGGTAGGTAGGTAGGTAAGTGGGTGGGTGAGATAGATGGTGGATAGATAGGTAGATAGATAGATAGATAGATACATAGGTTGGTAGGTAGATAGGTAGGTAGGTAGGTAGATAATCAGAAATGGATTTAGTCATGGTCTTGATATATTGTTGGTTTTGAAATGCATATCTGATGTTAACATAAAGATATTAAAGCTCTTGAATAATTTTTAAATGAAATCCTTTTGGTCTTTCTGATAAACTGTATTTTGACTTACCCTGAGTAACAAAGAATAATTTGTAGAAATACTTTGTAGTCATTTTTTAATATCCTTTTTTCCTACTTCGGTTGATAGTAGAGTTTCAGTAGCTGAAGATGATCTCTCTCAGCCTCCATTACATTGGGATGTGACATGTGAACTAAAGTAACATGAACAACTTTGTAATCATGTTGTTACAGAAAGGAAGTGGAGATGTCATCATGTAGATGACCAGAATGACAGAGCAACAAGTTAGAAATAGCTTAGGTCCCTGACACCATAAACTGCCGCATCAGTTTCTTACAATTAGACATTACTTAAGTGGAAGTAATCTTCTACCTTAAGTCCTTGTTAACTTTGACTTTCATTACAGCAGCCAAGTCCATATCCTACTTAATATAATCAGAGTGTTTGGGTCAAAAGTAGTAGAAAATCCATCCTTCTTAGTTCATATTTTCCAAGAAGGAGATGTCAATACAGGAATATATGTGCAAAGGATTTATGAGGGGAAAAGCAGGAAAAGAGCAGGCCTAGAAAGGGAAAGCCTTTAGACATGTTGTTGTGGGCTCACTGTTTATGAAAGGAAAGAGGCAAGTCAGGTTTGAGTAGGAATGGTCTAGATTACAGTGCAACTTTGAGAGTGCTTTATCCAGGACAATTGGATGTTCCCAAGCTGGGATTGCCTTTGAAAGAGTCCTACTAGTTATTAAGTAAAACCGTTCTTTTTCACTGTGTAATGAACTTGTGAGGCAAGGATGCAGTTATGCCATATATGTGATAGAGACCAATGATTCCATTATCGGTGTGTGTGGAGGACTTGGCAACTTTTTCTCTGTTTCTCACTGAAGACTTATGACACAGAAGAAGCAGATTTATTATCATCACTACCATTATTATTGTTGTTTTTTAGCTGGTAATTATTTTGTGAGTCATGCAAACTTCTAGTTATATTGTAGTTAAATGTGATAATGCCTCAGACGTGAACAGCAAAAAAGGGCACTTTTTTCATAAATTGGACTTTATAGTTGGATGTTATTTCATAGAAAATAATTATTGAACAGCTGTATTTTGTGTTCTTGACTGAGTGGGAAGTGAAATAGTAAAAATAATAACTAGTCTCAAATCCCAGCCCTCAGGTTGTGTTATCTTACTGTGCAATGTGAAGAATGAGCAGCATAAGTCAAGATCCTGCCATACCACATGAAGCTGTAAGGGCTATTGAAAGGGAGGTTACTCAAGTCAGCTGCTAAAATGAAGAGGCTACCTAAAAGCATTGCTTTGTGGTCTGATTATACCAGTGAGCACCATTCCTTAATTTGCAGTGACTTCTTGAGGTGACAAAAATCACTGAAGTGTGCTCAGTATCTCAGTATCTTGAATAGCTTGAATTTATTATTGTCATGAAATATGATAGTTTTCAGTATTAGAACAAATAACTAGATTTGGTTTTTTTTTGTTTGTTTGTTTTAGGAAGTTTAAACTTTGGTGAAGTCCATTTTAACTATATAGTTATTCTTTTCCAATGTGAAAAGTTTTACTCCTGCTTCTGTTGATTGACTTGTAGCTGGAAGGCTGGTGACATGTGGCATGTGCAGTGCTAAACTGAATAATACAGTATAGTCTACGTGTACGCTGCTCCCAGTAGATTAGCAATTTATCAGAAGCATTTCTGTCTTAACCATTCTAGTTACTCTGGTGGTCTGAATTTGTGTGGGACTTAAAAAGCAGGAACCAAGAATTGTATTGTTATTTTGGGAAGGAGTTGATCACTTATTTGGTGGTGTAATCCCAAGAAGAGCAGTCCCCCTATAACACACATATTAATTACCATAAAATAAAATATTTATAAATATCTAGTTGAAATAAAGTTTATAGTTGGAGGATATTTTTGAAAATCATCTTCTTTACCACTTGTTAGCAACTATGTGATTGTAATTTTTCTCAGCTTTAGATTTCTTAACTCATTGCATTATTGTAGAATTAATATGTGTAAAGTGCCTGGCATGTGAACATGAAAAAAAAAGTATATATATAGTAGTATATTGCTGCTTTTCTGCTTTCCAAATAATTTAACAAGTGGGATCACAAGTCTCACAGAAAGAATTCAAAGGTCCTGGACTCAAAACCCTGCAATCAACCTTTGGGTTGATTATATGAAAATGCTTTGAAACTGTTTGACTTGAACTATATTCATCTGTGTGAGCATTAGTTCACATAGCCCATTGAGGTGGTTGTTCATTTGCCAAAATTTCCTGTACTTCAGAATTAAGAACCACACCTTTTCATTGCTATTCATACCCATATTATTCAGGTAACAAAATGACTACTTTTTGGAGACATGATCATTCTGTTGTACTCTCCCTTTATTCCTACCTACCTGTGAACCACTGTCATTTATCACTGAAAATTTAGTGTCTGGCTCACTGTGTTTTCTTACTCTGAGTCTTATTACAGTCATAAGTGACTTTAGTATCTTGCAAATGATTCCATGTAGTATTCTTATTTTAACACACACTAATGATCATTATTTCCATCTCCATGAAGGTCCTTTCCATGAACCCTAGCTGGATCTAACACATAGTGTAATTGATTGTGACCACCATCTTGTTGCTTTTTTTTTTTCTTTTGGTACTATTGGGGTTTGAACTTCAGCTTGAGCCATTCCCTCAGCTCTCCAACTGTGAATTCTTAAGTTTAACCATCTTTAATGACTGTTTCTTCCTGTTAAATATAGCCCTATTGTACTTGTCTTTATTTCTTACAACACTTTGTACTTTATTTTCTGTCCAAGTTAAGGATTATTTCATCTCTTCGCTTATACTCTTAGCAGTATCTTCAATTTTTTCACCACCTGGGTCCTGTTATTAGGATGTGGTAAAAATTTGCATCAGTCAATCTGTGTTTTTCAAGCTTAGGCTTCTAGAAAGAAAGAAACCACCACACCTGTACAGATTGTTGCATGATTTTCAGATCCAATCTATCCATGTACAGTGGACAGTATTACTGCTGTTTTGCAGTTTCACACTTATTTAAGACCTGTTGAGAATTTGATGAAATATACAGGCTCACTCTTCAGAAAAACAGAATATATTTTCTATAATATAATTTAGAAGAATATAAAAGTTTGTTTACAAATTTGAAAGTTCTGAGGTCTCCTGAAGTTCACTCATAGACTTCCTAGAAGTCCTTTTCAATTTAGCATAAAAGTCAGTCCTTTCATTCCTGATCAAGAGATTCATTTGTTCCCTTTACTACTAAGTGAGCAGATTGCCTTTAATGTTTAAGCTGTCTGCTCGCCCATTCCCTCCTTCCCTCAGCACAGGCTCTCCATTCACATCACAGCCAAAGGAAAAATGACTATGCAGGAAACTCTCAACCTACCAACCATGCAAACCTACCTACACCTGTTTACATTTCTCCGTTTCTTTCCTCATGGTACAGTGAGAAACGGACCTGCTTTGTCCATGTGGTAGAGACTTCTGCCTTTTCTTTAGGATCTACCTTTTCCTTCTCTGATCTCTATTTTTAGTCTTTTATCTCTGCTCATGTTTCATCAAGTCTCTTATCTTGAAAAGAACAAGCCTCTTCTTCAACTCCATTTTTTCATTTAGCTGTTGGGTTCTCCTTTCTTTTTCTCTTTATTGGTGGGATACTTTAAAGGTTTTTGCCTATTCTCAGCCCTACTGTTAACTTTGCGTCTACTACAGTGTGGTGCCTTGCTTCTACCTTCCACCAAGGAGACTTTTTTCTGCAGATCAGGTAATCACTCCTGTGTCTCTTACTTGCATTTGACAAGTAACTTGTTTCTCCCTCTTGACATCTTCTCCAATGGCTTTCCTCATGCCACATTTTCCTAGATGTCTATAAATTCTTCTGTCTATACCCAAAGTGTTAGAAGAGACTTATGAGGAAAATTAGTGTCTCTTTTTTCCTCTTCTAATAACCTTCATAGATTTCATTCCTTTTCATGGTGTAAGTGATTAAGTAAAAAACCTCCCTTGCCCCATAGCCAATCATCTGCTGAGTGTCATCATGTCTTTGACTCAAACATTCTTCCTAGTTCAGGCCTTAATCATATTTCACCCAAACTTTCATGAAATTTTCTTAACTGTGTTTCCAGCTGTTATTCTTGCTCCTTTCTAGCTCATTTTTCATTGAATTCTGAATAAACATTAAAAGTATGTATTTTATGTAATTTTAGAAAATTCAAGGTTATCATAATTACATTGTTTTCAGAAGCAAAGCCTTCCTTTTGTGTGGGGACTATTTCTATAGTGATTATTCTAATTATAGATACTAAAAATGGTTAGTAAAAGTAAGAAAGGATAGTAGGGTGTCATTTACTATAATAGTTGCCATTTAGTGTTTGGTGTGTGCCAGACACTGATCCAAGTACTTGCCGTATATGAGCTTCCTTATTATTCACAGAGATCACATGGAGTCGACACTAGTTATTATATTCTCCATGTTATAGAAGAGAACCAAAACACATAAAGTATAGATGGCTTACTCAAAGTCCTGGTCTCATTGCTCTCAAGCCTGAGCTTATAGCTGCTGTTGTACCACCTCTCAGAATGCATATCCTGACTCACTGATGACTGTGTTCACATCTAAGATTGCAGCTTCATGGTAAAAGTTAGAGGATTATAAATTAATTCACCTCATTCCTGATTGAATTCCTGTTAACGTGTCATGATTTTTATTTTGTCCAACAAATATTTCTAGAGCTCTCTAACATGCTGTTCAGTGTACAGGGTTAAAAGATTTTTCCTTTTAAAGTGAAGATAGCACCAGTACTTCGGAAAAGTTAAAAATTATGTGTCCATAGTTAGGGTAGTAAATTCCTCAGATTTTTAAAATAATCTCTTTAAAGTCATTTTCATCTTTGTTTACCTAGGACCTAGCATGGACACATACATATAGCACTTAGTAAGTGATTACTGAATGTTCTTAGCAGCGCCTTTTATCCTTTATCCTCATTGCACTGTTTATTTATTGTTTTCTATTTCAGTTAAGTCATGTAAGAAATTGACTTAATTTTTTTTTTTTTAAACCTAGGGGATGCCCCACTCTTGTTCAAGCCTTGCCAGGCCCTAGCACACAAGTCACTGCAGGCAGCAACCACACGGCAGTCCTTCTAATGGATGGACAGGTCTTCACATTTGGAAGTTTTTCTGTAAGGAATTTTTTAAGCATTAATAATACTGCATATACCATTGCCTTATGATTTGTCTACATTACTTTTTCTGATTCTAATGAAATTCATGTATTGTTTACATGTGTAAATTTCTTGCCCCTCTACACACACAAACATGAATGACATTCTTTCAGGTAACTTTCATTTCCAGTTCAGCATTAGAATCTATTGAATTTAACAGCTGTGAACTTGTTTGTTCCAGATCAAACCCCCTAAACATTCAAGAGTTAATTCTGTCATTTGAAAGGTTGTTTCTCATCTAATTTGTAAAGATTCATTTTTCCCAACATATAGAACTTTTTAAAAGCCTGCTTTTTTAAGATTAAATTTGTTTAAATTTATACTTTCCTTTTATCCTCTCTCTTTCTCTGTGTCTATTTGTATGATTTTCCTATTTCTTTCTCTTTCCTAAAACTTTGAAAAGAGTAAAAATGTTCTGAGACTTTTGTATAGTTTGGGCATGGAGGATATCCAGAAAAATTTTTCTAAGACTATGCTAATAAACCTGTACTAAAAAACTTATGTTTCTTGATTTTTAAAAAAACACAGATGTTAACTTTAAAATTATCTTTCATTTGGAAATGATTTCAGGAACTTACAGAAAGGTTGAAAAATATAAAGAGTATGGGGTCTGGATGTGTTGGTGCACATCTGGGATTAATATCTTAATTCCGACTATTTGGGAGATGGAGATTAAGAAGATCATAATTCAAGGCCAGCCCTGGTAAAAAGTTTAGTGAGACCTCATCTCAACCACCAAACTATGTACATGTGTAAATCCAGATATTGGGAAGGCATAGGTAGGAGGATCATGGTCAAGGCTGGCCCCTGGAATAAGCTTAAGACCCTATCTAAAAAGTGACTTAATGCAAAAAAGACTGGAGTATATGCCTTAAGTGTTAGAGTGCCTGTTTAATAAGTGTGATGCCCTGAGTTCAAATCCCAGTACTATTAAAAAAAAAAGTATATAGTATACTTGTACACTCTTTGACCATATTCATCTGTTGTTAATATTCGATGTGCTTACTTTTCACGAGTGCAGATGTTCTCTCCTACTTTTTGTGTGTGCATGCACAAATGTGTTTGTATGTGTGTATACATTAAACATGTTCCTCTACATCCTTTAAAAATGATGTTTACACACTCTAGCTCTTTACTCCTCTGTTGTTTAGTTTGTTTTTTTTCAGTTGACTCAATAATTATGTTTTGGAAATTTTCCCCCTCCAGTATAGGATTAGGCATTGCATTTGTTTGTCATACCTGTTTCATTGCCTTTAACCTATATGATACTGACATTTTTGAAGAATATATAATGCTTTTTAAAAAATGGAATGTTTCTCATTTTTGTGTCTGTGTTACAAAAATAGTAATCTCAGGCAAATTCCTTCTGTCCCCTTTCTCTAGCATCCTTGCTGCCCAGGCCCTGCACTTTATATTTGTAGGTTACCAACACCATTGTCTTCCAGTTTGTTCTTCCTGTTTCTTCTTGTAAAGGTGAATAAGCACGTATGCGTGTGTGCACACACCCCCGCCCTTGTAGGTACTTATATGCACCTGTGTGTACATAGAATGATGTCCTCATCATTACTTTAATATATCTCCTAGGAAGTGCTCCATACTAGTTTATTCTTTTTCTTAAACTTCAGCATAGCACTCTGTGTGTATACACTATAGTTTATCAGTCACCTTCTTATACTTAGACAGTTAAGAACTTGCCAGTGTTTCACAGTAATGAATATTGATAGAGGTGGATCTTTGGGGTAAGTTCCAAGAGGTGAGTTTGCTGGGTTGAAGGTTAATGCCTGTGTGGGTTGGGGAGATGTTAACAGTTCCCCTCCAGTTTGAGTTTGCATAAGCAGTGTAGGAGAGTGCTGCTTTCTCTACAGCCTTGCCAACAGAACATGCTATCATGCCTTTAATTTGTACCAATCTGATGGTACAAATTAAGCCCCTTTCCCATAGTTGGTACTGTGAACTGTCAAGGTCTGGCCCATTTAGTATTTTGGCATTAGGGGCAGGACTTTCTCTCTTGAAGGATAATTTTGTCTATTCTTTTTTAAGTCCTTTGTACTCATCTGTTCTTCTTTAGCTCCCTTTTCATGCTGTTCACCCCACTCAAGTTTTCAGGGGCAGATGAGTGGAGAGAGCTCAGGAAATTTGGTTTCTTCCTTTGGTTACAGGTAACTTGAAGGTCATGATGTCCACTGACTCCTGTTACTGCTAAAGGTTTAAATCATGTGGATCTGTTTGCTCTGTGCGGTTTTTGTGCCTTTTGCCTGGGAAAGTGAGTGGCAAGATTTGAAATCAGTCAATCATTATTATTCTCCAACCTCAAAAGTCCACTTGTAAACTTTATGAGTTTACGTGTGACTGATTTATAACCACATTCGGAGTCCTTGTGGGGCTTTTCAGGCATCTTATGTTTTTTAACTGGTTTTCTTCGCATGAGTTGGTTGGTAGTAAAGGAATACATATTTATCTCAGTAGTCCATGTAATTTCTTTTGCCTCCCAAAGAAGAGGATATCCCTGATTTTGACATACTTTGTTCACTGTTTACGTCTTTATGGTCTTCTTTTGCTTTTTTGTCAACAAAAATAAGAATAGATAGACATTGATAATGGATGAGAATAAACACTGACTTTTTTTTTAAGTCCTTTTTGGCTGGACTGGGGTAACACTTCCTTCATCGTATACTTGCCACTTTTTCTTCCCCTGGTTCTGCACAGAAATAGAGGCACAGTTGCTTCTACAATCAGTTTGTAGCTATGTTTTCTTGCTGTGATGCTGAAGGAGTAATAGAACCCAATAGAAAACTGGTAGTTGAGTGAGCACTTAACCAGCATATTTGCCGTACTCCAGGTTCACTTGTTTGTAAGGTTTTTGCTATGGTTGGTGAAATGCTTTAAATATCCCTAGGGCCACTATGCAGTATTTTCTGCCCACCAGGAGTTTCTGAAAGAGGAATGCTATGGAAAGAGAGAACTCTTGAACTGACTGGATAAACAGTATCTTCTGATCAAGCATTCTTTTATTTTTTTTAAAGCTATTGGCTTAGTAGCAAGGAGCTTCTTATTACTTTTGAAATAAAACTCTTACCTAACAAGGTACCTGTACAGAGCCATGCTTTGTAAGCATGTTAACATTTATTTAAGACATCACATCTTAGCCAGGGGTGGTAGTGCAGACTTGTAATCCCAGCACTTGGAAGGCTGAGGCAAGAGGATCAAGAGTTCAAAGCCAGACTGAACTATAACATGTGATCCTATCTCAAAAAAAAAAAAGACATCATACTTTATCATTGACTTCTGTTTGTCTTAAAACACAAATCAAGTTACTAACACATCATGTCAAAACTACTTTACGGATTTTTCTGATTATATTCACATTTCCACTATTTATTATTTCAGTCTTTTGCCCAAATACTCTCACACTGAGTGAGTTCAAATTACAATGTCAAGCTAGTTTTTAAACTTACTGTGTATGTATTATGCTTTTCATTTAAATATAAGTGAAGACAGTGTTTGGGGGGCATTTCTTACATGGAAAAATATTTCAACTTCTTTTAAAAATACACTTTATGTTTCATTAGGGGAAGACTTTCTAGGAATAATAGAAATTATTTTATTACCTTATATGTGGCCCAAATTTAACATTTATTTAATTTATTAAGAATAACAAACTAGGGGCTGGTAGAGAGGCTCAAGTTGTATAGCACCTGCCTAGCAAGTGGGAGTCCCTGAGTTTAAACTGCAGTGCCAACCAAGAAAAAAAAAGTAACAAACTAAAAGTTGAGAAAAATAAGGTCTCGTAGCTATTTTTATCTGCTGCTTCCTTTAAAAAAATTATAGGTTATTTATCCAACAATATTATTAATGTGGTTTATTTTTTTAGAAAGGACAGCTGGGCCGACCCATTTTGGATGTCCCATATTGGAATGCAAAGCCAGCTCCCATGCCTAACATTGGATCAAAATATGGAAGAAAAGCCACTTGGATAGGTGCAAGTGGGGACCAGACTTTCTTACGAATTGATGAAGCACTTATTAATTCTCATGTACTTGCTACATCAGAAATATTTGCCAGTAAACACATAATAGGTAATACCAGCAGAAAATAGATGCCCTCCCTCAACGCTTGTCTTGATTGATAGTACAAGGTTTGGCTTTCATTATCATAAGATACAGTTGTAAGGGTTTTTTTCCTTTCTGTTTGAAAAAAAATTGATACCTCATAAGTGTCTGTGTTTATATATGTCTGTGTGCTGGAATAATGGAATAATCAGGGTTCTAGAAACCAGACTATTCATAAGATAGACATTGGGGAAATAGGAGCTAAATTGTAGTAAGATCAAACTTATATTGGAGGGAGGAATTTTTCTGCATTGTCCTTTGTTAATGAGATTAATTCTTGTTGCATGTTATAATCAAAATCCATACTTGTGTCCATTATACCAGGAATAATTACATAGTAGAGTGGTACAGCATAAGGATGAGGACTGTAGCATGTATTGTAGATTTAGACAGCTAGCCATCTCACTCTTATTTCTGCCACTTCATGATACTTTACTTAAGCTTTTTATGTGTATTTCAGCTTCTTCATATGTGAAATAGTGATAATGCTACTTACCTTTTTGGGTTTTGGGGAATATGAAAAGGTAATGCACAGTAAAATTGTATGTAACTATTTCTCTGCTAGGTCTGGTACCTGCTTCTATATCAGAACCTCCTCCATTTAAATGTCTTCTGATAAATAAAGTAGATGGGAGTTGTAAAACTTTCAATGACTCTGAACAAGAAGATCTGCAAGGATTTGGTGTGTGTCTTGATCCTGTGTATGATGTAATTTGGAGGTAAGCATCTATGTTTATAAAATACAGTATTTATTAGCCAAACAAAAATAAAAATTGGCAATATGGAATTTGTTTCTGGATACATTCACTAAGTTACAGGTAAAAGTATAACTGATTTCTGGGAGTAAAAGCTTACTTGAACTAGATCTGGTTCCCTGGGATCTTAACAGAACTCTGGTGTATTATATCCAGCTAGTTGAAACTTAACATTTTTCACATGTGGTGGTAGCACTGGTGGAACAGATGATCTCAAGTGCTGTGCTAGCTCCCTCAGCATTTTCCCCATTGTTCCAAAAGATATTAAAAGAGGAAGGGCGATCTCCTCCTATTTCTCCCTAAAACAGCTGGAAAGTGTTTACCTTTACATCAGGGTAAGTTTCTTTCCATTATCTTGACTTCTGGCTGCTTTGTGTCTTGTGTGTTTTTCTGTAGGGTCCTTGTATTTTATAGCTATCACGGGCATTGCAGATCCACTATTGCTTACTTTGACTTTCCTTCTGGCCTGCATCTGCTTCCTTTTGTATTTATTCTTTAGGGCTAACTCCTGAATAATACAAACTGAACATCTGTATAAGACAGATAAATATTAAGAGTCACAATTTTATTTCCCATTCCAAAAATTTATACACATAACACATGAATTTGTGTTATTTTTAAAAAAACAAAGCAAAAACACATGTAGGAAAAAGCTTGGTCATTCTTTACATCTTACTCCTTGTCTATGCCAAATCCCATTTAAACTTCCCTATGGATCAGAAGTATTATATTTGGTTTATGTTATTTGACATCATTTTTAAATTAATATATTTACCTTCTTACAGAAATAAAATTATTTTAAGAGTAAGATTTTTTTGTCAACAATAATTTGTAGACATTTTCCTAGTTAGTAAAGAACTACTTCATTATTGAAACTATAGACTTTTATTGTTGGAATATAGCAGATATGCTTAAATGTTTGCTCATCTGTGAACCTTTTAGATTTTTTTTAAAGTGTGCTATTACTTGTTATTCTACTGAGAACAATACACCACCATATGCCCACAGAGTTTTCTGTACATGTGAAAATGTTTCTACAAGATCATTTTCAAGAGTTGGAATGCTGAGTCAAGAGATAGGCTCATAGAATATTGATGTATCTTTATAAATTGCCTTTCAGTACTCTCACTGTGTGTCAGCATTCATATTCCCCCATATTGTCAGCATCAGTAAACAGTACTACTATTGTTTTTCATTTTTGCTATATTGATTACTTTATTCAATAAATATTTTCTAAGTGTGTAGTATATAAGAAGTAAAGAATGATAAGATGTAAAGAATGACCAAGCTTGACACTTAACCAAGCAATCACTGATGTACTATCGCTGTCTCCTAAGCCCTTTCCATCTCAGGAAGCCCAGCCACCTCCATGAGGTGCCACTTGAGCAGTAAACAGGCTGCATATGTAAAACATAGTATTATTGCACTGAGGGCAAATGCTTATTCCAGCCCTGCAGTTTGGAAAACAGGCATCATGCCAGCTGCACTGTGAGGGAGATCCTGGTACTCTGAGGTTAAGCCTCTGGCTGTGGAATGATGCTGAAGGGGTAGGCAATGCTCCTTCATCTCCAGAAGGCAAATGAAATCTTTACAGATAAACCTCCTCCCTCATTCCCTCCCTCCTTTCCTTCCTTCATTAATTCCATCCATCCATCCACCCGTGCTGGAAATCAGACTTGGAGCCTCATACACGGTAATAAGCATGTACTCTTCCTTTAAGCTACATCCCCAACCCTTAAAATAGTTTCTTAAACAAATGAATGGATATATCAGTATTGGAATAAGAAAGAAAATTAAACCAGAAGACACATTAAAGAACATTACCAAGAATGACACAAAAATCTATACACAATGGAATTTTATGCAGCCATGAAGAAGAATGAAATGTTATCATTCGCTGGTAAATGGATGGAATTGGAGAACATCATTCTGAGTGAGGTTAGCCTGGCCCAAAAGACCAAAAATCGTATGTTCTCCCTCATATGTGGACATTAGATCAAGGGCAAACACAACAAGGGGATTGGACTATGAGCACATGAAAAAAGCGAGAGCACACAAGGAAGGGGTGAGGATAGGTAAGACACCTAAAAAACTAGATAGCATTTGTTGCCCTTAACGCAGAGAAACTAAAGCAGATACCTTAAAAGCAACTGAGGCCAATAGGAAAAGGGGAACAGGTACTAGAGAAAAGGTTAGATCAAAAAGAATTAACCTAGAAGGTAACACCCACGCACAGGAAATCAATGTGAGTCAATGCCCTGTATAGCTATCCTTATCTCAACCAGCAAAAACCCTTGTTCCTTCCTATTATTGCTTATACTCTCTCTACAACAAAATTAGAAATAAGGGCAAAATAGTTTCTGCTGGGTATTGGGGGGGGGAGAGGGAGGGGGCGGAGTGGGTGGTAAGGGAGGGGGTGGGGGCAGGGGGGAGAAATGAACCAAGCCTTGTATGCACATATGAATAATAAAAGAAAAAGGAAAAAAATGTTTACAAAAATTAAAAAAAAAAAAAATTCTTCTGACTCAGACTCTAGTGTGCTGGGATTACAGCTGTATACCAGCACACCTGCCTGGAGATTACCTGCCTGGAGATTCGTCACGATTTTCTAAACATAATAAAATAATTTAATCTGTAAAAAAAAAAAGAATGACACAGAAAAACAAGAATACAAAAAATATGAAATTTAGATATTTGAAGAATTTAATGAGAAAATCTTAATAGACATATTAGAGTCCCAGGAGATGTTAGACATAGTAGAGAAGAAGCAGGTAATTCCTAAGAATTTTTCAGAGCCAGAAAACATTATTTAAATCCTCAGGTATTTAAAAGTATGTGTTTCTATTATCTGCAATCAAGAGATAATGTGTTAATGCTGTGGAACACTAAAGATCAAAAAAATTCTTTAAAGCAGGCAGAGAGAAAGGAATTATCATGTAGAAAGGAAAAACAGTTAAACTATTTTAACTTCTCAAAAACAACAGTGCAGCAATATTAATGCTAGTAATCATAGAAGCTTCTGTCATAGAATGTATTTTGTGCCAAGTACTATTTTTTAAAAATAGATTTTAAGACTTTTAATTGTAAAAAAGGTACAACATAAAATTTACCATCTTAACCACTTTTTAAGTACATAGTCAATAGTTTTAAATATTTTTACATTATTATGAAGTAGGTTCCAGAACTTTTTCATTTTGCAAAATGGAAACTATATTCATTAAACAGCACCTCCTTATTTTCCCCTTCATAACCCCTAAAAGATACCAAGAAATAGAGACAGCTTTTGAGGATTTTGTTATGAAAGAGATAAGAAAAATGAAGTAATGGCAAGAGAACATTGTGAGTTTCTCACAGCTTTTATTGATGCTTTGCTGTTTATTAGTAAGGTTGAACATCTACATTGACTTTGTGTTTGTTTCTGGGAATAGCATTGCATGTCCTTTTCCCTTTATCTCTTACTGGTTTTTAGAGCTCTTCACATATCGTAGTTTTGTTTTATATGTATGTTTAACATATTTCAATTTTTATTTTTCTTAAACTTTCAGTGGGGATTTTTGTTGGACAAAAGCCTCATATTTATATGTATGCATCAAATTATTAGGTGTACAACTGCTATATTTTTTATAAAGTATTCTATTTTGCTATTTTCAAATTATTTTCTGGTAGTGATATAAATTGCTTTAGTTACATATTTAGCTTAGGTATGGAAAATAATGACTACGCTTTTTTCTACTGACACTGATTATATTGTTTATTCTCTTTTTATCATGAGTTATAATTTAGAAATTTTTCAAATGAAACTGTAGGTTCATGTGCTATTATCATTCTTTCTTGAAAGGTTTCGGCCAAATACCAGAGAATTGTGGTGTTACAATGCAGTGGTTGCTGATGCCCGACTTCCCTCCGTAACAGACATGCAGTCCAGATGTAGCATTCTGAGTCCTGAACTTGCCCTGCCAACAGGATCGAGGGCTCTTACCACCCGATCGCATGCAGCTTTGCACATTCTAGGTGGGGTTGTTATTGCATGGGTAGATAATTCGCCTTAATGTGTGCTGTGCTGAGGGTTAGATTTTTTAGAGAATTTACATTCATATGTCATTCTGTCATGTTTGTTAAACAGTAATAACATACTAGGGACAAAATAAATTAGATCTTCTAAGGAGCATACTCTGCAAAGAATAATACATGAGAACCCTGTTAACACCACAAAAGATTATTGTATACCCAGATATAAAGCAGTCCTGAATATAATTGTCATAATAGGTAAATCCTTAAAAGTAATATTTTTTGCTTAGAGATATAGGTCAGATATTCAGATGCATTAAGTAACTTAAAATAAGTTCTATGAAATGTTAAATTCTGTAACTACTTTGTCTCTTCTTACATAACTGTTTTCTACAGCACATCAGTTTCACTCCTATTAAATTATTTTGAGATATAGCACTTTTGCAGCATATATTATTGTGTTGCTAAAAATTTTATATCAATCCACATCACTACATATTGTACTGCTTTTCAAAATGATCCTTTAATAAGTTCACTTGTTTATATGGCATTTGCAATTAGGAAATGATATTCTTTAGTATAATTGCTAAATCATAAGTATACTTCCTTATTTCTTTTCTTCTCAAATTTCATTTGGTAACCATTGTAATCATCCAAAAGTAACATTAGTTAAGGCTATTTCAGGTTAATGTGTCTTCCTCAAATAGTAATTGAGGAATCAAAATATAGTAATTTGTCAAGTTTTATAAAAGGAAAAACCTTTTAAGGACTTAAAGGTTAAATGAATCCAACTTTTTGGAGATTCATTTTTGTGTAAAATGTCATACAGCGTACATTTAAGTATTGTAATTATACATGCAGAGTAGGATTTTTACTGATTTTTAAGCACTCCTCCATGAAATGATGTTTCAAGCTTGGAATAGATTTGCTGAGTACATTCAGAGTTTATTTTCTTACTTAATTTATACTTAAAAATCCACATTCATACTATAGCACATTTTAGTTTCAAGGGTTTGAATTTTACTTGTTTGTTATTTTAGGTTGTCTTGACACCTTGGCTGCGATGCAAGACTTAAAAATGGGTATAGCAAGTACAGAAGAGGAAACTCAAGCAGTTATGAAAGTTTATTCCAAGGAAGATTATAGTGTAGTAAACAGGTTTGAAAGTATGTATACTTAGGCTTAGAAAATATTTTCTTACAACTGAAATATATATGGATATTTTAAAACACAGATTATATTTATATCTCTTAGGTCACGGAGGGGGCTGGGGCTACTCTGCCCATTCAGTAGAAGCCATACGTTTTAGTGCTGACACTGATATTTTACTTGGTGGTCTTGGTCTGTTTGGAGGTAGAGGGGAATACACTGCTAAAATTAAGGTAAGTTCATTGCCGTTGTTGCCCTGTTTGATTTGAGCTAGTTTTATTATCCTACTATTTAATGCTGTCTTTTACACTTTTGTTGTGGTGGTGGAGGTGGTGGTGGAGGTGGTGGTGGAGGTGGAGGTGGTGGAGGAGGTGGTGGAGGAGGTGGTGGAGGTGGTGGAGGAGGTGGTGGAGGTGGTGGTGGAGGTGGTGGTGGAGGAGGTGGTGGAGGAGGTGGTGGAGGTGGTGGTGGAGGTGGAGGTGGTGGAGGTGGTGGTGGAGGTGGTGGAGGAGGTGGTGGAGGTGGTGGAGGTGGAGGTTTGGTGATAATTAGAGGAAACATTATTAAAATCTTATGCAATAACACTAAATTACTGGTTCATTAAAAACCAAAAAGCAGTAAGATGGGAGAAAATGATTTTTTAATAATTTCAGATTAAATAAAGATTGGCAGTCAGTCTCAGTCGTTTGTACTGAACTTCCAAGTGGTCTATTAATGGCAGCCCTTCCATGTGGAAATAACTTTTATAGTTATTTTAATGACAGGAGGCACAGTTGTTTTGGAATGGGGACATTTTGTTGTAGCTAAAAACTCTATAGCATTTTTAGTGCTAAATATTAAATAAACAGAAATCATTCCCCCAAGTGGAAATCAGGAATGAAGTGAGAGGTAGAGTGGAGGGGATGGGATTCCATCTGGTAGACAAACAGTAGTTATGAATCGTAAGTTTTGGCCCGGTTTTGTGGTACATGCCTGTAATACCAACTACTTGGGAGGCAGAGACAGAAGATCATGGGTGGAGACCAGCCTGTGCAAAAGTTAGCAAGACCCTATTTCAAAAACAAGTGGGGCATGGTGGCACACACTTGTGGTCATAGCTATTTAGAAGGTGGAAGTAGGAGGATCCCTGTCCAAGGCCTGTTGGGCAAAGTTAGTGTGAGACTCTATCTTAAAAACATCTAAAAGCAAAAGAACTGAGGCAAGGCCCTGAGTTCAATCCCAGTAGTGCCAAAAAAAAAAAATCACAAGTTTGCCACACCTGTTCATCTCCAAAAGAACCAGCAATTTATTCTACATATTATGTCCATCTTAAAAAATTTACTACTAGCTTCTCAAATAATCTGATTTTTCTCTTAAAGTAAAAGAGAAGACTACAGTTTGTACCTTTATTCAATAGCAGGCTTCACAAAAAGTTTTCAATTAAATATCTTCTGATCTGGAGAGGTCATCTTAGTTTTCTCAGTAAAATCTAAATTTACATTATATTCATATTAATATATTAAAGCTCTTTTAATGATGTCTTTGGCACTATAAAAGACCAACCTTTATAAAATGATAAACTTTTTTAAAAATCTGGTTATTTCTGGTTATTATTATAATATGTATACTTTAAAAATGCAGATAATATAGGAATGAATATAGTAAATCTTAAAAGCCTGTATAGTATGGATTATAGGAATAGAATAATGATTAAGAGCACCGATAGCATATATATGTTGATACTAAGAAAACATAGTTTTAGTCTTTGGCTCATTTCAGTGCCACTCCTTCAAAGTGGTTATGTTAGAATGGCTTGATTCATCATCAAGACAGAAGCAAACTCATTGAGTTATGTGGTTCTAGTTGGAAATATCTAATAAATTAATCAAGAGAATTTTCTTTTTACCTTCTTGACTCTCAGAAATTTTTTTCTTTTTTTTGGTAATACTGAATATCACAGTGAGTGGACTTTATCTCCAATTGTCAATAAAGAAGGTAGTATGGTATAGAATTATAGAGACTTCATACATGTTATTTTATATTGGCCCTGTTTTTCTTTTTCAACTTCATACTTAACTCACTCTTCACTTTCTTTGGAAATAATCTTAACTTTGTATTCAGTTATTCAATGAATGGTCTGAGGCCTTCCTATTGGCTTCTGCCCTTTTTTTTTTTTAACTCTCTTCATCTCTCTAAAGTATACATTTTTGTCTAGCTCATCTTTATTTATTTTTTGTTTTGTCCTGTTTTCATACCTCTAGTTGTTTCTTCTGTCTTTGTGTAGGTTTATCCTTTTCTTTCTGGTCACTGATTGTTGGAATTCTTCTAGGCGCAGCCCAAAGAACTTTTTCTGTTCCACATTCTCTCAAATGTATTCTCTTCTAATCCTAAAGTTTCAGTAGTCATTAGTATTCCGTGATGCTCAAGTTTATATCTCCAGTTCACACTTCTTTGATATATTTTTGTGTAAATGTTTTAAAGGCTCATCAGTTATCAGTCATCATATCTTGACTAAATTCTTATTCTTCCCATAAAACTTTGCTATCTTCTAGGATCTCTCTTTCTTTCTCTGAATAGTACCACCCACCATATGCTTTCACATAAGCCTGAAACCTTAATGTCTTTCCTAATATGTCCTCCTTCATCTCTTTCCTATCCACAAGTCTCTTCCATCATTACCCCAAAACTATCTGTCTTAGATTAGCTACCTAGCTGGTCTCTGTGCATGTACTTAATTTTTGTATGCTTTCTGTCTTCATTTTCTCTCTTCCTATTCCTTCTTAAACCTACTCTAATTAGGATTTTTCCCCAATTACTCCACTGAATTTGCAAAGAAACTGATGGCTTTTATATTGTAAAGTCAGTGATCCAGCCTCAGGTAGCTTTCTAGTCAGCCAAATTTAATTCAGTTGAGCTATTCTTTGAAATATTTTCTTCACTTGGTTCCATAGATACCTCACTTCATTGTCCTTCTGTCCCAGTGATTGCTGGTTGTTCACTATCCCCATAGTGATCCACTTTTGTTGCTCTGTTTTTTTCTCTGGTGACTTCCAAACTTATAGACCTTTCTCTTCCCCCAACCTTCAAATTCATATATACAACTGTATACTCTGTTTCTCTACCTGAATGTCTAATATACATCTTGGAGGTATCATTTTCAGATCTGAACTTCTGATGATCTCTATACCTGCTACTCCTACATTCTTCCCCATCTCAGTTAACTGACTCAAAATGGAGTTAACCTCATTCTTGTATTTGCTCAGGCCAAAAATCTTAGCTTCATCCTTTTCTTCTCTCTTCCTTTCACACATTACATCTCCTTCAACAAATATTTTTAACTCCACCTTCAAAGTAAATACAGGATCTACTACTTCTAAAAACTGCCACCAGAAGCCAAGTGGTCCATCCAATAGCCATTCTCATCTGATTATTAAAGTAGCTTCCCAACTTGTGTCCTGCTTCTGTCCAAGCTGCATTCAAACTTTTCTCAACACAGTAGAATGATTCTCTTCAAATGTACACCAGCCTGTCACTCCTCTGTCTAGAATCCTGTAGAGTCTTCCTATCTTAAAGTAAAAGCTAGAGTACACGGACCTACAGGATTCCATCAGAACTGACTGCCAACAGCAATCTGACCTTATGTTATGCCAGTTGCTTCCCTATTATCTGCCCACCCTGACCTGATTACTGTTTCTCAAACATGTTAAGCCTCAGGACTATGGCACTTGCTGTTCCCTGTAACTACAGCTGTCATCAAGCCTACGTGGCTCACTTTCTAGTGACTCCCTAGTGAGTCTGTTTAAAACTGTAAATCCTATTCCCACAAACTTACTCCCTGTAATCCTCTTTTTTTGTTTGTATTGTTTATCCCTGTATGCCCAGTTTTTAGAACTGCTCCTGGCACAGTGTGTGTTCAAAAATATTTGTTGAATATAAGCAGAAGAGTCAGATTAGGATCAAGTCATTAAGGACCTTTAGATCATGCCACAGAAGAGATCAGAAACCACAGAAAAAAATTATATTAAGAAAGTATTCTGATCAGATACTTATTTTTATAAGAACACTAAGGAAAAGTGGGGATATAGCCATGTGGCAGAACTCTTCTGTAGCATATGTGAGACCCTGAATTTGATCCCCAGAGCCACATACACAGTAAAACAGTACAAAGGTTCCTTAAATATATGTGAAACCTCTTAACTTTGTGGAAATGGGTAGAGTAAGGAGCGAATGGAGACTTAATTGTTATTGAAGTATTCCAGCCAGCAGTAGAGAATATGGGTGAATTGACAAGCTTTAGTGCCAGCTATAGAAGGTGTAGAGATGGCAGAGAATTATAGAAAAAGGATTATTCTGGTTTTTTTTGTCTGAGTGACTAGGGGTATGAAAGTGCCATTAATCAGAGCAAGGAAGTCAATGAGAAGACAAGATGAATCATTCTAGAACTAATAAGATTGGGCTGCCCAGCAGGACTCAGTGAGAATAAGATCTGGCTGGAGGCAGATTTCCAAGTCATAGCATATATTTGAAAAATTTAGACATCCGGCATAATACCTGTCCAGAAATTTTAATGCATTTTAATGTTTCATCACTGCTTTTGTTGCAACACACTTGCTATAATTCTCCAGAGAAAAAAAGGTTTTTTTTTAATTTTTTTTTTTAAATAACACATTTTTTACAAAGACCTCTTTCTCATAATTCTCTTTCCAGACATCTTTTTGCCAGGTGTTTTCTAAGTGCTCAACAAGTACTGTTTCATTTAATTTTCACAATTACTATGTATATGGGCATTTCTAGAATTCAGCCTGTTTTTTATCTATGATGAAACTAGGTTCTAGGATTTCACAGCTAGTAAGCAATGAAGCAAGAGTATATCTCATTTAGAAACTCTCTTAGGTAAAATGCTTTGGTTGAGTTCCCTCACCTCCCTCACATCTTTATAGTATTTATTATATCAGGTACAGTATTTGTAGCATAGAGCTATTTTAGAGCCTTTGATATAATAAATTAGGAAAACTGAAATTAATATAAGCCATAAAAATACTATATTTTAGAAATTTTAAATGTCTTTGTATTTCACTTAAAACTACATGCTCAAATTTTTCACATCCTGTAGATCAGAGTATATTGGACATGCACAAAACGATAAACACATTACTCAGATTTACACAACCAAATGATTGGGGAAAATGTGTGTTTTCTTTTTTGCCCAGCTATTTGAGTTGGGTCCTGATGGTGGAGATCATGAAACAGATGGAGACCTTCTTGCAGAGACTGATGTGTTGGCTTATGACTGTGCTGCTAGGTAAATGGTTTGCTCATTATTTAGCATAGTCTTTACGTACTTAAATTAAAAATTCGTCATGCATAAATAAATATAGAAGTTTTAGATAATCTGCTATGAATATGTTTGAGAAATTTAACTATATATAGTCATATGTCACTTAGTGATGATACATTCTGAGAACTACATTTATTAGGTCATTTTGTCCTTAGGCGAATGTCATGGAGTGGACATTCACTAACCTAGATGGTGTGCCTTACTACACACATTGGCCATGTGGTATAGCCACCATCCGTATATGTGATTTGTTGTTGACCAAAATATTACACAACATTGACTATACTAGGAAATGTAGGTACTGCTTTTAGTAATGCTGCATTAAAACTAAAAATATTCTTCACAATTGTACTTCAGAGGGTAAATTGAATTATTCAAAACTGAAGATAGAGTGTACATATACAGATATTTTTAACACTTAATTTCGTGAATCTCTAAAAGGACATCTAGTATTGCTAGGTGTTCTAGTGACTGATACAATCATTTATTACTGTATCCTTAATCATAACACGCTTGGGGAGAGAACCAGAATCTGGAGGATGGCAGTTTAAGGCCAGTCTAAGCAAAAAGTTAGAAAGATCCTCATCTCAATCAGTAAGTCAGTTACAGTGGTGCACTCCTGTAGTATCATCTACATTGGAGGAGGTAAGTGGAAGGATGCCAGTTTAAGGCTGGCCCCAGGCAACAAGCTCAAAACCCTAACCCTATCTGAAAAATAACTAAAGCAAATAAGGGCATGGCTCAAAGTTCTGAGTTCATTATCCTACCACTTCAAAATAAATAAAGCATTAGTCAATATCATGAAATATCTTTCAGTAATCTTTAATGTTTTATACAAATGAACCTGAAGGGAATTTTAAGAAAGTTAATTAGCTAATTGATTTTTGCCAAGACTTAATATGCTATTGTTATTTAGCATTTATTTTTGAGCACATAATTATGAATAAAAAATGTGCTGTATGGTTCCATGTGCAGGGAATCATCTAGAGTTCTTCATTAGCCCAGTAAGTAGGCCCAGACTCCTTTTTTGTTTGGGATGGTAGGGGAGTGAATACTGGTGTATTGAACTTGATCTTGTACTTGCTAGACAAGCACTCGACCCCTTGAGCCATGCCTCCAGTCCTTTTCGCTTTTAGTTACTTTTCGGATAGGGTCTTGCACTTTTGCCTGGGCTGGATCTCAGACCTTGATCCTTCTACCTCTGTCTCCCATGTAGCTGGTATTATGCATGTACCACCACTCCTGGAGTTTTCTTTGAGATAGGATTTACAGATTTATTTGTGTATTCTCTGTGACAGGCTCAATTCCAAACACTATCTGAATTAACTCAATCCTCAGCACAATTCAGTGTGCTAGAGTTTTACCACAGCTTTCAGGTGGAGAACACAAGGGACAGAGAGGGTGTAGTAACTTGCCCTAAGTCTCCCAGTTAGCAAGTCACAAGACCAGGCCGTGAACCCAGAGCACTTGACTAAAGAGCCACTTTCCTAATGTGCTACCTCTCAAAGTTCTGTAGCTGAAGGAATGAACTTTAAACCTCAAGTTCTAATTTTTCATTTCCTGCAGAATTTGCATGTTTACTTTTTAAAGCAGCTTAAAGATGTTTGTCTTATTTTAATATGTATAAGAGTATTTTATAAGAATTAAGCTTGTATATCTCAAGAAGAGGAGAAAGTAATTCTATCAGAGGGTTCTTAATAGGTGATGAGAATCTTAAAATATGATTAATTTCATGGTTTTGATTATAAGGGATTTTTAAAAATAAATGTATATGACAGACAAGTGCAAAGGGCTTCTCTATGACTCACTCATTTTTCTCAGAGAAAAATATGCAATGATGTTTGATGAACCAGTTCTCCTGCAAGCTGGATGGTGGTATGTAGCATGGGCTCGAGTGTCAGGACCCAGCAGTGACTGTGGATCTCATGGGCAAGCTTCCATTACAACAGATGATGGGTAAGCGGAATGTTAAAGTTTTACATATGCAACTCTCATTTTTCTTTGTGGAATTTAGTTTTGAAAGATCAGGGGACTTTCAATAGGATAAAAGCTTATTATTATGTGGAGCATAATATAATTGGTAAAAATTGAACTTATTTACTCCTACATGTTATAATAACCAAATCTGCCAAGTTAAGGTTCAGACAGAGTAGGGAGTTAATAGGACTCCTTTTTTCTTATAAGATGGCATTTGTATGTATTTCTGGATATTAAATTGCTTAGAAGCTTTAATTACAAAATTAGAAATTATAGAGGATAGTGAAAAGGATAGTGAGAATTTTGGAACCATGATAAATACACAAATACTTGCAATTAAATTTGACAGTGTATATGTAAGCAGTTTATAAAATTGCAAGGCTCCTGTGGTATGAAATGGTATTATTTTAATAAATTGCAGAGAAAATTTTGCAATGTAAAAGCAACTTTCATATATAGATTGCTTTCAGTTTATAAAATACTTTCATAAACATTATCTCATTTGATTTTTCAGTAACATTGTGAAGTAGTTATTAATCCCATTTTATACTCAGGGGAACAGATAAACAGAAAAGTGAAATGATTTGCTTAGTCATATGGTTACCATGTGGCAGAACCAAATCTACATCTGGAATCTGTTGACCCTAAACCCAGTACTCTTTATACTCTATTACTCTGATTCATGTATTCAGCACAACTGTCATTTGAGTTTTGTTTTGTTTTGGTGACACTGGGGATTTAAATTTAGGGCCTTTTGCTTGTTAGGCAGGCACATTACCACTTGAGCTACTCTGCCAGTCCAGGACTGTCATTTGAAAGAGAAAATCAGTTTATTCTGTTTTATTCTTGAGCATGAACTATTTGAAAGGGGTACAATTATATAATAATATATTTCAATTTAATTCACCTCGCAGCTTACCAAAAAAATCAAACTGATTTATGAGATGAATTCTGTGTCGCTGATTATTTAAGGAGACTGCTAAAGAGAAATTAAATCTGTTGTGTCTACCCATTTTAATTTACTCAAAGATTGCATGCTCAAATTCAGGAGATTGCTTTGACCATGGACTGTACAGCTCCTATATCAGTTCATTTGTACTTGGGATATCCTGACACTTTGAGGCTAAAGCCTGTTACTTATCTAGACAAGCAGATTTTATACCTTGAAAGTATAATTTTTTGTTAGAAGTTGACTGCTGTGTTGAAAACTGAACTAGAGGGCTGGGAGGGGCAGTTGAGCTACTCACCTAGAAGTTCCTGATCAGGTTCAATTATTCATTTTATTGGTAAGTCATTCAGAGTTAAAACTCAGACAGTACCTTTTTACTTTTTTTGTTATAAAAAGAAATTTTCTTTAACATAGGATTTGAATACACAATTATTAAGTTCCTTATTTCCTTTAATGACTCTTAGATCATGTCATTTTTGTTTCATATGCTTTCTCTTCTTAGGGTTGTTTTCCAGTTTAAGAGTTCAAAGAAATCAAATAATGGTACAGATGTTAATGCTGGTCAGATACCTCAATTGTTGTACAGGTATTAAACATATCTATAGTTAATTTATATGAATTAGTCTCTTGTATACTGAAGTAGAGTCATAAAATATGTGGTATAATAAGGTAAAAATTATTGAAGCATTTAGCAAATTTTAATATTCTAGAAAAAATTAGCTAATTTCACATTGATATTAATTCAGGCAACAGTTTGTACATTTTAAAGCATTTTTTACTTTAGACTTAATTTTAAATTTTGCCTAAATTTCTCAGATTATCTGTTTTATGCCAATAGAAATATTTTCATAATAATAATTTATAATAGCAATATTTAACATAAAGAGTTTTAACTAGTTCCCAGCAATTCAGATGTGTGGAGGTCTGTGACGATGTATGTCTATGTCTGTTTCTTTATTACTGCAATATTAGAATAAAGAATTCAAATAAACAGAAACTTCATTTTTCCTGAGAAGCTATTTTGTTTGATTTTTATGTAATTTATTACAGCTGTTGTTTGTAATACGTAGTTTTATGACCACAATATTGCACTGGACTACTGCTTGAATAACTTTTCAATAGTAGCATTGCAAGAGAAAATAACTTTTATATATTCCTCAATAGATAATATATGTTTTCTAATCAGAGAAGAAAACATCTACATTCTTGCAAAAGTCAGGCTTAAACTGCTCACATGCTAAAAACTTTGTTTAACATTGGAAAATGTTTCAAAAACGCTTCATATTGGCATCTTGTCAGGTCCCCAAAATTTTACAGCTTAATTATTTCACTATTTCATGATGTGTGTTTTAGAAAGAAAATTTTCATTGCACTTTCACTACTACTTTACATATATCTACTCCTTGCAGGCTTCCAACCAGTGATGGCAGTGCATCTAAAGGCAAACAACAAACCAGTGAACCTGTGCATGTTTTAAAGAGATCTTTTGCAAGAACTGTCTCAGCGGTAAGCAGTTTTCTTTTAAATTTCAGCTTTTCTGTTCAGTGTTCAATTTCAGTTCTAAGAGTGTATATTGCATAACTTGGTAAACTCAAATCTAATATTTATATTCTAGGCAAAGATAATATGTACTTTAAATAATGAAAGGTAGCAAAGCTTTGGCTTTGCTACCTGTGAAATAACTGGCAGCTTTTCTAATAAGTCATGTATGAATGCATATGCAAAAGACATTACAAAATGAAGGACCCAAGAACTATTACTTTAATACTTGAGAACTTAAGTAGAAGAGCAGTCACGATCTCTAGCAATAAAGGAAATGCAAATTAAAGCCACGCTAAGATTCCACCTCAACCCTGTTAGAATAGCCATCATCAGCAACACCACCACCAACAGGTGTTGGCGAGGATGCAGGGAAAAAGGAACCCTCTTACACTGTTGGTGGGAATGTAGACTAGTACAACCACTCTGGAAAAAAATTTGGAGGCTACTTAAAAAGCTGGACATCGATCTACCATTTGATCCAGCAATACCACTCTTGGGGATATACCCAAAAGACTGTGACACAGGTTACTCCATAGGCACCTGCACACCCATGTTTATTGCGGCACTATTCACAATAGCCAAGTTATGGAAACAGCCAAGATGCCCCAGCACTGACGAATGGATTAAGAAAATGTGGTATCTATACACAATGGAATTTTTTGCAGCCATGAAGAAGAACGAAATGTTATCATTCGCTGGTAAATGGATGGAATTGGAGAACATCATTCTGAGTGAGGTTAGCCTGGCTCAAAAAACCAAAAATCGTATGTTCTCCCTCATATGTGGACATTAGATCAAGGGCAAACACAACAAGGGGATTAGACTATGAGCACATGATAAAAGCGAGAGCACACAAGGGAGGGGTGAGGATAGGTAAGACACCTAAAAAACTAGATAGCATTTGTTGCCCTTAACGCAGGGAAACTAAAGCAGATACCTTAAAGCAACTGAGGCCAATAGGAAAAGGGGAACAGGTACTAGAGAAAAGGTTAGATCAAAAAGAATTAACCCAGAAGGTAACACCCACGCACAGGAAATCAATGTGAGTCAATGCCCTGTATAGCTATCCTTATCTCAACCAGCAATAACCCTTGTTCCTTCCTATTATTGCTTATACTCTCTCTACAACAAAATTAGAAATAAGGGCAAAATAGTTTCTGCTGGGTATTGGGGGGGGGAGAGGGAGGGGGCGGAGTGGGTGGTAAGGGAGGGGGTGGGGGCAGGGGGGAGAAATGAACCAAGCCTTGTATGCACATATGAATAATAAAAGAAAAATGAAAAAAAAAAGTAGAAGAGCAGTTTATATAAGAATTTTGGTGAGCTTGTGATCATGCTCACTTTCCTTTAAAGATGCACAACACTGTGGGGTTACCAGAGCAGAATGCAAAGTCAGCATGGTGTAACTGAAAGATAGCCATATCTCCACCAGGAAGTCTGGGTTAATTTCTTGGTCTCTCGTGTATTGGGGATTCTTATGCAAGTTACCTAAGTTACATTATGACATTGTTATGGATCTCTAATAAGACAAGGGGTAGAAAGTGCTCTCTGAATTATAAGGCTCTGTACAAATATGATTTATTAACGTAGCTAGTATCTTATGTTGGTAAAATGCTTAGGAAGAATGGGGTATTTTTCCTCCTTTTTAAAATCTCATCACAGAATTAAAATGTGCTTCATAGGAATGGGATAGAGTAGGGATGAAACTGTACATATATACTTTCCCCATTCCTTTGTTATCTCTATATATACCTACAGTTTCTATTATATATATCTTTCGAGACCACAAACAAACTTATGTAACTTGTATTCAGTATGTTATACAACATTTTCATTTGTTTTTTATGATACAGTTCTCATCTTTTTAAAAAACTTAGAGCATACACCATGGATAACTTTCTGTTAGTACATTTGGCTCTTTCTCAGTCTTTTCTGTTTGCATATTATCCCATAGGATGACTATATTATTTATTCAACTCTATTTCTATCAAAGAAACAGCATGATTTCATTTTTTACTGTTAAATTTTTCTTCATGAGAAGAAAAATTTGGTTATTGTTGTACTTATGTGCATAATTCTACTAAAACTTTGTGCATTTAAATTTTGATTTTTTTTTTTCAAATTGAGATATAGTAGTTTTCAGAGAATATGCTTTGAATAAGAGACTGTAAGAACTTTGGCTCCTTCGTACTTTTTTTTGGGTGTGTGGTACATGGGTTTGAACTCAGGGTCTACACCTTGAGTCATTCTACCAGCCCTTTTTGTTTTTTTTTCCAGTTTTGTGAAGGGTTTTTTCCAGATAGGGTCTCACAAAGTATTTGCCTGGGCTGGCTTTGAACTGCGATTCTCCTGATTGCTATCTCTTGAGTAGGTAGAATTATAGGTGTGGCCACTGGCTCCCAGGTATCCCTTTAGTATGAGTCTGTTATCTTTTGTTTCAGATAGGGAACTTTTTTGTGTCTTTTTCAGTGACCTTTTTTTCTGTTCTTGAGAATTCTTTTATATTTATGTCTTAGGTGGTTTTATAAGGTCATTAAATAATTGCAATCTTTTATGTAAGAAACTTATTTAATCATTTCTTTAAAAGTTAAACTATAAATTCTATTTCTTCCTTTTTCCCAGTGGTGCTGGGGTTTGAACTCAGGGCTTGTGATTGCTATGCAAGGGCTCTACCACTTTAGCCATACTCTTCGCCCTTCTTGCTTTTAGTTTATTTTTCAGATAGAGTCTTGCTTTTGCCCAGGCCAGCCTCATACTGTGAGCCTATGTATACTTGCTACATAAACCTCCTTTGTAGCTGGGATCACAGACATGAACCACCACACCCAGCTTATTTGTTGAGATGGGGGTCTTGCTAACTTTTTGTCCAGGTTGGCCTTGAACCTTGATCCTCCTGATCTCTGCCTCCCCAATAGCTGGGATTACAGGTGTGAGCCACCACACTTTGCCCTAAATTCTTATTTTTTATTTACTATCACCGTGTCTGGAATATTGTAGAAATGGGTGAGCGAAGCACTCTGCTTTGAGATTCATGTAGTATCTGTCATTATGTAAGCATGATAAAACCTTCAGACCAGCTAGAACTTCGAGGAAAGTCTGCTCTATGTCCATATTCTAGCATTTTAAAGAATCCAAATGAAGATTTTTTTTTTTTTTTTTGGCGGTACTAGGGTTTGAATTCAGCCTACACCTTGAGGCATTTCACCAGCCCTTTTTGTGAATGGTGTTTTGAGATAGGGTCTTGAGAACTGTTTGCCCAGGCTAGCTTTGAATTGAGATCCTCTTATCTCTGCCTCCTGAGTATCTAGGATTACAGGAGTGAGCCACCAGCTCCCGACAGAAGGTTTCTTCTTCCTCTTTTTTTTTTTGGGGGGGGGGTGGGTGAGCGGTACTGGGGTTTGAACTCAGGGCTTCACACTTGCTAAGCAGGCACTCTGCTACTCGAACCACTCCACCAGCCCTCCAAATAAGTTTTTTTTGTTTTTTTAGGATTTTCTTGTCCATTTTTGTCTTCTACTAAGTTGTTTGTCAAGAACTGGCTATAGTTTATTATAAGTTTTAATATATAGACATAAATTATTTGGCACTATCACTGATACTAATACTAAAATACTTCTCTTTTAATTATTTTACTATATTGACTATATAAAGTTTAAATTTTCTTTCAAATAAACATGTATTTATAAGTGTTTTTTATTCTTTCCCTTGTTTCTATAATAAAGTAGATAGGCTGGTACCAGGGAAACTTAAAAGTGTTTTTTAAAGTAGGTAAATATTGAAGAATGTTGTTTTTATAAATGCCTAATTACTTTACCTTTTTGTAAACTTCGAAGATACCCTATTGTCAATTTAGTAAATGAGTTATAATAGTATCTATTATTTGGGCTATCAAAACTCAGGAAAAAGTTTAAAGTTTTGGAATTGTATGTCAGTTATCTTCTGTTTGACTCAACTTGTGATATCATTTGAACTCATTGTTGTCCTATTCCTCATATTAGGAATGTTTTGAGTCATTGCTGAGTATTCTTCACTGGAGCTGGACCACCTTAGTCTTAGGAGTGGAAGAACTTAGAGGATTAAAAGGATTCCAGTTCACAGCTACACTTCTAGATTTAGAGAGACTGCGCTTTGTGGGTACCTGTTGTCTACGGTTATTGCGTGTCTATACCTGTGAAATTTACCCAGTATCAGGTATGATGAATTTTTTTAAATGCCTTTAGAAAGAAAACATTTGAGACATTGAAAAGCTTTAGGTAGAAATAACTAACAGTTTAAGATCTGGAGATGCTTTTAAGCTGTTCCTAAAATCAGGGGAGGATGTCAACTTGCTATATGATGTCTGTGTATTTGGTTATAAAGAGTAAAATAGATTGCATGTCATTCTGATAACAAAAAGTCATAGTGGGCTAAATTAAATACTCCAATAAAGTATTACTTTAGACAACTCCTGTTAAGTAGAAACATTTTGAACAACTAATTTGAACTTCAATACTGAAACCAGGCTTTATTTCCATTTAGACTTTAAAAAGAAATAATTTTAGAGCACATTTAATTACTAGATTGTTTTATTTCTAGGTTATGAGTATTTGTGACTTTAGTTATATAGTAGATTATGGAATTATATTATTTTCATGCATACTAAGTATTTTACTTAATTAGCAATTTTTTCCCTCAAAGCTACAGGAAAAGCAGTTGTAGAAGAAACTAGCAAATTAGCAGAGTGTATTGGAAAAACCAGAACTTTGTTAAGAAAAATCTTATCAGAAGGAGTTGATCACTGCATGGTGAAGTTGGATAATGATCCTCAGGGGTATCTCAGTCAACCCTTGAGTCTCCTTGAAGCTGTCCTTCAGGAGTGTCACAATACCTTCACTGCCTGTTTTCATTCCTTCTACCCCACTCCTGCATTACAGTGGGCTTGCCTTTGTGATCTACTCAATTGCTTGGATCAGGTAATTTAAGTTTGTAAAATGTCAGTTGAAAATCAGATACATTGCTTAATACTCTTCAAGAAAATAAATTGCAGTTGCCCCATTTCTTGAAAAGGTCAGTTATGAAATCAGTTTGGTAAATGTGACTTACATAATCTTAAGTTTAAAATTTGTTGTGTGTTTGCTTTATCATCTTTTAGTTATAAAATTGGCAGACACGTTTGCTTTTGTATCTCTAAGCAAGCGTGTGGGAAAGAGAGAACAATAGTGTGAAGCACAGCAACAAATGCCAGTCCTGGACCCCCACTTCAGAACGGGAAGGCAGGAGGTTGGGAGACCAGGCATGCTCACGCCATTCACTCAGGAGACAACCTAGCCTGCACAAATGTGTGCATCACTTCACAGACCTTCAAAAAACCTGGGGCAGAACCTGACAGAATTACAGGGAGGAAAAGACAAATTCATTGATATTTAGTCTTCAGTGCACCTCTTTCAGTAGTTAATGGAAAAACTAGACAAAAAAAAAAATCAGGCACAGAGGAATTGAACAATACTATCCACCTTCATCTACGTAACATTTAAACTAAAATATGCAATTGTAAACCTCAAAGTTCAAGTGGTAGAGCACCTGACTACCAGGCATGAGACCCCAAGTTCAAATCCCAGTAGCGCTAAAATATGCAATTGCATATTCAAGTACACATGGAATGTTTACCAGGATAGATTATATGCTAGAGCATAAATAAGTATTACTAAATTTTTAAAAATTAAAATTGTAAAGAATGTGGGTCTAGATCATAATAGAATTAAATTAGAAATCAGTTGTAAAAGATACTGATAAAAGCACCAAATACTTAGAAAATAGGCACTACTTTTAAATAACCAGTGACTCAAAAAAGAAATCATAAATTTTTAATAATTTCACATCAAAAGATAAAAGTCTGATGTTATAATTTGTGAGATGCAGCTAAAACATGGCTTAGAGAAATGTATACCCTTAAATACCTACAAAAGTAAAGAAGAAGTAAGTGTGTAAATTTTCATCTAAAGAAACCAGAAGGAAAACCAAATAAAGCCAAAAAGTATGAAGGAAGAAAATAATAAGGAGCAGGAACCAGTGAAGTAGAAAATTAGCAAAGCTAGAAGTTGTTTCTTTGAAGAAAACAAAGATATACTTTTAATAAGCTTAAGGGAAAAAGAAAAAAAAAATACCAATATCAGAAAGAAATGTCAAGAATATCACTGTTATTAAAATAATAAGAAAATATTATGGACAACTTTATGACAGCTTTAGAAGAAGTTGACAAATTACTTTAAAAATAAAACTTAACCCAAACTGACACACACTCAAGAAAATTACAAAATTCTCAGTTTCCTTATACTCATTAAAAAATTGAATTAACAAAAAGCATTCTTGCAATGAAAATTCCAGGCCCAGATATTATCATTTATGGATTCTGTTAAACATTTAGAAAGAAGTAATATCAATCTTTTATAAATTCTTTTAGAAAACGGAAGACAACATTTACAACTGATTTTATTATGTTAACTTTATACTGCCTGATACCAAAACCTAACAGATTCTACAAGGAAAAATATGCAGATGAATATCACTCAGAAACACAAAATGTCTTAAAAATATTACCAATTCAAATCTATAGTATAGGTAATATATCATCACTATATGAGATTTATCTTAGAAATGCAAAGTTTAACGTTCAAAAACAAATGGGATTCATATTAATTAAATAAGACAGCAAATCATATGTACTCTTAATAGTTAAAGAAAAAATATTTGACAGAATTAGTCAAATATTCACCTAGTTGTTACATTATTCAGTGATGAAAACTTGGCAAACTAAGATACAATGAAAATTCCTCAGTCTGATAAAGGATACCTGCAAAAAAACTATAGCTAGGTGACTACTAGGGGAACATCGTGATAGAGAAAGAGTAAGTACTAGGGGTTTAATCTGATTAAAGCACCATGTATACACATCGGAAACACCAAGGCAAAAAACCCTTTTGACCTATCAATATGTACATAAAAATCCCTGATGGATAGGAAGGTAAAACAGGTTCTGTCTGAGGTCGGAACCAGTGAGAGAAGGGAGGACATAGTGAAAGGGTGAAGAAGGGTGAATATGGTAGCTATATTTTGTATTCAGGCATGAAAATAGAATAATGAAACCTGTTGAAATTGTTCCATGAGAGGGATTGGAGAATAAGGGAAAAGGATGGAGGGGGTGAATCTAATTAATATATAGTGTAAGCACATATGTAAATATCACAATGTATCCCCCCATACAACTCTTATATGCTAATCAAATTTCTTTAAAAAAATCTATAGCTAGCATCTTACTTAATGTTGAAATACTGAATGCTATCCTAAATTTGAAAACAAGGTGTAAGTGTTCTCACACTTCTATTTAACATACCAGAAGTCCTACCCTCACTTCTCTGAACCCTCCTCTGCCCTCCAATTCACTGTCGTCACCAAGATGTCTCAGACAACTTCGGATCCATGTAGGATATTTTACCACTTGATTTCCTGAAGTTAAGTTATTGCCTGGGCTAGCACATAACTTAATTCCTCTCTTACTCTCTATTGTACCAATGTGTTACGGTTTTTCCCTCCTTTGCTACAGAACAGGCTAGCTTCAGCAACATATAGAATATTGCTCTGCTTTTATGCCTGATTTTGTAACACAAATGTTTACAAAATGTGACTAAGTAATGTGTACATGATTTTTGTAAATTAGAATACCCTGTGTTCGTATTTCCCATTGAAAGTAGTGCTATAGTGAGGACTATGATTGTGAAGATATATAAATATCTAAACTTCCATTTACTGAAGAATTGGAAGCTGATTTTTCTAGACCATACTTTTATCCCTACCCTAATCTTCATTGCATAGTAACTTCAATAATTGTGTTTTAAAGTATTGATGTGATGTTATCCTATAATAAGACAACTTAATGTGACTAATTCACATACAATTTTGGTGTGATTTAAAAGGTTTCTTTTTCTTTTTATCTTTTGTATATCCAGAAACTTGGGTTATATTGATGCAGTATTTCTTTGGGGCATATTTTGTTTTTAAAAGGATATCCAGGAGGCAAACTTTAAGACATCAAGTAGCCGACTCCTTGCAGCTGTTATGTCAGCTCTGTGTCACACTTCTGTTAAGCTGACTTCTATTTTCCCTATTGCATATGATGGAGAAGTACTACTGCGATCAATTGTTAAGCAAGTTAGCACAGAGAATGACTCGACGCTAGTTCATCGTTTTCCCCTTTTGGTTGCACATATGGAAAAGCTCAGTCAGGTAGGTCTTTTCTGTTTTTAATTTTAAATTTCCAAAGATAAAATTCATAAAGAAATAAATTTTAAAATATCTTCTGTAAAATATTTTGGTGTGTTAAAATAAGTGCAGTAAAACAATAAACTTAGAAAACATTTTTTATTAGCTGCTTCTGGTTTATTAGAAAGCTCTATAGATAATTTCAGGTCTGTCACTCTTGTTACATTGTGTACATTCAAAAGGAAGAGAGAAGCTATATATGATTATCATTTTCACTTAGCTAATTTTTACTTCTAGTAGGTAAATGTAGGTAGCAATGCAGGGTAATCTCTGCTTCCTGTACCTTGACATGCAAAAGGCTCTCCTAATACTCCACATTCAAACTGAAGAGGAAAATGGAAGTCTCTAATGAAGGTGTTGTGTATATTAATGAATGAAAACTGCTCGGATGGTTTACCTTAAAAAATTCTGCAGAAAAATGTACATGTATGAAACTGTATGTGTATATGTATATATACACATATATATACACACTAACTACTTAATAAAAATGATAAGGGAACTAGAAAATAGAATAACTTTCCTAATTACAGTAATAATTTCATGTTGACAAAATTATGAAGAAAATTTCAATGACATAGAAATAAAAAAGGTTAAGTTTACAATAAGATGAAAACTTAAAGAGATTCAATATAGTATCATTGCAGAATTTGTATAGAAATAATAAAAATAAATATAAGAGCCAGCATGCAAAAAGTTTCATCCATACTCAGAATTAAATGTGAGGGGTCAATTTGTTTCCAGAAAATTAGGAGAAATTAATTTTTTCTTTTAAGTGTCTGTGCTGGTGAGATTATGGAAAAACATGTCAACCTTTCAGATTGCTCATGGCATTATAAAATTAGTCCAAATAAATCTTTCTTTCAATCTTTTAACAACTATTTATTGTGTACTTATTTACTCAATAAGTACACAATAATAAGTAATAATAAGTGAAAAAAAATCCAGCTTTTGAATTGGGGGTCTGTAAACTAGCCAGTGTATTTAGAAAATTCATTTCACTACTATGTACTATGAGGATTTTCATAAGCAACTAAGGAAACTGGAAGCCCAAAGCCATACATGTACTTTACTATAAAGAATATTTAGAAACCTTAATTAGAGCCTTGAATGTTCACTGCTAAGTGAAATAGCTGAATTGCAAAAATTAATAGAACATGGTTCAGCTATTACAAATATGTGTATTTACATTTAATACCAAATGTTTGAAATTAAATGGTTGTCTTTAAATTTAAAAATGTACATACACAATGGTGACTGTAAAATATGTGTGTAATAGGCTCCTGAGTGGAAGAGAATACTGAGAAATGAAAATAATGTATACCTGATGAAGTTAGGGGTAATCTGATGTTTTTCTTTAGGAATTTCCATTACTATTGTTATTTTAAAAAGTAAACACTTCTAAAAAATGTATGTGTGTATGTAATAAAAAATTTAAACTACTAACATATAGTGATTATTAATAGCTATAAAAATTGTGTGTATTTATGTATATAACCTGTGAAGATATATCCTGGTTAATATATGTTCTTCCACTGTCTTTTTAATAGACATTATAGTGTTCCATCATTTTGGTATATCATAATCAGTCATATACACACACACATGCACACACACACACACACACACACACACACACACACTTAGACTATTCCCAGAATTTCAGTATTTTAAACAATGCTGCTGCCTTATCATTACCTAAATTTTTTTGCCTAGTCAGAAATACTTTCCTAGTATAAATCTGCCAGTATAGAAAAATTCTAAGTTAAAGCAAAACTTGCTGAAGGTTTGTTACAAATTGCCAAGTACCCATTAAAAAGCTACTGTCACTTTGCATTTTCCACCAATAATGAGTGGTTTTTCTAAAATTTTAATAGCCAGTATGCACTACTTTTTTCTGTTCTTTTACAAATCATATTGACAAATCATTAAAATATTATTTGGGAGGATTCTTGTATTATTCATGGAGACTACTAATTAGAAATTAATCAGGTACAAATAAATAAATAACCTCCACACACACTCCCCTTTTTCCTACACCCCTAATGAAACTTTGTAAAATTATTGATTATGAAGTAAAATTGGGTATTGAGTTTTATCAACAGCTAACTTTCTGAGATGTTCCAGAAAGGGAAGTTTTTGGAGAATGGAAAGATACAAAGCATAAAAGAATTCAAGTTTTAATGAAATCACGAGGTGATTATTTTAAATCCAGAAAAACAAATTAGATTAGAAATTAACTATATGTTACAGTGATTTTATTCAAATGTTAATAGAAATACCTTAAATGTGAAGATTATCTCTATGTTGTGTTTGTTTTAAACTAAGGTTGTTATGTTAGAAGAGTGGCTTACAGTAATACTTATGATAATTTTAACTAAAAAATTGCCTCGTTTCCAAATGAGTTGAAAGTATATCATTTACATATTTGATTTCTCCTCAGAAGAATGGTTTAACTTTAGACCCCTCTTCACCCTGCGATACTATGATTTTTATGAATCCTGTTGTGTATGTTGTAAAGCAATAATGAATATAATTATTGTGGAAAGCCTTGCTCAGAAGGCAAGAAGGTAGTTTTGATAATTGAATTATTGCAAGCAATTGCTCTGATATCACAGATGAAGTTGAGGCTCTATGAAAATACTGAAACTGGATCCCAAATTGTTTGATACCCTAGTCCATAGTGAAACTAAAAGGTTCATCCATTACTATGGCCTGCTGGTGAATCTGATTGCTCAAGAATTTCCCTGCTGGGTATCAGGTATAATATTTTCCATTTTTTTTTCTGGTATTTTTTTCCTTTGATTTTCAATGGGATTCTACTTTCTTATATTGTGATTTGGCAAAATGGAATTACTAGAGGTTGGAATTTTATCTCCTTTTGGAAAATGAATGAAGTAGCAGTTATAGCAATTATAAGACTGCCTAGGAATTACATATGTGCACAAAAGAATTATGTTGGAAAATTATTTTGTAAAGAGTATTTATACAGTTATTTTACCTCTAAATGTTTCAGAAATAATTGCCTCAGATTAAATAAAATCTTATCCAATAGAAAAGGAATTTTAAATGAGAATATTTTTTGTGATATAAGATTATGACTAAGACGTTAAATGAGAGAACATGTAAAAATGACTTAAAGATAATCAATTTACAAACACTGTGTAAGTAATATGGTTCTTTTATGATACAGGGTTTAATAATTCAAAGAACTGATTCAGGTCTGGATCGTAAGGGTGTCATATAGAAAGACAAGATTTTGCAACTGAGTACTCATGTGAAAGGAAATAAGGTAATTCCATAACACTGTATGCTCTCATGTATCATAGAGTGAAGAGAATATCTCAGGGATGACAAGCTTCCGGGAAGTCCTAGAGAAAATGCTGGTTATTGTTGTGCTGCCAGTCAGGAACAGCCTGAGGAGAGAAAATGAACTCTTCTCCTTCCACCTGGTCTCTAACACCTGTGGATTACTGGCCAGCATTGTCAGTGAGCTGACAGCGTCAGCCCTGGGATCTGAGGTAATGAGCTACATTTTGAGACTGGATAAATAAGCACAGGTTTATATTTTCTACATATTTTGACTTTTAAAGTAGGTCAACACTTTTTCGTTGACACAGTACATTTTTTTCTTTGAAAACAAGTCCTTGAAATCCAACTTTTTTTTTTTGACTTCCTTATCTGCTTTTTTCTGCTTCTTCTCCCTCATCAGTTTACCAAGAATGTCACAGTAATAGAAAGTCTACATTTTCCTCTTAGACTGGGTTCTCATCTGCCCATTGCACAACCATCCCCCCAACTTACACTAATAAGAACGAAAATAGCTCCCATTGCTGGATGATGAGTATTGCTATGAAATCAAGCTACTACTAATAAGTACATGGTGTGGAAAAGGCAAACAGCCCTGCTCACTCAGTTGACAATAGGAAAATACATATGGAAAATTGTGTCTCACCTATATTTTAGTTTTTTAATTATGATAAAATACTCATAATGTAAACTATTATTCTAATTATTTTTATCTATACAGTTCAATGACAGCAAGTACATTCACTTCATGTAACTATCATTTAGCATTTTAAAAGCATCAAATATTATGTTTGAGAAAATCCCTTTGAAACATTTTTAAATGCCTTTCTATTTTGTAAAGTAAAATTACTTTTCTCTATTTCACTGCCTTCCTTTGTTCTGTAACTTTGGCTGGAGGCTTGACTCAAGTGGTAGAGTACCTGCCTAACCAAGCTCAAGGCCCTGAGTTCAGACTTCATCACCACCAAAAAAAAAAAAAAAAATTCAAACTCTATAACTTATCGGAATGTTTTGATAGAATATGATGTTTCAGTTTCCTCCCCTAAACAGACTGTAGATTGGTTCTGAAACCCTTATTTTAATGTGAATATATCATTCAAATGATTTCTTGCCTAAGAACTTCTTTTCTCTATTTTACTTTTGCAATTCCTAGTCTTTGTTTGTTTTTTAACTTACACATTTATTTTAGAACCTATTCTGAATTAACCCATCCAACTTATACTTGTTACTGCTTCATCGTGACAGTGTAGCATTTAGAATTGCTGAATAATTACTTGGGCCTGAGCAAATTTTAGTGTTTCTTTCTAGGAAGCATTTCCTAGATTTATTGGTTAGCTTTGACTTTGGTCTAAGAGGCCATTGACACCTTTCCAAACAATGTTTATTTTTTAACTTTCATTCAATTTATGTTTCCCTTTTATACTAGACCCTAAAGGCTGAATCAAAAATCTATTACATGGGTCCACTTCCAGAGATTACAGAACGGTTATCTCCTGTGAACTTAGTTTCCTAATGAAAATGAATGCCAAAAATTGTATGGTGCCTAATATATGGCCTTGAGGGTTAGTTACCAAAGGTCCTGGTATAAATGTCCACATTTTGTTCTTTCTCAGAGAAGTTTGTAAATCTTGCTAGAATCATAAACTTCAACTGTGCCTTCTCAATCCTCCCAAATTTCTGTGCCCAACTTAGATTAGAAGCAGTTTCTACAAATAAAAAGGAAAGTTTCAAACTAAAATATGTTCTCTCATCTGCTCTAATGGATGTCTGTAACGTGTTGTGTGTGTGTGTGTACACATCTACTGAATGCTGTTACCATAAAAATATTATTGTGTGCATTAGTGGTATTCAAAGTTAGGAAACAGGCCATCTTATTTTCAAATAAAGTCTGTCTTGCAAACTCACAGATCAGAGAGAGGTGGTATAGTTGAAGAGAAGGAACTGTAAACCTACCTCTTTTTGCATACTTGTCTACAGAATTCCTAGAGTTCTGTGTCATAGAGTTAGAAAGTATGGTATATAGAATGCTAATTTTTTAGTATCTCTTTTCAAAGTGAGTAGTCACTCATGTTATTACTGTGATAACATAGAAGTTTGTAGTTTGGACATTATAAATTAAATGAAATGTTTAACTAAAAGAACAAAATACTATCAAGTGACATTGATTTGTGAATTTAGAATGATAAAGTCTGGTTTTATTATGAGTTAATCTTTTAATAGAACATGCCTTCAGGAAGGCTTAACCCACTTATTAAATACAGTTTATTTTATCAGACTTCTTAGAAACCTTTAGGTAGTTTTGTTACAGGTGTTATTATTAATATTCAGGTGCAAACTCTGATGTAATTATGTGTGCTTTTTACAGGTTGATGGACTTAATTCTCTTCATTCTGTAAAAGCCAGTGCTAACCGATTCACAAAAACAAGTCAGGGAAGAAGTTGGAACACTGGGAATGGGTCCCCTGATGCAATCTGTTTTTCAGTAGACAAACCTGGAATAGTTGTGGTTGGTTTCTCTGTCTATGGAGGAGGTGGGATTCATGAATATGAATTAGAGGTGTTGGTTGATGATGTAAGTATCACTCTTATGGCATTCATCCTGCAGTATGTGCTGTGTATCAGGGCTTGTCATTTTCATAGTATGATGAGTACAAATCTTTGAGAGTTTAGCAGGTCACACATACATGGATAGCATTAAATCAAGAGTTATTTTACCTGATTATTTGTATGCTACCTTCGATCACTCCTGCCTGACATATATATTTGCATTTCAAAAGGACAAGATTTTTAACTGGAATTGAAAACTGCATATACCTTAAGCCTTTGATTGCAAGCCTTGAGTAATTTTTATTTTGCTGTTGTCACTTTTCATGAAAAAAGGAGTGTTCAAATGGATATTATTACCTCTGTCAGTGGTTAAGCAGTTTTGTCAGTTCTAATGTGAAGACTATATTTGATTGATTTAGTTACATTTTTACATGTTCTCAAAATTATTTAAAGTATCTAAGTTTTTGCAAAGTTTTATTAAGATGGGACAGAAAGATAGTATGTAAATCATTTCCTAATAATAGCAATGTGTCTATAACTTGATTGTTTTGAATATTAATTCATTAGGTTCTACAAGCCCTCTTACAAAGAAGTGGGATAGCTTTAAAACCTCAGATGAGAATTGTCCATTATGTTGTAATTTCTTTAATAAGTCAGATAAAAGTTAATAGTTTATAGTAACAAGAAGTGTTTTAATACACATGGGAATTAGTAATGACTAATTTTATATGCAAGAAAATAAATTGCTAGTTGCTCATGGTGGTTCATGTCTATAATCCCAGAGGAGGGAGACAGAGGCAGGAGCATCATGAATTCAAGACCAGCCCAGGCAAAAGTAGCTAGATCCTATCTCAAAAAACAAAAATAAAAAAAACCAGAAAGGTTGGGGGCATGGCTTAAGTGATAGACTGATTGCCTAGCATGCTTGAGGCCCTGGGTTCAATCCCCAGCAATGCAAAAAGGAAAACAAAATACTGCTTAAAAACATTAATTAATTATAAATCAAAATTGTTCATATAATGAAATTAAGAGTCTGGTGGATTTTGTTTTGATGTCTTCATTAGAGTGAACATGCAGGAGATTCCACTCATTCCCACAGATGGACATCTCTAGAATTAGTCAAAGGAACTTATACAACAGATGATTCACCTAGTGACATAGCTGAAATCAGACTGGACAAAGTTGTTCCTTTAAAGGTAATTTTTGCTATATGATTCTAAAACAAGAGGCAATATCATATAGTTAAAAATGCTGAAAAGTATTCCATGAATTTTCATTATTAGCTATGGCTTTTTCTAAGTTATCATTTAGATGGTGCTTTACATAATTATGGTGGTACCTACTGCAGTACAATATTCCTGATTTGTACCACATTGTACTGTGTTTTTGTATAATATCTGTTAGTATTGGGCATAGTAGGAAGAAAAGTTAGGTTTTAGAGTCAAACAGACCTAGCTTCAAAAACCTGTTCTTTCATGATGGATGCCAGTGGCTTACACTTGTAATTCTAGTTATTTGGGAAGGCTGAGATCAGGAGGATGGCAGTTCAAGGCCAGCCTGAGCAAATAATTCAAGATATCCCATCTCCAAAATAGCCAGAGCAAAATGGATTGGGGTGTGTCTCAAGTGGTAGGGCATCTGATTTGCAAGTTGAAGCCCTGAGTTCAAACCCCAGTCCTATCAAAAAAAAAAAAAACTTGTTCTTCCAGATGTCATCTTTAAGACATTGACAAGTCATCATTTTACCCCTCTGAGCCTAATCTATACATGGGGAAGAATAATATGTGCATTGTACTGTTATGTAGATTAAATTAAATTATGGAAATAAAGCCACATGCCTGTAGCCCAGCAGAGTGTGGAAACTGAAGAAATGTTAGTCCTGTCTTTCCTTCTATTGTGCCAAATCTCCTTTTAAAAATGGAATTTATAGTTAGTGCTAGCTATTAAAGTTAGTACTTCACAGAGCTTAATTTTTTAAAAAATATTTGCAAAATAGAGAAATTTTGCCACATTAAAGTAATTATTAATGTGAAAATAAATGAAGTTTTTCTGAATTCAGCTGAAAGAGGCTTTATTACAGAGCAAAATTTTATATAGAGTAGGCTCATCAGAGACTTCAAAAAGAATTTAATGCTGAAAAACTCAAAAGCTTTTATTATGAATTTTCTGTGATGGATCCTGAAGCTTGAATGTCTATAGCTCTGTGCCTTATGTGTAGTGCATCCTGTTCAGGAGAATTGTTTTCTTGATGAATATTTTCTCCACGTTAGCTGCCTTTTTATTTTTGTCTCTGAATGAATGTCTCCCAAAGTAAGAATGTAATGGGCTCATAATTTATTCACACTTAAAATTATTTTAAGATTTAAATTCATGAAGGAAAAATACTAGTTTATAGTCTTAAAACCTTTTATTATGGCTGATATTGTAGCAGTATGATTAGGAACAGGAATTGGCTATACTGCTGGTGTTTAATCCTAACTACAAACTATGGGACTTTGGGCAAGTTATTTAACCTTTGAGCCTGAGATTCCTCTTCTGTAAAATAACATACTTGCCTGGCAAAGAGACATTAAAGACTAATTAAATCATGTATTTAGGATAGTTTCTGTTAACACAAAAGGCATTCAGTAAGTACTAGCTGTCATACTTGATTCAATAAAAATTCATTTAATATCATCTATAAATATGACATGAAGTTCATACATTTTCCTAGTTGACTGATAAGAGTTACTTTTGTATATCCCCTGTACCTTATAAATAAATATAAATATGTTTCCATCTTTATCATGAAGGAGAATGTTAAATATGCTGTGCGCTTGAGGAACTATGGAAGCCGTACAGCCAATGGAGATGGAGGAATGACCACAGTTCAGTGCCCTGACGGTGTGACCTTTACATTCAGCACATGCAGCTTGAGTAGTAATGGCACAAACCAAACCAGAGGACAGATACCACAGATACTCTACTATAGGTAGGTGTATCTATAGACAAATGTAATACGCTAAAGTGGTATAACATACAACATACTACCGTGGCAAAAAGTGCTCAGCAGGTAGCTGATAAGTATACAGTTTATCTTCCTTGAAGATAAATTGAACCAATTCATATAAAGAAACCTTATTTTAAGATTTAAATTCAGTGTTAACTATAAAGGTGAATGATTTAAAAAAATTGTCATTTTCTGTGTCATTGAAATTTTTGTATACTGAGCACATGCACTATTACCACTTTAAAATTTCTTGTCTACAGTTTTAAATTTAAATGAACTTACTCATTTCTCTTTATAAATACCTAAAACAAGTGATCAAATTGCCTCAGCCCACATATTGATGCTGCTTTGATCCTGTTATCCAGCCTATAGAATATTTCTCTGTGTTTATGAATCTTTTTATCTGACCAGGCTAGTCCTGGGACCTAAAATATATATGGTGTATTTCTTATAATGTTTTAACAAAAATTATTTGTTATGTAAAAAGTCAAAACTAAAGAATGATAAAAATCATTTAGTTAAAAAAAAGAACCTTTAAATACACATTTCTCACTGTATTTGAATTTTTCTTGCAGTGACTTAGCTGGAGGCTTAGATAGTACTGAGTACCCTTGACCACATTTGTCCTTGACCTAACTTAACACCAAATGTATAGCACTTTTAGAGGCTTGCTTCTTCTTCCATTTCCTAGGTAGTTAGTATAAAATAAATCCCCTAAATAAGGATTTTGTGTCCTTTATCCATGTGAAATGGAATAAACACAGTATGTGTATAGAACAGTGTTGTTACTGAGATGCACAAGCTTTCTAGTCTTTATACTCCAATCATGAAAAAATTTTTCTGTTGTATATGCACTGTAATTAATAGTACATCATTCTCTTCTCAACCATACATTAAAAACTATAACATGCACAGAAAATGAGGTTTATATTACAAAAAGATAGATCACCATTAATGGTGTGTAGTATCCAAACTTTTAAATATCATTATATTCAACACCAAGCCTTAAGTATCCTTAGCTTTAAATTTTAAAATTAAGATAAAAAATGTTAAAGTCTTTAAACATCTTTCTATCCTGGACTGAATATCCAAGTCCCTCTTTGACACCAATGGTGATGATTCTGCTTATTATACACTGAGCACTTAAACTGTGTGCCAGGCTGAACTCTAGTGCTTTACCTGTGGTTGTCTTGGCTAGTACTATCCCTGCTTCACAGAGGAGAGAACTGAGGAATTGAGTTGTAAAACATCTTGCCCAAGTAACATTTGTAGTGAATTTCGTTACACAGATTTATAGGCAGGAAATTGGACTCCAGATGTGACAGACTTGGATCACTAACCCTATATATCCTCCTGAAGAATATTTTCTGTAGTTTGCTGATACACATCAACATTTACAGCCAAACACCTTGTCATTCTTAATGTCTCTTCCTCTTGCACTTTACATCTAATTTATTAATAAATCCTGACAGATCTGCTTTTAAAAAGTCCTGAATCTGACCTTTTCTACCACTTCCATACTAGCAGCCTCATCCAAGCCACCACGACCCTGCCTGTAAAATTATACTATCCTCTATATGAATGTTTTCTTTCCTATTGCCCTCATATAGTCAGATTTCCCCAGTGCAGCCAGCATGATATGATAAAAATATAAAGCATACCACCTTCTGCCCTTGCTCAAGGGCAGAAGCCCCATGACCTTCTCTTTCATACCAGTATGAACTAGCACATCGTTGTTATGGTCTTTCAACTTCACATGACCTGACTCCCATTTTCCTTTCCCACCCAGCAGTCTGCACTCTTTCTTTCATTCTAGCAACACTTGTCTTCACTCTCTTCCTTGAACATACCACTCTTTTCCCTTTATCCTGACACTTTCCTCTCAGATCTTTTATGGGTCATTTTTGTTGTTTTTTTTTAACATAATTTAGGTATTGGTTTAATGTCAGTTCATCAAAGAGAAACTTAATCTTATTTAAAAATCTCACCTTTTATGCCCTATACTTTGTTTTCCTTTACTTCTTGAATTTATGTAGTTACATAATTACTGGTTTGATTTTAACTGTTTTTTACTGTAAGGAGTTTTGTTTTGTTTTATTTTTGGTGTTACTGGGGTTTGAACTCAGGGCCTCGTGCTTCCTAGACAGGCATTCTACCACTTGAGTCACTCTCCAAGCCCTTTCTGGCTTTAATTATTTTTTTGGATAGGGTCTTGCATTTTTTTGTCCCACAGCTGGCCATAGGCCCATGTATCTGGGATCACAGATGCATACCATCACGTCCAGCTTTTTAATTGACATGGGGTATCACGGACTTTTTGCCTGGGCTGGCCTTAAAACTCTATCATTCTTATTTCTTCCTACTGAGTAGCTAAGATTGGAAATGTAAGCCACTGCACCTGGCTTTTACTGTAAGTTTAATTCAGAGGCTCACTCTGATATACATATATATGTGTGTATATATATATATATAATTCCTAAAGTTAGATTGTATTTGGAATACCATTCATTGTAAACTAATTTCATGTTTACTCATTTCATAGGAGTGAATTTGATGGAGATTTACAATCCCAGCTTCTAAGTAAAGCCAATGAAGAAGATAAAAACTGTAGCAGAGCTCTCTCTGTGGTGAGCACTGTTGTTCGAGCTGCTAAAGATCTGTTGCACAGAGCTCTTGCTGTGGATGGTAAGATTGTCCTTTTTCTTTCTTAAAGATCATAGCTTACATTCTCTATTCCCTCACAGGACCCAGATTACAGAACCCCAACTGTTTTGCTCATCATCATTCTACAAGCACATTGACTTTTAGATCATTATAGTCTCCGTAGTCTGATATAGAATTTTTCAGAATGTTCATAAGCAATGACATGATATTCTTATTTTCTTAGTTAACCCAAGCAGAGAAAAATTCTGTCTTGATAAAACTGGGTCTTTGCTTTATTCTTTTTTTAGTAGCCAAAGCTTTTTCTTCCTATACACTGTTTTAAGTAATATGTCATCATTCCCCTAAAGGTCTGAGAAACCCTATCTGTCTCCTCAGATTCACTTGTCTAAATTGAATTCTATGAACTCTTCCAAAGGAAACTCTCCAGGTTGTATTCTCTTCTCTGTTCTCCCACAGCCTAGTTCAGGCTCCCATGGTGCAAGTAGTGTCCTCTTTTTCATGGGTGAATAGTATCCCACTGCCATCTCTACCCCATTTTCATAATTATCTGGTGATCCTCCATACTGGTAGCAGAGTTATCAGTATAAAAATATTCACTGTTAATCCTAACCCCTATTATTGGAGAATTTGTTCCTAAGCCTAGTTGTACATCACAGTCACCTGGGAAACTTTCTAAAAATAGGAATATTTGATCCATCCTCAGGGTTTAGTCTAGGCTGAGAAGCTATATTTTTAAGTTCCCAACCTATTCTGATGCAACAGCAGATCTAGAAACCAGTATTTAGCAGAATAATTGGCCTGTAATATAAATGTCTTCAGAATCTGCACTCAGCTTATTTTCCTAACACCACGTTCATGGATCAATGACTAAAATGGTCTTTGGGTGCTTTATACGTGCAGGTATTATTCTAAGTGTTTTACATGTATTAACTTATTTAATTTTCATAGACTTCACAGTGAGGAAATACTGCTGTTATCCTAGTTTGCAGATTAAATAATTTTCCTGTTGTCAATCATTTTCACATGTTTAGTTATAGAGTAGTACTTTAAAGTATGGCTATTACCCTATGTTGTAATCCTGGCTTTATTATTTTACAAGTTTATAAACTTAATACACATGAATATTTTGGGTACGATACTTATACATTGTACCTTGGTTTCCCCTTCATTTTAGAAGAATAGTAGAAGTTTTAGTGGGGCTAATAAAGTTGCCTTATTATAGGGATTAAGCTCTTAGAATAGTGCCAGGTCTCATTTATAAACAATTAGGGTCAACCGTAATTTTGCCTAAGAGAACAGAATAAAGGTTAGTATAGCATATGTATGGTACAATTAAACTGCTTTCTAACCATAGTTTTCATGCCTTTTTTAGCTGACGACATTCCAGAACTGCTTAGCTCTTCCAGTCTGTTTTCCATGCTGCTCCCTCTTATTATAGCCTACATAGGACCAGTGGCTGCTGCTATTCCCAAGGTGTGTAATTTAATGCTATAACTTTGAATCTTTTATTTTGAAGACATACCCTTGTTTTAAACTTTATATCTTTCTTTTAAACATACTTGAATCTTTGAGGCACAAAGGTTACAAGTAGCAGGCAGACTTAGACATGTTAAGTTGTAGTAGTCATTAGTTACATCTTTCTCAGTATTGTTTGCTGAATTAATATGCTGACATACTGGCTGTACATTTTAAGCATGGAAAATATATTTTAGAATGTGACTTATAAAGAAAGATTAAGTTAACTGAGTTTTTTTTTTAATTTATATGCTTGATGCCAAATCTCCATTTTGAATAACAACAGACTTGGAAAAGGATAGTAGTGTTTCTTCAAGACACTGAAGAAATTATAAAGTATTGATTTTTTTTTTGGTATAGTTAAATATTGAGTGAGGTCTAACTTACTGTAGATCACAGAAAAGCAAAATTTTTAAAAAATATTGGCTAACAATGGCAATACTGCCTAACTCATTCGATGAAGCCAGACAAAGTAGACTTCAAACTTACATTGGTCAAACGAGATAAACAGGACACTTCACAGTAATAAAAGGAGCAATACATCAGAAGGACATAACGATTATCAACCTATATGCACCCCATATCAGTGCACCCAGTTTCATCAAACATACACTAAAGGACTTAAAAGCACATATAGACTCCAACACAGTGGTAGTGGGAGACTTTAATACCCCTCTATCACCAATAGATAGGTCATCCAAACAAAAAATCAATAAGAAATCCTAGATCTAAATCACACCATAGATCAAATGGACCTAGCTGATGTTTACATAATATTTCATCTATCTTCTGCACAGTATACATTCTTCTCAGCAGCCCATGGAACCTTCACCAAAATTTATCATATCTTAAGGCACAAAGCAAGCCTCAACAAATATAAGAAAATAGAAATAATCCCATGCATTCTGTCTGATCACAATGCATTAAAACTAGAACTAAACAACAAAAGCCACAGCAAAAAAATGCACAAATAATTGGAGGCTGAGTAACACATTACTCAACTCTCAGTGGGTCATAGAAGAAATAAAAGCAAAAATCAGAAGGTTCCTGGAAGCTAATGAAAATGAAAACATTGCCTCCCAGAACCTATGGGACACAGCAAAGGAAGTTCTAAGAGGAAGGTAAAAGGACAGAAAGATTTCAAATAAACACCATAATGCTACATCTCAAACTCCTAGAAAAACAAGAATAAGCAAAACCCAAAACAAACAGATGGAGAGAAATAATAAAAATAAGGGCTGAAAGTAATGAAATAGAGACAAAAAAAACCTAGAAAGAATCATTGAAACAAAGATCTGGTTCTTTGAAAAAATAAACAAGATTGACAAGTCCCTGGAAAATCTGACTAAAATGAAGAGGGAAAAGACCTAAACTAGTAAAATCAGAAACAAAAAAGGAGAGATAACAACAAACAATAAGGAAATCCCCGGAATCATCAGAGACTACTTTGAGAACCTATATTACAATAAATTGGAAAATCTTGAAGAAATGGACAAATTTCTAGGTACCTATGACCATTTAAAACTTAACTAAGGATATTAGCCACCTAAACAGATCCATAACACAAAATTGAAGCAGCAATAGAGTCTCCCAAAAAAGAAAAGCCCAGAACCTGATAGATTCTCAGCTAAATTCTACCAGACCTTCAAAGAAGAACTAATATCAACAGTCTTTAAACTTTTCCATGAAATAGAAAGGGAAGAAACACTGCCTAACTCATTCGATGAAGCCAGCATTACACTCATCCCAAAACTGGACAAGGACACATACAAAAAGAACTACAGACCAATCTCCTTAATGCACATAGATGCAAAAATGCTCAATAAGATAATGGCAAATCGAATCCAACAACATATCAGAAAGTTCATTCACCATGACCAAGTCAGCTTCATCCCAGATATGCAAGGATGGTTCAACATACGCAAATCAGTAAATGTAATATAGCACATTAATAGAAGCAAAGACAGAACCACTTCATCATCTCAATAAATGTAGAAAAAGCCTTTGATAAGATTCAACACCACTTCATGATAAAAACTCTAAGAAAACTAGGAATAAAAGGAATGTACCTCAACATTATAAAGGCTATATATGACAAACCTATAGCCAATAACTATAAGTTCTCCTTATAGTTCTCTTCAGGGGGAACTATAACTTAATAACACGGGGAAAAACTGAAATTATTTCCCCTAAAGTCAGTAGTGAGACAAGCATGCCCACTCTTCTCACTGCTATTCAACATAGTCCTGGAATTCCTAGCCAGAACAATAAGGCAAGAAATAGAAATAAAAGGAATACAAATAGGTAAAGAAATAGTCAAAGTATCTCTGTTTGCAGATGACATGATCCTAAACCTCAAAGACCCAAAAAACTCCACAACACCATAAACAGTTTGAGCAATGTAGCAGGATACAAAAGCAACTTACAAAAATCACTACCCTTTTTGTACACCGACAATGAATAAGTTGACAAAGACTATAGAAAAACAATCCATTTACAATAGCCCTCCCCCCAAAAAATCAGATACCTAGGAATAAACTTAACAGAGGATGTAAATGACCTCTACAAGGAAAACTATAAAGCACTGAAGAAAGAAATGGAAGAAGACTACAGAAGGCGGAAAGATCTCCCATGCTCATGAATTGGCAGAATCAACATAGTGAAAATGGCTATACTACCAAAAGCAATCTATGTATTCAGCACAATTCCCATAAAAATCCCAGTGACATTCGTCACAGAGATAGAAAAATCTACCCTAAAGTTCATTTGAAAACACAAAAGACCGTGAATAGCCAAGGCAGTACTGAGCAAAAGACCACGAATAGCCAAAGCAATACTGAGCAAAAAGAGCAATGCTGGAGGTATCACAATACCTGACTTCAAACTATACTACAGAGCAATAGCAATAAAAACATCATGTACTAGCACAAAAACAGATATGAAGACTAGTGGAACAGAATATAAATCCATGCAGCTCCACCCACCTTATTTTTGACAAAGGTGCCAAAAACACACGATGGAGAAAAGACAGCCTCTTCAACAAATGTTGCTGGGAAAAGGGGTTATCTACCTGCAGAAAACAGAAACTCGATCCATGCCAATCACCCTGTACTAGTACCAATTCAAAGTGGATTCAGGACCTTAATATCAGACCCAAAACCTTGCAGTTAGTACATGAAAGAGCAGGGAATACCCTGGACACAATAGGTACAGGCAAGGACTTCCTCAGTAGAACTCCAACAGCCCAGCAACTAAGAGAAAGGATGCACAAAAGGGAGTACATGATACTAAAAAGCTTCTGCACAACAAAAGAAATGATCTCTTAACTGAAGAGACCACCCACAGGGTGGGAGAAACTATTTGGTAGCTATACATCAGACAAAGAACTGATAATCAGAATATAGAAGGAGCCCAGAAAACTAAACTCCCCTAAAATCAATGAACCAATACAGAAGTGGGCAAGTGAACTAAACAGCACTTTTTCAAAGGAAGAAATCCAAATGGTCAAAAAACACATGGAAAAGTGCTCACCATCCCCGGCCATAAAGGAAATACAAATCAAACCACACTAAGATTCCACCTCACTCCTGTTAGAATTGCTAGCATCAAGAACACCACCAACAACAAATGTTGGCGAGGATGCGGGAAAAAAGTACCCTCATATACTGCTGGTGGGGAATGTAAACTAGTATAACCACTTTGGAAAACAATATGGAGGCGTCTTAAAAAACTAAACATAGATCTGCCATATGATCCAGCAATACCATTCCTAGGGATATATCCAAAGAAATGAGACTCAAGTTATTACAAAAGGACCTGCACACCCATGTTTATTGCAGCACTAGTCACAATGGTCAAACTATGGAAACAGCTAAGATGCCCCACTACTGATGAATGGATCAAGAAAATGTGGTATTTATACACAATGGCATTTTACTCAGCCACAAAAAAGAATGAAATTTTGTCATTCACAAGTAAATGGATGAAACTGGAGAACAACGTGTTAAGTGAAGTTAGCCAGACTCAGAAGTCCAAAAATCACATATTCTCCCTCAAATGTGGATTATAGACCTAAAAGAAATGCAGTAATATTATTGGACATGGGTCACACACTAAGGGGAGACCGTGCACGGAAGGAATAGGAAAAGGGAAGGAAACCTAAAACTTGAATGTGGTTGATGTCCTCTCTGTAGAGGGGTGAATAAAGTAATCTTAAAGTGGCATAAGCTACTCTGGGAAGGGGACCAGGAAGTACCGAAGAGGTAGAGATGAACCAATGTGGGTTGTAATACACAAGTGCATAGAAGCAATGCTAGGAATCTTTCTGTACAGCTATCTTTATCTCAAACTAGCAAAAACTCTATGTCTTTCTTATTATCTCCTATGTTTTCTCTTCAACAAAATTGGAGAAGAGGGCAGAACAGGTTCTGGCTGGAAGCAGAGTGGGAAGTGGTGAAGCAGAGGGGTGAGGGGGCCCAAACAAAGTATACACATGTAAGTAAATGTCAAAATGATGAAAGAAAGAAAGGTAGATAGATAGGTCAGGTTAGATATTTAAAAATTAAATACTGGCTAAGTTATTTTAATGTAATGTCTAAGATAAACCTTACCTGGTAGAAACTGGATGGCATATGTAACTAATAAGTGTAACTAACAGGTATGCTAATTCATAATTTAAAAGTCACGATCACATTTATTTTCTTGTTTAATCTTTTTTATATTTACTAGGTGGCTGTAGAAGTCTTTGGCCTTGTCCAACAATTGCTTCCTTCAGTTGCTATTTTGAATCAGAAGTATGCACCCCCTGCATTCAATCCTAATCAGTCAACAGATAGCACCACCGGAAACCAACCTGAACAAGGTCTTTCTGCTTGTACAACGTCTAATCATTATGCTGTTATAGAGAGCGAGCACCCATACAAACCTGCCTGTGTGATGCACTACAAGGTAGGCATCCATTCTGAGTGAGAATTTAAGATTGAATGATGTCTAAAAAATATACTTTGGCTGTAATTAGAAATGTGACTTCTTGGATATCGCTCTTGACTAGCATATGTAAAGCACTAGGATCAATCTCCAAAACTGCAAAATAAAAATAAAAAATAAATAAGAAGGAAGGATAGGAGGAGGGAGGAAGTGAGGAAGGAAACTTCTTTTGCAGTAGGTAACTAAAATCTGCAGATTTTAGACACTGTCAGATACACAGAAGGCTTTAGGACATAGTTTTTACCTTAAAGAGTATAGTTTTGTAGGCTTATGAGAATTGTTCTCAACTGTACTTACAAATGTAGTGTATTGCCTAATGCAAACTCCATTCTGTATATTGTAATTGTAGTAGATATAAGCCTTAAGATTTGTAAGTCATTTTTTAAACTGTCTTTTATACCACAGCCTGAGCTTGGGAAATTCACATCCCCAATATAGGATTTAAAGTAGCTTACTATGCTTAGTACCAAAAAAAGGACAGTATTTATACTGGAATATACTCAGAGAACAAAATGCCCATCTTCCCACTTATACATAGGCAGTTATTATATATAATATTCAGAATCCTTATTTTTTTCAAAGTTGTGTCATGTAAATTAATGTGTTATAAAACATTAAACTTTTTATTATAGAAAATAAATGTGTAAAAGTAGACAATACTGTGCAGTGCACTCCATTTATCCATCTCCCCAGGATCTTCCAATTCTAAGTCAAACCTTCATTTATTCCCACCTATCTCCTTCCTTCATAAAGAACATGCATGATATTTTCATAGGTATATCTCTATAAAACTAGGTGAAAGGAAAGTGAAAAGCTAGAGAAAAGAGACACACTGAGAATCTGTGACCTTCACAAGCAGCCGGTCTTTATTAGGGAAAGAAGACCTGAAAAGGAACCCTAGGCCATCAGAGTAATATTCCAAGAGAAGCTAGAGCATGCCTTTCGTATAGGCTGGGGTTTTTAAGTATCCTGTGGTGGGAAAAGAGAGGTTGGAGGAGCATGGGCAGTAGGTTATGTGGTTGGGAAGGAGGATGGGGGAGGTGCTTGACATTAGCGAAGGTCACTGGGTCTAGCCAACTATGTGTGTTGTTTTTCTCTGGCTCTCTTATTGGAGGTAGCCATGTTTACATTGTTTCAGTGTTTCTCAGCATTCCAGCTCTAGGGCCCTGAAAAGTAACCGTAAGATTATCATATTGGAAAGTATTATGCAGATTTTACTAGTTTGTTTGAATTAGAATACAGGTAAGATGCATATTTGCCAACTGTTATATTTCTGAAATCCCTTTTAATTTCAAATCCCTGTAAATCTATAGCTCCCCCTCATTTCGCTTTTTTTGTTTGTTTGTTTGTTTCCTTCAATTTTATTTGTTGAGGAAACTGAACCTTATGTCTTTGTTGGGTAAGAGCTCCTTCATCTTATCTGCCTAATTCTTTCAACAACCCCTTGTAGTCATTCCTTGCGTCTTTGCTCTCTGGCACGGTAAAATGTTCATGTATCTTATGTGTTTCCTGCCTGAGTTTGGAACTAGACAGTTTTTCAAAAAGGTCCTTGTTTCTTTTACATGTGTATACATACATAATGCACACATGCTACTTATATATGTGTATATGTGTATATATTTATGTATAGGCACATTCATTTGTATATGTAGTTTTTATATATAAAATATCTCATGAGCTCATACTGATGATACTAATTTACATAAAGGCAACAGAGACACCTGCATCTCCCTTCTCATATATTTAGAATCTCTGTGCTCATTGACACTGGGAATATTGAAATTAGGAAATTCCTTAATTATTCATTTGTGTGGGTGCATATGTGTGGGTGGGTAGGTGGGTGGGGGTTTTTGTTCTTAAGTATATTCCAACTAATGTGTATAATCAAATCTTGTGTCTTTAAGTAGAATTATCAATGTTAGGAAAAATGCTGTTCACAAGGAAAGCTCACGAGAAAAGTCTCACATCCAAGAGCAAGGTTTAATGGCAGGCTCAAGCTGTCAGGCTGGCCGGGGAAAGATGGCACAGCACTGACTCTGGGCTAGGCGTGGCTTTGATAGAGGATGGAGCTTAAGGAAGTTAGCGTGTGCACGGGAGTCTCCGTTAGGGTGGAGCTGTCTTAGAGCGTGGGAATTTCTGTTAAGGGTGGGGCTGCCATTGGGGTTAAGGTTGCCTAGGGGAGGCTTCATTTCTCAAGAAGTGAAGCCTGAGGATAAAATGGCCGCAGATTCACAAAATGGTGACATTATTACCCTATCATTCCACCATTTTTTCTTTAATAATGATGAGGGTAGGGGCTGAGGATTGGGAATTGTTGGCCTCTTAGCTGCTTCCTGCTGGCAGGGGGCGTTGTATGGGGCGAGATCCTCAGACTCCTGTGGCTGTAGTGGTGTCCTGGTAGCATCCCTCACAGCAGTCCTTCGGACAGTTTTGGAGAGGTTGATATCCCTGGAGGTACAACTGATTAAACTTTTGATTAACAATAGCAGACATGAGGTCTAAGAGAAATCTTTGTACTGTTTATATGATACAAGGGAGGAAGCTTAAGAATAGGAGATCAAAAACATAAAGAGCATTTTCCTGGTTTAAGGGTTTGTATTTCCACAGCATCATTACATGTGCAGCATCTTTCTATAGTAGCCTCTATAATGGACCTAATAAATCGTATAACCAAGGGAAGGGAGCAGGGAAGTGTTATGCATGCTCCCAGAATTAGGCCCACTGCTCCTGCCAGTGTTTTAAATCCACTTATGGCAGAAAATCGAGAGCCAGATGAGGACTAAGAATTTATGTAGGAGTGGAAGAAGGAGACAGTTTACAGGAGAGGAGTAGCTGCGTGGGACCCAGCAGTGTGCAAGAGTACTCATCCTTTGCTGTATTGGAAGAGTCTGAGGTGTTTTATCCTTGAGAAGTGCTGCCACTGGAGAATCCCATTGAGTTTGACAGCAGTGGGTGTCGTGAGGATGACCAGATGAGGGCCAGTCCACTGAAGTCCCAATGGAGAGGGTCGAAGTTCCTTTAGGAGAACAAGATCCCCTGGTTTAGAAGAAATTGTTAAAGGATGGGGCAGGATCTGGTCTGCATGCTCTCTGAGAAGTTCCCTGAGAAGGTTAAGATAAGGTAGATAGTCATCCAGAGGAGCAGGGTGGTCTGTTGTGGTGGATTTTTCTCATTGCCCATGGATTCCTGGGCTTTCTCAGGTGAACTGGTTTGGTTTGCACCTTTATTGGGGGAGAGGAAAACAGTCTTAAGACCCAAATAGAAATATTAGAAGGAGCATAAAAAGATGTCTGTTAAGGATTGCATATCTAGGGATCCAGATTCTGCAAAATCCTGTAACTCCCAAGAAAGTTCTAAGGTACTTTATGGTCTGAGGGTGAGGGAAATGGAAGTTTGGGTTGATTCACTCATGACTCAGGGAGTGAGTCTGTCCTTTTAAGAATACACCTAGGTAGGTGACCTGTGGGAGGCAGGGGCTGACTGTCAGAATTCAGGTTAAATGTAACACTCTTGCATAAAAGAGAGTGCTAGCTCATTTTTTTATATAACTTTGTAAATGTATACAACACTGTTACAAGGTGGTCATTTAAGACACATGAGCAAATACGTAAATGAACTCTGATTTAGTAGTACTTAAAGCTTGACAAGATCAGCAGAAAACACAAATAGTCCAGGGTCCCAGTAAGCCCAGGGAGGGGAAAGGACACTTGGTGAGACCATGGAGGGAGCAGAAAAGGTGTCTTCACATCTTAGGTAAGGGAGGGGAAGGCAGATTCTAGAGGCATTTCACACGCCTGAGGGATACGTGATCACGTGTGCCTCCAGGTCACTCCCATTGACTGGTACTGGAACACTTTCAGCAACACGAGACCACTCTTAGGTCATTGTCTAAGGCAGAAGGGACATTAGACGGGGTGGGAAAGAGAAGAAGCTATCAGATGCCATAACCAGTCAGGATTCCCCAACATAGCATGAGATGTAACCGAATAAACCCTGGACTTGGTCTCGGCCCACCGGGAGGGAGCATGAGCTCTCTCAGAGCCGGAATTGCCTTGAGGCCAGAGTTGACAAGGAGTGGCTGGCTTGACACCATGATGGGAATGTCCCTCAGGTAGATAGGAAGAGATAGGCAGGGTGAGCAGCACAAGGAAGTCTGCTTACATGGGGAAGGAGGAGGTTTGGGAGAGGATTTGGTTGGTTTAGAGGCTGGTTTAGAGGCTAATAGAACCTGCACAGGGGAACAGGAAGTACAGAGGGAGGGTTTGGTGCAGAGATAGGAAAAGGATTGGATGTAGGGTATTTCCTTCCATTTCCCAGTGCACTCACAGAAATTGTATAAATCCCTTAAAATATTGGGATCAAAAGTGCCATTAAGTGGCCATTTGGAGGCATTGTCTAACATATATTGGGACCAGGCCTGATTACAGAGAAAAATGAGCTTTCGGGGCTTAAGATTAGGCATTAGGCGAAGGGTCCGAAGGTTGGCCAGGAGACATCCCAATGGGGAGTCTGAGGGAATTTGGAATGGTCCAACTCCCATGGTGAGGCCTCAACTGAGGAGAAGATATGACAGGCATCCCTGAGATATCGATTCCTCAGGAGAGAGTAGAGGTGGGATTCCCGGGAGGGCCATCTCTGTCACCGGGGCCTCACAGTCCTGGGGGACCTGGTCCCCAGAGAGGAGAGAAAGCCAAGACCTAGCGCTAGGATTTGAAGGAAATGAGAAAGTGAGATCAGAGCTCTGCGTGCATGGAAGACTCACCGAGAGAGGACCTTGAGGGAGGATTAACCGGTGGTGGATGACGATTGGAAGCACGCTGGGGTGTAGGAAATTCCCTGTGAGCAGTGAGGGCATCTTCTAGGATCGGGGGTCCTGGCAAAGCAGCTCAAATCCCTGAGGAAGGGAATGGGAGTTTAACTTTTAGAGAGAGAGAGGACGGGCTGGTGGGGGTCCGGGAGAGCAAGGTCAGTGCCAGGAGCACACCCAATCCGAGTCACGGCACCAAAATGTTAGGAAAAAACGCCGCTTGCAAAGAAAGCTCACGAGAAAAGTCTCACATCCAAGAGCAAGGTTTATGGCAGGCTCGAGCTGTCAGGCTGGCCGGGGAAAGATGGCACAGCACTGACTCTGGGCTAGGCATGGCTTTTATAGAAGATGGAGCTTAAGGATGTTAGCGTGTGCACAGGAGTCTCTGTTAGGGTGGAGCTCTCTTAGAGCATGGGGATTTCTGTTAAGGGTGGGGCTGCCATTGGGGTTGAGGTTGCCTAGGAGAGGCTTCATTTCTCAAGGAGTGATGCCTGAGGATAAAATGGCCACAGATTCACAAAAATGGTGACATTATTACTCTATCAATCAATTACTATGTTTTAAAGTAAGTTGTAATAATTTCTCTATGTGTAATTATACACTAGTGGTATTACTTTTGGTATTATATGGATTTTGTTTTATAATTATTTAAATAATTACATTGTCTAAAGTCAAATCTGTAAACCATACTTACTTTTTTATGTTCTCTTCAATTTATTCCCTCCTTTTCTTCCATAGATAATATTTTGTTTCATTTTAATTTTATAGTTTATCATTCTGCTCCATGACTCAATAACAGTGTGGACACATGTGTCCTCTTTCCTATTGCCAGGTTACATTCCCAGAATGTGTCCGGTGGATGACAATTGAATTTGATCCTCAGTGTGGTACTGCACAGTCAGAAGATGTCCTCCGTTTGTTGATTCCTGTCAGAATTTTTCAGAATTCGGGATATGGACCAAAATTAACATCTGTTCATGAACATCTTAACTCATGGATAGAATTAAAGAAATTTTCAGGATCCTCCGGGTGGCCTACCATGGTTTTAGTGTTGCCAGGTAAGTTTTTTCTCTTCTGTTTTATACTGTGAGATATACGTATATTTAGTGAGGATGCAGTATTGAAAATGTTTACTTAACTTTTAGAAGAAGTTACTAAAGATTTATTATGTATCTGGATTGTAGTTGAGGAATAAATAAGATGCCCTCAGCAAGGAACATAGTGTGATCTCAGTTTTGGATTACAGATTGTATTAAGAAATTTGTGAAAAAAGGAGTGTTAATACTGAGGAGTTCCTTACGGTCTAATTGGAATCAAAGTGTAGTAAAATACATGAGATCTTTTATCTCATTACCTGGAAAGTGGTAAAGCCCTTCCTTTGAAAAGCATTGGTGAACTTCTTCTGAGTTGTGTTAAAACTATTGTTTCAATCAAGGAAGGGGGAAAAATTGAGAATGGATATGAACCTAAGTATACACACTTTAAAAAGAAATTTGGCAGTACTGAGGATTGAACACAGGACCATGTGCTTGTATGGCAAGTGCTGTATACCACTTGAGTCATGCCCCCAGCTCTGTTTCTTTTTTAGTTTTTCAGATAGGATATCTTTCTTTAGCCCAGGTCACTCTGGGACTTTGACCTTCCTAGCTCCATCTCCTAAGTAGCTATGTCAACAGTTATACAAACTACCACTATACCTGGCTTGTTTTTACAATAAGGTGTTTTGCCCAGTTCAACCTCAAAACTAGATTCTCTTTTCTCCACTACATGAGTAGCCGATTTTAGAGGTAGGCCCTACCATGCCCACCCCACGTATACAACACTTTTTATTACCCGTATTCCTCTTTTCCTTTAAAAGAAAGTTAAGATTTTAAAAACTGTGTAGCCTATTGTTTTCCTTTTTGGGGAGAGGTGTGGGTTGTGGTGGTACTGGGGTTTGAACTCAGGGTCTTGTACTTGCTAGGTAAGTGCTCTACTATATGAACCATTCCACCACCCCTTTTTGTGTGTGTGTGTTGGAGATTTTCAAGATAGAGATTTGTGAACTGTTTGCCCACGCCAGCCCCAAACCATGATTCTCCTGATCTTTGCCTCCTGAATAGCTAGGATTATAGGACTACAGGCATAAACCAGGGATACCCATCTGTTACGTTTTTAACTAATTAACCGTATCTACTCTGGTGATCCTTTAAAGGCATAGTCTATTGATTTCAGGAACTTCCTTCACTCTGAACTGCTTTTGTCTGTTTAATTGATTGTGAAGATATCAGAAAAAGTCAAATACCAGGATAAGGAATTAGACTAGCCTGGGTCATGTCAGAAATATACATGCATACATAGAGATTTATACACATGCATATATACATGTATATTTGATACAGATATATGATAAAAATGCCTTTGTAACTAGAAGGTAGGATATTTGTTTAAGATGGAGAATTTGGTGATAATGAAAACATTCACTTGGGATAGTTCTATTGTTTTTAGTGTTGCATTTAACACAGTGTAGCATAGTAAATATAGGAACCATCACAAAAAATGTTTATTTAGATTTCAGAATCTGATTTGTATACATATTTGTCTTGAGATGGATAAATGATAGGGAAATCTAATTAAGTTGTTTCAGATTTTAACTGCAGTTCTGGCTTTTGTTTTTTCTTTCCTTTTTTAAAAAAATTTTTTTTAAGGAAATGAAGCCCTTTTTTCATTGGAAACGCTTCGGATTATGTGAAAGATGACAAAGCTTCCTTCTATGGTTTCAAGTGTTTTGCTATTGGTTATGAATTTAGCCCTGGACCTGATGAGGTAAGAACAGATTATCTTTTAATTCTGTTAAGGAAGATTGTGTTTTTAAAGGCCCCTTGTCAACTTAAATTACATTGTTAACTACATTTAAGAAGTCTGTAATTTATTTTAAGCTAGAGGTAATATAATTTAAAATATTTTGTAGTTTGTGTGCAATGTTATTTTGCTACTTTTAACTCATAAAAAAATGGAGTTTGTGCAACATGAATGCAGTGTAATTGAGTATACTTTTAATGTATGATTACATCTGCCCTGAACCTGCTCATATAGCTGCACCTTTCTGAGTAAATAATGAAACCTGATTTCACAAGGAACTAATTTATTATGAATTTCCCTCAATGTCTTAAATCATACATTAAAACAAAGCTAAAGTCAAAGTGAATCATGTTTCTTCTAAATAATAAATAAATTACTTGGACAATGAGTCTGTAAACCCAAGCCTTATAACAGCATGACACAATATTGAACCTCTTGCACTGTCAGTTTAGCCACCAGCTCCTTTCTCACTTCAAAGGTAATATTTGAGTTTGAATTATACTTTCTTGATAACCCATATTATCAAAAACATGTTTTAAAGCACCATATTTTATTTAATTCTATAGGGAGTCATTCAGTTGGAGAAAGAATTAGCCAATCTTGGTGGAGTGTGTGCAGCAGCTTTGATGAAAAAAGATCTAGCACTTCCTATTGGTAAGTCCAGTTGAATACTAGGTGTTTATCGATAATTTTTTTAAATTAAGTCTAAAATATGTTTATTGTAGTACATCTGAAAATAGGTTTGTATATATACTCATGAACAGTAACTGCTTAATACAATGATGGGCCCAAGAATGTTTAAATGGAGACTGAAGGGTATCTTATAGTATAGGTGCACAGATCAATGTACTTGTATACTCTTCCTATGCTATGTGCCGGACACTGGGTTAAGACTGGTTAAACAGGCTGTCTTTAATTAGACGCTTAAAGATAGCCCATGATAAAAGCCAAAATGTCAAAGATGAACAGAATAGGAAGAAGAGAAGAAGAGGTTGTACATAAGATGAGTCAATGAAGGAGGAGAAAAACTAGGAGAGTGGATATTCATGACATTTGTGTATGCTGCTCAGAAGTTAATTAGAATCTGTCATTTTGTTTGTTTTATTTTTTGTAGTGCTGGTAATCAAATCCAGGACTTTGTGCATGCTAAGCAAGCATCCCACCACTGAGCTACATCCCTAGCCAGAAAGCTTATTCATTTATTATATACACTCAATAAGAATAAATTAGTAAAATGAGTAAAATATAAGGCCTGTCAGAGTATATTGAGAGAAAAATAGAAAGCGAGGAAGGGGAGCCAGGTTGAACATAGACAACTCTTTAGAAGCATTTTCTTATTGTACAGAACAGAGAGTGATAGAAATGGTACATTATTTGGAGCAAATTTATATTACCTACAAATTGATTGATAAGCAAAGTTGAAAAATTTTAAAATACCAATTTAATTCTATAATGTTTATATGTGGATTGACATTGTATTTTTATAGTATTTGGGATTAAAAGTGTTGTATTTCCCTAATTCTGAGTCCAAGAGTCCATCTATAATGTATTAGTTAGTGTTTCTGTCACCCTGACAGAATACCTGATGTAAACAATGTAAAGGAGGAAAGATTTATTTTGGCTCATAGCTTCTAAGATATTAGTTGGTCTTGGTGGGAAAGATGTGAAAAAGCAGAGCAGCTCACAATATCATGACCAGGAAGGGGAGGGAGAGAGAGAGAGAGAGAGAGAGAGAGAGAGAGAGAAAAAAAACCTGTGGTAAGAACTTTCTTCCTTTTCCCATTTTATTCAGTCTGGCTCCAGTTTCTGGGATGGTGCCACCCACATGCAGGGTAGATCTTCCCCCCTTAGTTAATCCTCTCTGGAAACACTCTCACACACATGCACAGCAGTATACTTTACTAGTCTTATAGGCACTCCTCAGTCCAATCAAATTGACCAGAAGTATTAGCTAGCAAGTGTATCTCTTCCTTCTGATACTAGCATTCTACTCTAGTCTTTATTTCTTTCCATGCTTTTTTCTCTACCATTTTCTTTTTCCTCTATCCCTCTTTGTCTTTCTGGAAAACTGATCTCTTTCAGTTTCTTCAGTTCTCTTGATCCTACTTAATACTGGTATATTTGTGAGAAATGAGACCTTATATATTCTGTTGATATGAGGAAAATTGTTAACATCCTCTTCGGAGGAACTTTATCAGTAACTCTGAAAAATTTACATGTTCACACTTTCTGATATGGAAATTTTTGTACACACTTGCACAGATGGTTAAAAAATACATGTTGGACTAGGAATATAGCCCAGTGGCAGACCACTTGTCTAGCATGCTGAAGGCAATATGGATTCATACATGGATATGTATATACATGCCAAGGAAGGATTAATATAGTAATGCTTGTGATCATAAAACCTCGAAGTAACCAAAATACCTGTCAATTGAGACCTTGTTAAATAAATAATACACATCCATACAGTGGGACTCTGCATACCTGTTACAAAAAGTATGTTTATGTGGCATGACAATTTAAGATGTCTAAATTATATTGAGAAAAGGAAGGTGCAGAAGAAAGTCCAGTTTTTGTATGCATTATATTATATCTGTACAAATGTGTATATTCCTGTGTATGTATGATGGCACACACACACATACACACTGAAGATTTGCATGCAAAATTTCTAGAACAATTAATACACATAAAACTGTTGACACTGGATATCCTGGGGAGGATGTGTTATACTAGTTAAAGAGATAGAATTATTTATTCCACATTTTTTAATATTTCCCCTTGGACTTTATTAGTAATAATTTATAACATAAACTATCAAAATCAATGAATAAGATAACTAAAGCAATAAAGGAGAAAATCATTAGAGACCATAATCACCATCTTATGTTTTTCTGTAATTCAACATTGTTTACTGAAAGTGTACCTCTTCTAGAAGTCAAACAAAATATCAAGATATCAGATTCAGAATAATCATTTCCCTCTTTTTGACAAAAATATAAATACACCAAGTCCAAAATCTACACATTTATGTGCATTAATATAGTATATATCTTTTGCAAATCACTCAATGAATGCTTCTTGGTTATTGGCTTAAGAATTATAGTGTGTATTCACACTGAAAATATTTTACATTTTAAAATGTAAATAGCTAAGTGTTATCCACAATGGTAAATCTTTTCAATCTAGAGTAACAGAATTGTAAAAATCAAAAAGTTGTAATGAATGCAAAAGACAGAAAGATTAAGTATTAGCATATTTTAGTAAAACTTTTTGTTTGTGTAACAGGTAATGAATTGGAAGAAGATCTTGAAATTCTTGAGGAGGCTGCATTACAGGTATTGTGCAAAACACCTTAAGATAAATTTTGTTCGTTACTTTAAAAGTATTTTCACAAATTAGTCTTATTTTTCTTAAACATAGTGTTTATTCACTAAGTACTTATTCTATTCTTTGGCGGTTTTAGAGACAAATAACTCACAACTCTTCCTCTTGAGGAGAGAAACCCATGTGGCTCGTTGCTATTATGTGTGGTTGGTATTGACTCTGGAGTTAAACAAAAGTCTTATGCAAGAAAGAAGAGCAAACCACATGCCAAGAATGCAGAAGAAGGCTTTTCAGAGGCATGGGCATTTAAATTGCTCCTTGTAGTCCCTGGTACTGGGGATTGCTAGGCAAGCCCTACCACTTGAGCTGTACCCCTAGACCTTAAATGGTATCTTGAAAGAAGTTTCATCTTACCAGCTGGAGGAAGGTGAAAGACATTTCAGAAAGGAATCTAAAGTTGTATTGTTGCATTACAAATTTTCATTAGAAATGATAAAAAGTAAGGAAGCTATAGTTGGCAAGTTCAGATTCAGACCTCTCTGTCATATTTAAGTGGTAGATAGTCACTAGTAGGATAGAACTTCGGAAACTGTAAGCAGCATTTTTCAAATTATAATACCTACTTAACACAGGCCAGAGATTCTAATATGCTAATTGTGCATCAGTACAGACTACATGTGAAACTATCAATTAGGTGAATTTTTTACACAGTGAAATGCCGTAAAAGTAGAATATAGGTTGAGAATCAGATGCCCAGCTAGATCCACAGTCCCAGACTGTAGGATTTCATGCATTTATAAGGTGACTCAAAAATATTTTTTCCAAAAAAGAAAAAAGAACGGAAGAAAAAAAGAAAAAAAAAAAACGAAGAAAAAAAATATTTTTTCCAGAATTTAGGTTGGTTTTTGTTAGGTAAAAACATTCTTTAAAAACGAACTATTTATTATCAAATGTTTCATTAAAAAGAGCACTTTAATAGCCCAGGATACAAAGGTTATGCTTTTAGGATAAAGGACTCACTGTACTATGTCCTTATTTTTTCTAATTTTGCCATGCACCAGAGAGTATTGAGCCCACCCTTGGGAAACACCGGTTTAGATTATGCTTGTATTCTGTTAGGTGTATGCAGTTATACCTGTATAGTCCTTTCTACTTGATAGTATCTTTATTTCTCTATTTTCAATTAAACTTTGAAGTTAGTATTATTTCTTATATCTTACAATAACTGAAGTTATGTGACTTATCTAAGAACTCGGTTAGTTGCAAAATAAAGTTTAGTACTCAGGTCTTTTGATTGTTAAGGCTGTCATTTTACTGATTTTATCATTTCCTGAGATAAACTGAGCAAAGCAAGAAGACATAATCTTAATTTATCAAACCCTATTTCTAAACATTTTGTGTATTTGCAACTCAGTCCTCATGATAACCCTGTGCATAAGCGATTCTTCTCTCCATTGCAGAAAAATGAAGCACAGAGAACGTAGATAGCTTCCCCAATGTCACACAGCGAAAGAGCAGTGGGTTGGAATTTGACTTCAGGCAGTTTGGCAATAATATCTGTGATTTTGACCACACTGCTCTGGTCATAGGTAGCCATGGAATTCTCAGCAATGTTAAGGCACTTCTGGATTTTAAGAAGCCACCAGTTTTTGTGTTTGTTTTTTAAAAAAGTTTAATCTTAGTACTTCATGATACAAAAATAGTAATTAGTTTAACAAACATTTAATAAATAATCCATGTCAGGCAGCATTCATGTTTTGGAGAACCATTAAGGACCTCAGACATTATCATTTCAGAGATTGCTATAGGATTTATAGGATAAAATTTAAGGAAGATAAAAGAGATCTTTATTGTGCTATTATTCAAGGAGAAGAAAGATGCCTCAAATTCCCTATCTTTTTGGCATGTAGTTGTGATCTAACACATATATTTAACACATTCTGTTTGTCAAACAATGTAGTGTGTGTTTTATATGTGGTCTTTAATTTAAATTTTATAGTAAGCATGGAATAGAGATAATTATTTGATCAGCAGTTGATATATTTTGCAGATTCAAAGAGGGTAACTTGTTAGTTCAAAAGTACATAGCATATAACTTGAATAGAGCCAGGATTTGAACTCAAGTCTCATTGTCTCAAAAGATGCTAGTTTTGAAGTTGCATAGTTTGTAGAATGCAGATGTTACTGTTGTATACATATGATAGCCCTGGAAAGCATAAGCCTTTTCTGTGAAAAATATTTGCTGAAGCTGATTGTGGTGACTCACTGCTATAATCCCATCTACTCCGGGTGTAGAATGGGGGAGAGGCTGAAGTTCAAGCCCTGCCTCAGCCTGTACTGGACCCAGCTACGTGAAGCTACAGGTACAAGGACCACAGTCTAAGGCCAGCCCCGGGCAAAGATGCTAGACTTTACTGGAAAAATAATTAAAACAAAAAAGGCTGGGGTGTGGCTCAAGTGGGAGAACTCCTGCCTAGCAAGTACAAGGCCCTAAGTTCAAACCCTAGTTCCACAAAAAAAAAAAAAAAGCATAAATTTATTGAAATTTTGTTATTAAAATGTTTGTGGAGTTTCAGCATTAACAGTAGGTGTTTCCCAAAACACAATATTTACTTGTTGCACAGGTAAAACCTAAAATTTTTATTTTATCTTCCTCTCTTTTGTAAATTTTAATAAAACTTATTAGGTCTGTGTGTAACCACAGTCTTCCACCCATTTTTTTTCTTTTGTTTTGTTTCATTTTGCCCGAGCAAAGACCTTAAAACTCATCTACCCAAACCAGCAGACACCACTTACCAATAAAGGGATGTTAAGAGAGGGAGAATTCCAGAGCTGCCTACCAAAGAAGATCTGGCCCTGACAAATGAGGATTTAGGACTGGCAAGGGAGGAGAAGCACCATTTCTTCTAGCATGAAAATCTCTGATAAGTAGATGATTTTTAAGGAGGAATAGAGGCTAGAGCTGTTACCCCTTATCTTTCCCTCCTAGAAGTTTCTACTTACGCTTAAAGAAAGGAACACTGAAAAATGGGGAGAAAATGGTTTCCCTAGGAAGGCATAGCTAAAATGTATGCATTTAAAAAAACTCATGCAGAGCTTTTTATTTTAAAATATATATGCCAGTGTAGCAGTGCAAATTTATAATCCCAACACTAGAGAGATTGAGACAAGATGATCAAAAGTTCAAGGTCACCCTGGGCTACATAGCAAGAGCCTGCCTCTAATTAATTAATAAGTAAAATGGATAAATAATTCTTTTTTTATCCAACAGGTGTGCAAAACCCATTCTGGTATTCTTGGAAAGGGCTTAGCACTTTCTCATTCACCAACTATATTAGAGGCACTTGAAGGTAACTTACCACTTCAAATCCAAAGCAACGAACAATCCTTTCTGGATGATTTTATTGCTTGTGTGCCAGGATCGAGTGGTGGAAGGCTTGCAAGGTACTTTAAGTGCAATAATTACTTCTAGGGATTCATTTTTGGGGAGAAATAAAAAGGGATTTATTATGATGTTTAAAAAAAGGTTGCCTAAAATTACCTGGTCTTTGTGTTTTGAACTTGCTGAAGTGGAAATGATGATATTTTGAATAGTAAGTGATTATTTTTTGCCATTTGCTTTTTTATGATGAAAAGAATGTCTCACTTATACCATTTTACAAATAAAAATTAGCTTTCTGGTTTTAATTTTTTAATTACAGATTACACTTACCAAAATGGTATCCAGAGAAAGTCATCCAATTGTAATCTTTGTAAACATTTCTATTTAAATAGATGAGATTATTACTCACTACTCAGCACAGTTTGAATATAAAATTGTGGAAAGAATTCAGGAATGGATGTCACAAACAATAGAAAGTTGACAAATTTTACATCATAAAAGATGCTGATAAATGTTAGCTTTTCTCTTTGTTTTCATTATTTTTAGGTGGCTTCAACCAGATTCCTATGCTGATCCTCAGAAGACATCATTGATCCTGAATAAGGATGATATTCGTTGTGGTTGGCCTACCATCATTACTGTTCAAACCAAAGACCAGTATGGAGATGTGGTTCACGTTCCTAACATGAAGGTAATTCCATCTGAACTAAAGCAATTGGGAGGTATCTCTACGCTGACTGCTGTAACTGATGTTTAGCAGTGGCAAGTGCCTGGATTCCATTTGCTCTACCCTTTGTCTATATTTAATGGAGCACACTGAAAAATTGGGTAAACGATTTTTTATATTAATTAGTCCCCACATCTCCAAGTTATATCCTAGATGCTATGGTGATTCAAAGGAAGTATAAGAAAATTATCTGTATAAAGAATGTTAGGCACAAAGAAGAAGGCCCTCAGTATATAGTAATTGAATAAATGAATGGAAGGGTGTACTTTTAAATATTTTATATATTTTTCAAAGACTCAAATACATTTTGCATTTGACATCAAAATGACATTTAAAAATATAGATGCTCATTAAACAAATTAGAAGTTCATTGTGAATGAATGAATGAGGAATGTACAATATTTACAAATCTAGAGTTCTTTGGATACCACTTACTTGTTTTTTTATCACACTGCAATACACATAATTAAGTCCTCTGTGATATAGTTTATTAATGTATCTTTTTTAAACTTTTGTAGTGTTTCTGAAAAGTTGATATTGAACAAAAATTTGTATAGACAGTCCCCAGTCCTCTTCCCCTCTAAAGATGAATTATAAGGTGATTTTGTTTATTGAAGTTTAATGTAGAATAAATCACAGAATCCTTTTTTAGTTGTAGAGTATCTATTTTTTTCTTTCTTGTTTGGTTGTTTGTTTGTTTTTGGAGTATTGGAGTTTGAACCACTTGTTAGGCAGGTGCTCTACCACTTGAAGCATGACCCCAGCCCTTTTTGCTTTAGTATCTTTCCAATAGGGTCTAGCATTTGTGCCTGGGTCTTCCTGGACCACAATCCTTTCATTTATGCTTCCACTTAACTGGAATGACAGGTATGTGGTTGGTTAAGATGGGAGTGAACATTTTGCCTGGGCTGGCCTTCAACCACAATCCTCCCTGTTTCCACCTCCCAAGTAGGTAGGATTATAGGTGTGAGCCACCATGCCCAGCTTAATATTACTTTCAGTATTTCTATTTCAGTATTTCAATATTGAATATTGAAATATCTTATTTCAATATTTCTAGTTCAACTATTCCATACATTCTTTGATATGAGGCGTGAAGAAACATAGTATCAATGTCACCTCTTATGTTCTGAGTTCTTTTTTTAACCACACTATTGGTATTTCCTGTCTTCTTCTCTCCTCTCCTCTCCTTTTCCTCTCTTTATTGATTCAGAATCAGTAAAAAAAATAAGAGCATGTTGTTCACATGACTTAAAACCAAAAAACAAAGCTGTATGGAAAAGCATTTGATGCTGATAGTAAATAAAATTCAGTCTGTCAGTTTTTTGGCCGTGATGCACAATGAGAATTTGTATCATGAACCAAACATGTAAATAAATAATGGAGTGACACAGTGTGTGCACACAATATGTTTCACACATACACACAGTGTGCAGTGCATGGTACCATATGTCTCTTCTGTCTTATTTTTTAAGGCAGATCATACCTGTCTTAAAGATGATACTGTTTTCATTCTGAATTATGGACTACAAAAACCATCATAAATTATAATAAAAATAAGTGGGTAGATAATAAAGTAATTCTGATAGTAATATAAAAAATATAGTGGACATTATTATATTGAGCAGCATGTGTATGGTAAATCCACTGATGAATTTCTTACTTGAATAAACGTGGTGAGTTGTTAGAGCCAGTCTTTAAACCCACAAGTTCCATATTCATGTGGTCACTACATTATAATACCATCTTCTGAGTTAGCATAACATTTCATTTATTTTTAATGTTCATACCGTTATGCTTATAGTATTTCTTTAGTTGCATTTTTTAGTTGTACTTGCACCTTCTACTGCTCTGTTTTAATATTTGGGTTGTTTTTTATCTTGTGTTTCAAAGTCAGACTTTATGCTTTCTCATTTTTTCTTCCTTACCTTTGAGTTCTTTTTTTCACCACATGATTGGTATTTCCTGTCTTCTCCTCTCCTCTCCTCTCCTTTTCCTCTCATGCTGTCACTTTCATTTATACTACCTTTTCTATTTCTGCAAAGATCCTATTTAATTGCCTCTTGCTAACCTCAAAAGTAGTGTCCATAAGGAATAACACCTGGTGAAAAGCTAATGTGGTATTCGGGTCAGGCTTTTTTTTGAGGGGAAAGGGGTTGCCATACATTAACAAACAGACAAAAAATAGAATAAAACATTTCATTATAACTCTTGGAAAGTATTTCTTTTTTCTTTACCTCATTCATGCTAAGCACACGCTCTACAACTGAGCTAAACTCCCAGCTCCCCCTGAAAAATCTTTCTGGAAAATATTTTTTATAAGACAGTTTGAATTTTCATTATTTTTACATGCCTTTAAAATCTGCATGCATTTATACAGAAAAGTGGATGAAAGATAATTCCATTTTATCGTTGAAGAAATTGAATTGCAAAGTTTGGTTAGATTGTTGAAATCAACAACTTAAGTCTATGACAGAACTATTAAATAACACTTTTTCATCGCTAAAGTAATGCAGTATCTTTAGGCTTTAGGTATAAGATGTTTTTCACTCTCTGTCAGTTTTAAAGACTTGTATCAATGAAGCACATTTTGTTCTGTAGTTTGGTACAGCTGGAGTTGAGATAATTGTTTTTGCATACCAGATTATGGGAAAATATTTTATATTTGAATTATCCAATAAAATAAATTAATGTTAGTTCCTGCAATAATTCAATACAGACTCAGTCTATGATCCTTTCCTGTACTTTATGTTTTAAAATTTGTGATTATTTATTCCAAAATAATGGCCTGCACTTTTCACTGTGTTTGCTCAGGGTCATATTGTAGGCACAAGTTGAAGTCATCATGACCTTGTTAAATGACACTTTGAGGGGAATGACTGAGATAGACCAATGCTAACAAAGTTTATGTAATTGTGAGTCTATAATTTTAAGTTGCTTCTTTTGATGTGTCAAGGACAATTATATAATAACTGTATTTGCTTTTTGTGATATCATGGTTAGGTGGAAGTGAAAGCTGTTCCTGTTTCTCAGAAAAAAACATCTTTACAGCAAGAGCAAGTAAAGAAAACTCAGAGGATTCCTGGTAGTCCTGCAGTAACAACAGCATCTTCTAATACTGACATGACTTTTGGCGGGCTGGCATCACCAAAGCTGGATGTTTCATATGAACCAATGATAGTGAAGGAGGCGCGATATATTGCCATAACAATGATGAAGGTAATGTTTTAAATTTATCTGAAAATTTTTAGTTTTCACCATTTATTTAATTAACAGACATTTCAGTGATTTAAATACAGACTCAAAATTACAAGTCTTAAGTACTGCTAATAGATAGTAAACTTATTTTTTAAGATGATGTTGTCTTCTTTCAGAGATATTTTTCATTGATTTCTGGCAGATGTTAATGGGATCCCTAATTAGAGAGCTAGTTAATCTAGTCAGAGATTAAGGTGGATTAAAAGTAGATTTTATTTCCTGCAAAAGTACTTGTCTTCTTACAGTTTACTAATCCTGCTAGAATACATCTCTTCAAGATTTCAGGATTTACTGAGGCCCCCTTGAATTTTTAGGTTCTTTCAAATGCTAGGTGTGTTTCCTACTTCTTTAGAGTTTTTAATTCTTCAATAATTTAAACAGATTTTTTAAACATTTTTCTTAGCATATATTAGTTGTCAGGGGAGTTTCATTGTGACATTTACATATGTGCTTACTATGTATCTTAGAGTCACCCCCTTCATCATTCTTCCTCATTCTCTCAGCTGCCCTTTAGAATAATTTCAGCAGGTTTCATTGTCCTATTTTCATACATGTATACAAAGTACATCAAGGCAGATTTTTAAAAATCCTTTGTTCATTTTTTAAATTTATCTTCAGAAGTAATGTTAGTTCAAACTATCAAAATGGTCATTATTTGAAACTGAAATTAGAAATCTTGGCATTTTTCAGATAGCAGTGGTGAGCCATCGAAGGCTTCCGGTTGAGGAATGGCATGATTACATTTGTGTTTTATAAAGATCATGGTAAAATATGGACAACATAGTTGGGCAGATAGATGTGTAAGAAATATGGTTTGATTTAAATTTCTTAGGGAGACTATTGACTTGTTCTGGTGAAATATACTGATCACTTAGACTAGTGAGTTAATCAGAATAGGTTTAAGAGATATTTAAGCTATTGAATCAGTAAGACTTGGTTGCTAATGGAATGTGAGATAAAGAGAAAAAGGAAATAAAAGTTGAAGTTCACAGAGGTTGAGTAGTAAGATTGTTAAAATAGGTTTAATCTTTAAGAAGGATAATATATTTGGCTTTGGATGTGATGAGTTTTAGGTATCTGTGAAGTACCCATTTGAAGATATATAAAAGGAACTTGAATATATAGACCTGAAGTCTAAGGATTTGGGAATCCTTAGCAGTTAGATTATTCAAGAAGCTGTATGATTAGATTATGTTTTCCATGGTGAATGAAGAGGGAAGTTCCAGAACAGAATCCTGAAATGTCTGGATCAGTGATTCTCAAACCATCTACATGAGAAACATCTAGAGCACATATTTTACAAGACAGGTGTTCCAACCAGTCAGAGTTTTAGATGTAGTGAGTCTGGAGAGAGGCTCAAGAATTTGCATTTAAAACTATGTGCAGAATAAGTCAAATTCAAAACTTTTACTTTGAGAAACATTGATTTACAGGACACATAAGGTAAACAGGAAAAAGAAAGAAGGAAAGGAAGGGAAGGAAGAAAAATACCCCACAGTGGTAAGAATGCCAGCCAAAAAGATGAAGACATAGACTAGAAAAGCAGCACATACTTCTTTTGCTACTTTTCTCACCACTTTAGCCATAGTAACTCACCATAACCCTCTAAATTACTGCTTTTTATTCCCAGTCTATGCATGCGGAAATTAAAGTACAAAGAAGTTAAGTAACTTTCCCAATGCCACATAAATGGCTGGGAGTCTTGAATCCAAATTTGATTTTCTTCACTACTTAGGCTAGTTGCCTAATGACATGTCTTAAACGTCAAGGAAAAAGAAGTTTCAGAAGTTTTAAGAATGCCCTGCTGCAGAAGTGAAATTTTGAAAAAGATCTAGCAAAAATTCATCACTGATCTTGGTAGGAGAGATTTTAAGGGTATAATGGGTTGATGAGTGATAAGTGAAAAAGAAATTAAGAGTAGTTGAGAACAAAGTGAGTATAATTAAGTCTCAAGATACTTGGTTATAAAAATCGTATGTTCTCCCTCATATGTGGACATTAGATCAAGGGCAAACACAACAAGGGGATTGGACAATGAACACATGATAAAAGCTAGAGCACACAAGGAAGGGGTGAGGATAGGTAAGACACCTAAAAAACTAGCTAGCATTTGTTGCCCTTAATGCAGAGAAACTAAAGCAGATACCTTAAAGCAACTGAGGCCAATAGGAAAAGGGGACCAGGAACTAGAGAAAAGGTTAGATTAAAAAGAATTAACCTAGAAGGTAACACCCACGCACAGGAAATCAATGTGAGTCAATGCCCTGTATAGCTATCCTTACCTCAACCAGCAAAACCCCTTGTTCCTTCCTATTATTGCTTATACTCTCTCTACAACAAAATTAGAGATAAGGGCAAAATAGTTTCTGCTGGGTATTGAGGGGGGGAGCGGGAGGGGGTGGAGTGGGTGGTAAGGGAGGGGGTGGGGGCAGGGGGGAGAAATAAACCAAGCCTTGTATGCACATATGAATAATAAAAGAAAAATGAAAAAAAAATTTATTGAAATACCCAAAAAAAAAAAAAAAGATACTTGGTTATTAAAAAGAAAAAAAGGAAATGGTAATGAATGAAGTCTTTGGAATTTGGGGTCTAATGTACAGAAGCTTGCAAGTTTGGGTTCTGATGAGGAGACAGTTGGAAAGAGGACACAGTAAAGATATGTTGGGAGGGAACAGGATTATCTAGAGCTCAGGTTGCAGGATTGGCCTGAAATAGGAATAGTAGTCCCTCTTTTGTTCTGTCCAGATACTGAAAATACAAGAACTAATACACACTAGTAAATTTATATGTTTTACAGCCAAAAGAACTTTTTTAAATAGCAATTTTACAATTTGGGTTAGAGAAGGGAGTGATGAATCTTAAGGTGAAGTATCTTTGTTTTGGATAAACTTAAAATTTTATTGTACTCAAAAGATATTCTCAAGTTTTCTTCTAAATTTTTAATAATTTTCTTTTTTTTTTTACATTTGGGTCTTTAGTACAATTGGAATTTATTTTTGTAAATGCTCTGATGTAGGTAATTGATGTTTTTTCTTTTTCTCTTATATGGATAACCAATTTTCTCAGCACCATTTATTGAATATTTTATTATTCCCCTTGTTGAGAATGTGATGATTTTACAATTGTCATTGGTCTCTTTCTTAAAGGTTTATGAAAATTACTCATTTGAAGAACTGCGTTTTGCGTCACCAACTCCTAAGAGGTAAGGATCATTTCTCAAAGCAAGCTAATACATGGACTGTCAACTGCTTGCAACTAAAATCATCCAGCTTTCTAACTTAACTTTTTATAAATATACATGCTGTAGCATTTTTTTTAATTTCTAGTAGAGATTTCCCACATGTAACAATGTGTAGATTTTCTGGTAAAGTGTATTTATATTCAACTGTAATACTGCCAGTAGATACTAGAGAGAGAATAAGTAGTATCAAACTTATCTGGGTTGGTTAGTTTTCTTCTCTTTGATTTACTTCTTTTCTCTTTCCCCCAGTTAGTTGTATGTCACCTTCTATTTGGTTTTGATGCACCAAGTTTTTAGTTCCTGATTAATTCTGTTATCTCTGGATTTCAGCAAGGCTTCTTTTTTTTTTTTTTTGGCAGCTCTTAGGTTTGAACTCAGGGCTTTGCCCTTGATATGCAAACACTCTACCACTTGAGCCACACCCCAACCCTTCTTCTTTTAGGTTATTTTTCAAATAGGTTCTCAATTCTTGCCTGGACCAGTCTGGAATCATAATCCTCTTACGTATGCCTCTCACATAGCTGGGGTTACAAGCATGCGCCACCATTCCCAGCTTGTTTGTTAACATGGGGTCTTACTTACTAACCTTTGCCTTGGCTATCCAACTTTCATCCTCTGGATCTCAGCCTCCTGAGTAGTTAAGTTTACAGGCATGCAACACTGTGCCTGCTCTTAAGCAGATTAGTATTTTATGTTTGTTAGGAGAAATACTTTTAAACAGACACTTGGACAAAATAATTATATGCATGATACTATGGAGAAATCACCTCCATAGAAATTATTTATTTATTTATTCATTAATTAATTTTTTTAGTGCTAGGGATGACACCCAGGACCTTGCATGTGTTAGGCAAGCACTTTACCACTGAGCTACATACCCAGCCCTTGTGGGGAATTTATTTATTTGTACTGAAAATGTATTTTTAGGAACAGGAAAGTAGCATTTTTGTCGCTGGTTTAGTTTAATTATAGTTACAAAATTTCCACCAATATAGAAGCATATGATTTTTATAAAATAAATGTTAACAAAATTAATTCATAACATGTTAAGCAAGAACTGATTGATCATTTGCTAGTAAGTAGATTTTCCTGTACATTGGACATTTTAAACCTAATCGCAATAGTCTCTTGTTTAAGCAGATTCATGAATTCATTTAACAAGCACTATTGAGGGTACGCTATGTGGAAGGTACTAACTGATAGGTGCTGGATACACTTAGGAATAAGATAGATGTGGTGCCAGTTCTCATGGCATTTGCATTTCTGTGGAGAAATGGAAACAATAAATAAAGAAACAAGCAATAGTGAAGGTTATTTGGTAATCTTGGGTATCAGGCAGATTGACAAAGTCTTGCAGGACAGGAGAGGACTCCTTGAGGAGTGTTACTTGACTGGAGAGCCGGGTGGTACTTAGCCATGTCAAGATTTGGGAAAGTTCACTCTAGGCAGAGGAAACCTGCATTAGGTGAAGCTTGATCTCTTCGAGAAACAGATAAAAGGGAGCCAAAGGGAAAGGGGTTAAGGATGAAATTTATGAGCTAGATGGAGTTCATTTTATATATGGACTAGTAAGCTGTAATAGGAACTTAAAGTTTCTTCTAAACAAATTTTATATGAGCGTTTTAAACAGGGTAGTTAACGTAGTCTTATAACTTTAGAATGGTCATTGTGGCTGCTTTCTGGTTATGAATTTTCAAGGAGCAAGATTGGAAACAGAGAAAGGAGTTCGACTATTAGGTCCTAGGACTAGCAGAGGAAGGACTAGTGGTAGAAGTAGAAGTATGGATGGATGTGGGATATACCTTGCTCCTGGAATGGAATAGGTGGCAAAGCAAAGAGAAGAATCAAGACTGATCATAGATTTTTTTCTTTGGCTTCACCAACAGTATTAGATGAAGGGCTGTGCAACTTTGGCCCATAGACTATATCTGGCCTGCTGCTTGCTTTCAGAAATAAAATATTATTATAAGTATTGTCTGTGGCTGCTTTTGCACTACAGTGATAAAGTAGTTATAACAAAAGCTTTTCAGCCCAAAAGACTAAAATATTGCTTCAGGAAATGTTTATTGACCTGGTAGAAATTATCATGATTCTTATGAGGATCAAGAAGTCTGAGGATGGAGCAAGTGTTCTTTGTGTTTTGTAAGTTGCATATATATATATGTGAATATATGCAAAATGAGTTTTACTTTGTATTTTTTTAATTGAGGTGCCAAGATACCTCTTAAGTATCTAAGTGGGCCTTGCCAGCTGTGCAACCAGAAACAGTTTGAAACTCATAAGAAAAATAAAATTTGGAAATCGTTTCTATAGAAATGGTATTTAACACTGAGGGATAGATGAAAAAGATAATACAGAAATAAAAGTATAAAGTCCTAGACCCAAACCCTGAGGCATTTCATAAATAAAAGAGTGATCAAAGGAGGGAAAGTCATCAAAAACACTAAGAAAGAATGGCCAATGAGGTAAGAGAGAATGAAGAAGTCACAGAATCAAGGAAAAGGTAGTATTTCAAGAAAATAAAAGTTGTCAACTGTTAGATGCTACTGAGAGATTGCTGGTGAAGAAAATGTAACCATTAAATTGGGGGACGTGGTGGTCATTGGTGACTGTGACATCAACAGCTGTTATGACTGTTGGGAGCAGAAGTCTCGTACCAATAAATTGTGGAAGAAAAATGAAAATGAAAAATAGAGAGGGTAATTGTGGACAATACTTGAGGTAAGTTTTCATGTAAAGGGGAGAAGATATGTAGGTACTTTTTAGGGAGTGCTATACCTCCAGAGTTAAGATTAATATTCTAAAGTCTGCATGCTAATGGAGATAATCTAGTAAACTAAGACAAATTACTGATGGATGAGACAGAGCAAGGTAGTTGCAGCAGGGACTTGTTAAGGGAGTAAGATTCATAGCTCAAGTAGAAGTACTGGGTTTGAATAAGATCCAGGATTATTCTTCCATGGTAACAAAGAAAATAAGGAAAAACAGGTTTAAGAATTAGATTGTCACCCAGAGGTTGTATCTGATTGATTCTATTTCCTCACTGAAGAAAAAGAGGCGAGGTCATGATCAGCTGAGAGTAATGGAGAGGAGTGATGAAGTTTTGAGGTGAGGAAGGAGTGCAATTCAATTGCTTTGCAGTATGAAAGCATACTGTGGCAGGGCAGTGGGGCGTGAGGCAGTATGGTAAACCAAACAGAAATTAAGTGTTTGCTAAAATATTGTGATCTAAACTGTTTAATCAAAAATAAATTTTCTAATATTCACCTCATTTCTTTTCAGGCCCAGTGAGAATATGCTGATCCGTGTCAATAATGATGGGACTTATTGTGCAAATTGGACTCCAGGGGCTATAGGACTCTACACTATTCATGTTACCATTGATGGCATTGAAATAGGTATATATGTGTGTGTGTATATATATGTGTATACACCTATTAAGTAATAAGTTACTTTAGTGTAAAGAACTAGAAACAAAATCTTCCTTCTATTGTAATGTTGCTCCTTAAATCATGTCATATACATGATAGGTTTTATAACTTCTAATTTATGATATAATTTATATTTATTTATAATTTCTTTGTGGCATCATTTCCCCTACATAATCAGCACTTATTTCGTGCATTCCTAATACCTTGACATTTTCTAGGATTTCATGTTTCTGCTCAGGCGTTGTAGTCATCATGTCTGTTTGTGTTAGACAGGAATTAGATCCTCCATATTCCTGTATTACCCTGTGTATATACCCTGTCTCCCACTCATGGTATAACTGTCTTCTTCTCCTGCCTGGGAACAGAGACCATATTGTTCAGGTGGGAAACTCCTTATCTAGGCCAATACCTAGTATAGAGTGACTCCTCAGTGAATACTGATGGATGAATGTATTCTCTTTACTACTGGTAACTTTGAAAAATGTATTGCTTTTCTTTTGGGCATTAATGTTGATTTTTAAACTCTGTGAACTAGTATGAAAAACAAGTGTTTATCAACATGAATTTCTTATAACATTGTCCCTTCCTAATAGGCCTCACAAAATTGAGTTTCTGTAATCACATATCTTGTAGTCTCATTAGACATTCATATAGTCTACTTCAACATATTCGGAATTCTGAGACGTTCTGAAATTAAGTATCCTGATTTTGCTAAACTTTATTGTGGAATGTAGGGTAGACGAAGCAGTACAGTTGATTTCTGTATGTGTGGTTTCCACAGCCATGGGTTCAACCTATTGCTAATTGAAAAGAAGCATAGACTTTTTGCTTGTTATTATTCCCTTGAAATATTGTGCAAAAGCTATTTACATAGCATATGCATTGCATTAGCTATTACAAGGACTGTAAAGATGGCTTAAAGTACTCGGAGTTTATGAATAGCATACATGCAAATACTGTGCTATTTTATATATGAATATTAAGCATCTGCAGATTTTAGAATCCACGTGATCCTGTGGAACCAGCCCCTCAGAAACATCATCAAGGGATAATGTAATATTGAATAACACCCCACCAGAACACCCTGTGGGAAGTCCAACTATAAGTAGTTTTATTTGCAGTGGAGTACTTTACATTGCTGCACATAGAATATATAACTATGTAGATATAGAATCAGATATAAAATTATGCCATCACAGAGACTTTTGTCTACAGTCTCCTTTATCTCAGCATATCCATAAATCCTTTAGCTAGCAAACATTTGATAGTTCTGAGCAAGACATTGTTTGAGATTAAAACAATTCTGTCAGATGTTAACAATTTTATGAGAATTGCCAAGATAAAACAGGCAAACAAAAATCACTTGAAATAGCATGTAAGTAGTAACAGACAACAAAATTCAAATTACAACAGGTATTTAATAATAGTGATAATCAAGAATGAATCTAAAGGATGTTTTTTCTGCAAAAATAAAATTTCAATACATAGAGTTTTTTTGGTTTGTTTGTATTTCAGGGTTTTTTTTGGATGGGGGGTTGGCAATACGGGTTTGAACTCAAGTCCTAATGCTTGATAGTCAGAAGCTCTACTGCTTGAGCCACACCCCAGGCCCTTTTTTGCTTTGGTTATTTTTCAGATAGAGTCTTGAATTTTTGCCTAAGTCTAGCCTCAGACCATGTCCTCCTACCTACAGCCATTATGTGACTGAGATCACAGGTATGCATCACAACACCTGGCTTATCGATTGAGGTGGGCTCTCATTAACTTTTTTCCCCCTCCTTGCCTCAAACTGCAATTCTCTCACTCTCTGCCTGTCAGGTAGCTGGGATTACAGTTGTGGGCCACCACACTAGGCCTCAGTAGGTAAAGTTTTTAATTCTTCTTGTCTAATAGTGGAGTGAAGGAAACTGATATTTTTTTAAGAATGAAACTGAAGAAGCAGATTTGCATTTTACTTAAAATCATCCATATTCTTCCTTATTCAACTTACTTTCTCTCCTTCCTAACTCAGTCTTCTCCCAAACTTTCAGTAGGCTGGGACCTTGCGTGTCCATAAACAAAGTCACACAATACTTCATTAGACTAACGATGATTGTAACAGCTAGCATTTTTTGAACATTTATACATATATGTCCATTATTTGTCTACACAGTCACACCTTATATATTTTAAATCATTGAATCCTCACAATACCTCAGTGAGGTAGGTGCTATTACTGTTCCGTCCTTCATGAAAACATTGAGGCACAGAGCCCCTCAGTTGTTGGCAAATTTAGGATGACCCAAGCAGTGAGCATGAGAACTTCAGCTGTTAACCACTGTATTACACTGTCTGTCTCTCATGTCTACGATCCTCAGGTAAGGGAGGCTGATGTTGTCCTTGTAGCCGGTTATGTTGATGTGGCACCCAGTTTGTAAACATCATACTTGGTTGGGAAGCTTGCTCTGGGGACTTTAAAGCAGACCATTTATAGACTTCAAAGTTTGATTCCTCTTCTGGAAAATGGCATTCTGTATGTGTGTGCATATATGGCGTATGTGTGTGCTCATGTACATATGTGCATGCATGAAATCAGGAATTAGGAGAACTTGGAAAAGGTAAGCATTTGAAGATAAAGTGATATGCTTGACAGTGATTAGGCATAAATCTGCCCAGCTCCCTTTTTTTTTTTTTTTTAAAGAATCACGTGGAAGTAGCAAAGATGGCAGGTTTTGTCTCAAGGATGAATTAAGAACACAATTATGGCCCAGTGCCGGTGCTTCGCGCCTATAATCCTAGCTACTCTGGAGCAACGATCAGGAGGATTGCAGTTTGAAGCCCGGGCAAATAGTTTGTGACACCCTATCTTGAAAATACCTAACACAAAAAAGGGCTGGTGGAGTGTCTCAAGCTGGAGGCCCTGAATTCAAACCCCAGTACCACCAAACAAACAAACAAAAAAAATACAATTACAGGTTAGAAATTATTTTATGATAAATTTCAAGTAAGAAGTTTCAAGTGAAATTTGGCCTAACTATGTCAGCAATTTTTAAACACTTGAAAGTTGACAAGTAGTGCATACTTGAGATTTTTTTTTAATGTTTTCTCCACCTCATTATACATGCCTTATGTTTTTGAACTCTGTTTTGCTTCTTCATATAAAATGAATGTTCATCTAGAATTCTTGTATTCATAGATTCTATATTAAAAAGGGGCAGAAAGTTAATAGTGTTGAGACTTGCAGAAGTTGATAGCATTTCATATGGGTCTAAGACTTGTTTTAAAATCAATGAGTTCATAGAGTGAGTTTTTAAAAAGTTATGTTCTATTTTGTCAGGCAGGCTAAACTGTCTATCAGGCATACTGGGCTGCCTACCAGTCATAGAAGTGACTGTCGTAGGTGATGAGTAGATGCTACCAGATAGCATTGAGTTACAGGAGGTTTTCTTATTATTATTAATATTTTGAATTTTTCAGTATCATGTCCCATCACTTAAAGAATAGGAATCCTTTGTTCCTTTAACACTGAGAGAAAGACTGTAATTTGCTCCTTGGGAATCTCGCAGCCTTTTTATTTTCTGTCAAATGTTGCAGTTCTCTTACTTTTCTTACAGATGCTGGCCTTGAAGTAAAGGTAAAAGACCCACCAAAAGGGATGATTCCACCTGGAACTCAACTGGTCAAGCCAAAGACTGAACCTCAACCAAATAAGGTTAGGGTAGAATGAAATCAGAAGTTGGATTGGTCAAAGACTTTAAATTTTTACATTGACGCTTTAAAATTTTATTTGATTGATTTCAGGTATTTGAATTTTGAATATCCCTAAATGAATTTGGAGAGTGCTTCATGGTAGTTTTAATCATTTCAAATGAAAGAAACTACATTTTGGCTTTTTTGTGTAATGCTATAGTAATTCATAGATATTGTATACTTTCTGTTGTTAAAAGTTTACAATTAACAAAAAGTCTATTGAAATTGTGAACTTTGCAAGGTTAAAATATTTTGTATGGTTAGAAAAAAAATTAATTTTCTAGAATGTAAAGAGTAACTCAGGAAATTTTGGTAAACTGTTTAACAGGAAACATTGAAGCCAAGTATGGCGGTGCACACCCTAATTCCAGCTATGCAGGAGACAGGACCAGGAGCATGAGTTTGAGGACAGTACAGGCAAAGCTAGGCAGACCTTATCTCAAAAAGAAAATACAAACAAGAGGTCCAGGGATGTGACTCAAGTGGTAGAATGCTTGCTTAGAGTGTGTGAGGTCCTGGGTGATTCAATCCCTGGTACACCTAAATAGATAGATAGATAGAGACATCAGTAATGGAATTTATATCATGCCTTTCTGAAAGGTTCTTTTTATCTTTTGTCATATGTTTTCAAAATATAAAGTTATAAATATGTACTGATAATTTTACATGTATTTTCCAGTCACTTACATTTCATAGACTAAAAATTCTATTTTTATTGTAGTTATAAATAAACTATTATTTGCAGAGAGAAACTAGCCACAGTTGACTTTGGAATATACTCAGAATTATAGTGCTTTCAAATCTGTTTAATTTTATTTCTTTCTGCTTATAAGATCTCTATTCCATGTTTTTCCTCTTTGCCTTCCTTAGGTTCGAAAATTTGTGGCCAAGGACAGTGCAGGGCTCCGTATCCGGAGCCATCCTTCCCTTCAGAGTGAACAGATAGGCATAGTGAAAGTCAATGGAACCATCACTTTTATTGATGAGGTAATTCATAAACCCTTGGTAATACAATTTGCACGAAGTGTTACTGCATTGTTTGTACATTAATAAAGTCACTACATTTTCTGTTAGACTGTGTTAATTTAAGTAGTTTGAGAAATTTTTGAAAATTGCTTTGTAGAATGTGTTCATGGAGTTTCAGACATTTCATTTATCTTCCTTTATTGATAAAAACATAACATAATTGTTCTTTGAACATGAAAAGAACTCAATGAAACTTAATAGTCCTATAGAAATACTGAAAAAAGATGTAGTTATTTTTCATGAATTGTCTTATATTTTTCATGAATTCTTAAAATACTGTTTTAAAACATACTTACTGTATTGGTTTAACTTCAGACAGTAACAGTCCATAGTATGATTTTTTTAGTAATACAGCTGAGTAACTGTAATTATTAAATCTAAATTTAATAGTAGGAAGGTTTGTCTTCTGGGGAAACATCTTATTTTATTGATTATGCTACTTACCATAAATGTGATTTCCTTGTGCTTTCATGCCTAAAAGAAATTGCTTTACAACCTCACCCTATGAATTGTCATATGGCTTTGGCATTCCTTGCTTCTTTTTTTTCTTTAGTTTCTCTAAGACTTACCTTCTGTATAATCTAGATGCTGAGTGTACTTTTCCACCATTATTTGCCTGCTTTACCCTTCCAGCCTTCACTAGCCCCATGGCAGTTACAAGAGGGCATGGCTTGGGTTTTTTTGCTTCTTTCCCATAGATCCACAATGATGATGGTGTGTGGCTGAGACTGAATGATGAGACAATAAAGAAGTATGTTCCTAACATGAATGGCTACACAGAAGCTTGGTGCCTGTCTTTTAATCAACACCTTGGCAAGAGCCTTCTGGTCCCTATTGACGTAAGTAAATGGTGGTTTTAAAAAGCATGATAGTACACTCTGTTTTCATTATAGGGCTTTCTTTAATTAAGGCTTTTCAGTTCTGAGGTAACCCAAAACTAAGTAACTTGTACTTTATAAGTACTTGAATTTTTAAGGGCGTCTTCCTATTGAGTGTAGAATTTGGCAAAGTTAAGGCCCTTAATGCTTATTTTGATCCATCACCAGCAATAAAGTAAGTAAATTAAAACTAAGCCTAATGAATTCATTTCAAAGATTAGGAAATGTGAGTGGTTGAATATTTTTTTTCTTCTTATTCACAGTACTGTTTGAATGAATTCCATACTAAAAGTTAAGAAATCGATATTACTGTGTATATGGAAACATGTGTTTGTATGTTATGTTGGCATTTTGCAGTTATTTCTCCATGTTGTGTCTGAATTTGAATTTTTTCTTAGCCTTTATACTGATACCAGATGGATTTTTAGAATTGTAGTACTGTGTAGTATTCTAGTTGAAGCTAAATCTATGTCTCTGAGAGAAATCATTGCGTCTCCTTGATAAATATAGTAGTGAGAGTGAGTGTTTACAAGATTACTATATCATGAAATATAGTAACCACACCTTTTTATAATTTAACCAAAAAGTATGATTTTTCCTTTTCTTTATTCTTTAATGTATGTACTCTTTTTGACCCTGCTAATAAATAACATTGGTGAACTTTTATTTAAGAATCCTTTAATATTTAAACCATTGAATTTATTAAAAGCCAGTAAAAAATTTGGCATATAATATCACACCATTCCACGCATTACACGTATTTTATTTGTTTTTTTCTCCCTGATTGTCCAGAATAATATTCTCCAAAGCAATAGTACAGTAGAGATCTGAATTACTGGTAGTCAACAAAGCTTGAAGTGTTGCCTACTTCTTTACTAAGGCTAAGCCGAACAATGACAAATCTATAATTAAATTTTTAAATAGGTCACATCTTCCTAAATTTTCCTTAGATTTGTATGAACAGTTAAAAATCAAAAGAATTTTGACACTCTTGGAGGGATGACTTGGGAAGGGAAATATTTTCTTATTTTTTCTGATTAAGTCAGCCTTAAGTATAGAAACCATTATCTCTTATTATAACCAGGATTATTTTTTTATGTATCTTAAGATAACTATAACTATTTGTACAGGTTTTTAAAAAAATTTGGGCCAACTTAGACTTTTGTGTGTTTTATTATATTTCCTAACTTCCTAATAAAGCATTTTGCGAGATTATGTTATCTTTCTCACCTCCCCAGCTCCAAGTTTTTCTTCCTTCATTTGAAAAGATATTTTTGAAAGGAAAATATTCACACAGATAAAGCAAGATTATAAATCAAAGTAGAAAGTCAGAACAAGAAACACTATATAGATTCCATCGTTTCATTTTGGTAAAAGGCAAAAGATTTATATGGTCATAAGAGAAGCCAGAGTGCATCATTTCATTTTGGAATATTGTCCTACTATCTGATGCTTTTAAACCCTCCTCTATACTCTTGCATTCAGTCTACTTAGGTCAAGGAGAGAGAAGTAACGCAGATGAGAAAGGAACCATACACATGGAGTGAACCATACAAGTATATTCCCTGGAATGTCAATGAAGAGATTGACTTATTTGAAAAAACTCTAGTTGCAGAATTTTGAAGAAAGTAAATTGAAGTGCCTTTTGATTTTTTTTTAGCTTTTGTGTTGAAGAGCCAGGTGTGATAGTGCATGCCTATAATCCCAGTACTCGACAGGCTAAGGCAGGAAGAGCCAGAGTTTGAGGCCAATCTGTGCAACATAGTGAGACCCTGCCTCAAAAAAAAAGTCTTTATATTGAAGAATGATATTAGTTGTCTTTTAATATAAATAACTCAAAAGTGTCTGTTGTCATTATGACTAAGATTTTTCTAGTTCCTTTTTTCTAAGAGTGGTAGTGACTTGAAGTCCTTCTAATTTAAAATAAAGATCTCAATAGAAAAAGGAAAGTTAAAGATGTAGGTGAAGTGACTGGAAGAAAGGAGAAGGAGGTGGAGTAAAGGGCATCTCTGGAGAGGTCCTTTCTATAAAGGAAGAGGGAATATGTGTGGCAATGAATAAATTATTATGGTGAGAAGGAAACAGTTGAAGAAAACCACAGTTTTCTCAAAGTAGAAAAAGGAAAACCATCAGCTAAAAATGAAACAATGAGTTAAGTTAGAGGAGTTACAAATAGAGTTTGAGAGAAATAGGAGATAGATCCGACTGAAAACAACCGAGACCACTATATGGATACAATCTAGATATCCTTCCTCTTTCCCCAAAGCACTAAGTGTCAAGAATTACAGCTGTCAAGGCTATAGAATTGGCTGGAGTGTTCTGGGCTGCTAAGACAGAAAAATAAGGGAAAGGGGTTTGTTGACACTAATGAAAGGGCAATTAAGAGCGCCAACTGTGAGACTTGTGGAATGTAACCTACTTTAGAACATAAGAGGACAAATGGAGGGTCCAAGGGACTTGGAGGACAAATAAAGTCTTTGAACAATACAGTGGATGCACTGTAGTTACAGAGCTGGAAAGACTCAGGCAGTCTGCATGACAAAGTAGATTTATCACTGAATAGATGAGGTGGTTCATTACATTGCCTGGGAGAGTAGCTTCACTGCAGGCAAGTCACTGGAATTTCCTTAGTCTAGGAACTAAGAGGCTAGGTATTTGGAAGATCATCTATAAGGACATGAAGACCACAGATGATGACAACACTGACTTACAGAATGTTCACCATTAGAGGAAGGGTCCCACTAGACATGATTTAAAGTGATGGGAAGGATGGTGAAAGTTTAATTTTGGATTGGGGGGAAGCATAGACTGATTTTGGTGTAAAAATGAGACATAAGAACTTTTATTTTTTTATTATCAGTTTATTGTTGTACTGGGGGTATATTGTGACATAAACAAAAGTTCTTATAATTTATTATAGTTGAATTCACCCCCAAGTGCTTATATTTTAGATAGTAATCGAAGGTAATAGATGGGATGCAGCGTGACAAAATTAACTGGCCTAACTGATCTCCAGACAGATCTGCTATAAAGGTGTTTCAGAACATGTCAGAGGCCTGGCATAGACAGTTTTGCAAGGCTTTGTCTGTACAGATGAGGGTAGCTTCTTTATTTGATCAGTATGGGGTTTTTTTGTTTGTTTGTTTTTTGCTTACCTTATCTACAAGGTTAACCACTGGGCATAAAGGGAGTAAAGATTCTATCTTTTTCCTTCTATGCAATAACATTTCAGCTTGCCCTCTGCCTGGCATCTCTTACTACATTTACTGTAGGGCAGGGAGGGGAGATGCTTTTCATTTTTCTCCTTACTTCAGTGCATTTGTGAGTGAATCAGCTATAATCATGGTTAATAATTATAAAATGCTATTAAGCAGAAAAATAGAAATAATCAAGGATCAATGCCACTAACTTGAAAAGATGCAGAAGTACTAAAAAGTTGCTTTTAGCAATCTTTACATCTACCTTTTCAACCTTTTGTCGTTGAGAATTTTTTTTTAATTCACATCAACAGGTATACCTTTTGTAGTTAAAACAATTTTATAGTCACATCAATGTGAGTACCTTATTTGGATTTGACTCAAATTCTAGAGTACCATGGGGGTAGGGACTAGAAATTTGAACAGTGACCAAATATTTGGTCAACTATTTAAAAAACAAGGTTATCATAAACAACTTAGTTGAGAAAAAATTGGAAAGTGATTCTTACACTGTCTTGTTTATCTGCTTGTACTCTTGAACCCTGTTTTCTTTACAGATTTGTACTTTTCTATTTTACAACTTTAGAGTCTGTGGATTTTTTTGTTTTGTTTCATTTATCTAGAATGATTTTGCTTCTATTTGTCTAATATTTTTCTAGTTGATTTTCTTTTTTGTATTTTCCAGTAGTACTATGATCATTAATTTGTTAATTGATCATTCAACAAATAATTTATTGAATCCTTTTCATACACTACATTCTAAACTGGGAAAGTGGATGCATAGGGGAGAGAATCAAAATAAATAAAATGAGATATATGCCTTGTTTTGGGGGCTACTCACTATGTAATGTCCAAATAAGTTGTATTGGGATAAGTTGTAGAATTGCTTAGGTTTGGAGGCGACATGAGGTGGACTTGAAAAGTTTCCAAGGAAGAAGTGAAGAAATTTCTAGACATAAATCAAATGTCCATAGTTATAAAGGGATGACATGTTTGAAAACTGATGAATAATTGATATAGATAAAGCAAAGTATTGGTGATAGAAAGCAGAGAAGTAAGGGAGTTTAGGTTTCCCTCTCCCTTCTCAGGTGACACTCTATACAAGAAAAAGCTTACTTCTTTCTCCAGCTACCCATGATATTTAGTTTGTTTTTCTCATGTTTTGTCTTCATGTTTTTATGTATCTCTTATTTCTGTTTTTAAGCTTCTTAAGAGTAGGAACTAATTAAGGGTTACTTCTTACTCATGTTTAGTTGTTCCCAAATGTTAGATGCTATACTTTACTCCACAATCTTTTACATGTTACTGTCTAATTGATGTTCTTTTCATTCATGCAGAATGAAAACAGTTCCTTCACACAGCTTAAAACAAATCCTACCATATTTATCCTCCATACCTTGATGGTCTCATTTCATTCTCATTGTGCTTCTGTGATGTTGTATTACTATCATTTTCCCAGTGAGATCTAGCATGGCAAGTAAGAAGTAATGGAGCTGGTACTGGAACTCCAGTTGATGTGATTCCAAAGTTATGTTCAATACACCTTGATCTAGTGGAGAGAAAAGAATAGCCATTCTTTAAAAGGATAAAGTAAACATATATAATGAAAATCATATTATTTTGGCTAAGCTGCCAATTTAAACAAGCATGAATACTTAAAATAATGAATAATATTGAGTAAAGATGAATACCATAGCATATATTGAAGGTAAATAAGTCCATTTAAGAAAACATACCTGGAATGTTGATTTTAAATTAAAATTCTAATGATTTGGAAACAAGATGTGGCCTAGAAGAATGATTCATATAGTTTGGAAAATATAAGTAAAAAAAAAGAGACAGAGAACCGATGGTGCACATCACATAGGAGACATTTGCCTGTTTAGAATCAAGAGCTTAATTTTTTTTAGAAAAGGCTGAGTACTGTGGCTCAAACTTATAATCCTATCTACTTAGGAGGCAGAGATTGAGAAGATCACATAATTAAAAGCTATCTCAGGCAAAAAAGTTTGCCAGACCACTCTGGGTGTGTTGGCACACACTTGTCATCCTACCAGTGCAAGATAACACAACAGGAGGATTACAGTTCAGGCCAGCGCCAGCATTAAACAAGACCCTATCTCAAAAATAACTAACCTAAAAAGGGGATGGGGCCTGGCTCAAGCGGTAGAGCATGTGCCTAGCAAGCACAAGACCCTGAGTTCAACCCTCAGTCAATAGTACAGCACCCTAAAATATTTCCTTCTACAGAAAGAAATATTAGTGATTTACAACTCTGTAGGTACTTTGTCAAAAATGTCCATTTTAAGGAGCATGGCATGGAGGAGAAAAATGATATCAAAGAAAAATTATACAACAGTAGGCATGTTCTAAGATGTCTTAATAAAAATGCTCATATTATATGAATTCTTACTGAAGCAACTTGGATATCTGAACATCTCCATGCATTTATACAAGTCAATTTCCAGTTAGGCTAGTGAGTGTCACATATAGAAATTTGGGTCACTAGAGGTTTAGAGTAGAAATGGGAGAAAAATACCATTTTGTGGTCTTTCATATAACATCAACAAGGAAAACTGGTAAAATTAGCAAATGTTCCTTACATGTTATAACCATTCTTTGAAAATACCTAATAATGCCTAAAATTGCAGGTTTTACATACACCAAATTTCCTGATTTGTTTTTTGTTAGTAGGTTTATGTCTGTGTGTATATACACATAATCTGTTTTTTAATCTTAATAATATTAGGTCTTAATACAGCATTAGTAAATGTGCTATTCTTAAATAGTTATAAACTGCTTCATTCTTTAGAGAGTGTGATTAAGATGTAGTTGAAAGTAGTGCTATAATAGCTTATATATGTCCTAAATTTCCTGAGTTTTTTTGTTTTGGGTTTTTGTTTTGTTTGGTTGGTTTGGTTTGGTTTTTTGGGGGTTGTTTTTATTTATTTTTTTTTTGACTTTAAAATTGGCAACTCTTAACTATGTGGTTATCCATGTAAAAGGGTTGTTTTGTTTGTTTGGGGGATTTTGAGTGGTACTGGAGTTTAAACTCAGGGCTTTGCATTTAAGAAGCCCTCTACCATTTGTGTATGCCCACCAGCCCTTTTTGCTCTGGTTAGTACAGAAATAGGATCTTGTTTTTTGCCCAGGCCAGCCTAGACCACAATACTCCTATTTTAAGCTCCCCTCCATAGCTTGGATGACAGGCATGTACCACCTTTCCAGCTTTTTTCCCTTAAAATGAGGTCTCACAAACCTTTTTTGCTAGGGCTGGCCTGAAACTGAGATGTCAGCCTCTCAAGTATCTGGGTTGACAGGCATGTGCCACTGGCACCTGGATGGTCTTTTTATCTTTCACATTAGCATTTGGCATGCTTGATCATGTATTTTCACAGTGATAATTAGTTATTAATATTTGGTGTCTTCTGTGCCTTAAAACATAATGAGCTTGGAGTTATAATTCTATGCTTGTTAATTTAGTTAGGTTCCTAATATGCTGTAATTTTCTCATTATCTGACAAGTCCTTTAAAAATATAACTTGGAAAAGGTTATTTAAATTAGCCCATATTTGTGTATTGCCATATTAATCTATGACATTATATAATAAAAAAGCTAACTCATATTTTAATTGTGAGAAATTGAGACATTGGAGGAATATTTTCTTTCACGTTCATAACTTTAGGTTCAAACATTCTTAAATTTTCAAAAGAAAACCATTTCAAGTATTTTATTTTTAAACTTCAGCTGTCTGTGTGGTGAAGTTTTGCTACTTAATGGGTGTAATTTAATCTTATAGTAAGCTATCGTGTACTAAGAATCTTCTAAAATGGCAAAAGCTAACAGAGAAAAGTATCAAACACAAACAATTAGCGACAAAACTGATTTCATTGGCAACTTATTACCATGGTTACAGCTTCAGGATCATTGTAGGTGTTGCTGACTCAGTGACACTTGAGTGTGTATGGTGACATTAAAGAGAGGTATAACCTTTAAATACTGTCAGTCACTACCTTGCTTCTTTACTGCTAAATTTCTATACATTGTTTTTAACAATTGCTTTTCATGTTGCTTTTAATAATAGAATAACTTATGAAAAAAAATCTTGATATTCTTCTTCATCAGAAGGCCCGTATCACTGTTCTCTGTTAGGGAGAACACCATTGAGCAGACTCCACACATCCCATACACATTGCTGAACCAGTGAAGACATTAGTGTCCCCCCAAAGTAGCATGCAGCATGCTGTATAATGTTTCTACCTAAACAGAAAGAACCCTGTTCATTATCCAGTTTTTAAATTGGTTTCAGTTTGGCTTACATTGATTTGTAGGCATCTTACTAGAAACAATTTTTTGTCTGCTTTATGTACATCTTACATTTCTGAATTAGTATATATGTTATGGGTGTGTATCTACATCCGTTTATATGGATAGTATATAAAATAATAATCTCATTCTCTAAAATGACTTGACAGCTGATCCGGATTTGTGACGTTTCTTTCATGTTGAAGTCTTAGATGATGTTAGTTTTTATTAACATTTTAATTGTTTTCTGTTTTGATGCAAACAAAATAACCACTTATCACAGTATTTATATAAGCATTAAAATTGTGCAGTTTCTTCTCACTAACAAGTTTTTAATTTTAGGTCAGATAAATATAGATAGTATGATGTATCAATGTAAAATATCATTGACATATTGTAGGCTGGGTGTGCTGGTACATGCCTGTAATTCCATCACTCAGGAGGCTGATGAGGCAAACAGATCATGAGTTCTAGGCTAGCTTGGGCTACATAATGAGACCCTGTCTGAGAAGAAAAAATAAACAAAAAGACACTTGGCAAAAACAATTTTTTCTGAAATCCTGTTACTATAAATTAGTTGTTCTCTAATAAAATATTTTGGTGTTTCAACATGAACTCCTGAATGCTTTGTGATCTCCTAAACTTTGAGATACAAAAAAGTGGGCCTGTCTTTAAAGATTCAGATTGTGTCTCTTTATACTTTCTATAACAAATTTGCTTAAAGCTTTCAGAAACATTTCCAAATGATCATCTTTTCAATTTGTAGGAGGGAAATTTGAAAAATGACTTAGGTTTCCTGTTTGGTTTTACTTGTTCTTTTTTTGTACTTTAAAAAGTGATAGTTTACATATATTACATACATACCATTATTATTCATAATAATAGTTGCTTCCTATATAATCTTGATTGTTGACATTTTCTTTATGAAACAGCAGACTTTTTTCTGTCCTAAAATAAATCTGGCTGTACTAGAACAAATAGTTCTCATTTAAGAAGCATTTCCTTCCTGCACTGACTGTCATAAACTTTGTAGCAAAGTCTGGCTCTTGGTTTTAGTAAATGGCATGACACACTATATCCATGGAGAGCTTTTGACAAAACTTAACTTCAGAGCATCTTTGGTGTGTGGTTTACTCAGGTGGCTTCAGTTTCACTTTAGTAAGTAACATTTCCATGTTGGTACTAGAATCCAGAAAATGTTGTTACTGTGAACAAGTCTTCTGCACATAATATCCTGTTCCCTTTCTTTGTTGATATTTTTCTTTTTTAAACTTTGTCGCTCAGAATATCTTTAATGCTAGCCAAGGAGTCAGGGATTTGGACGTATTTTCATGGACTTCCAAAGCTTTTTTCCCCCAGGTGAGTTAACTATAAGGAACAATCATACAGTATTCAGGTATTTCAGCATGTACAACAAATTTTACATTATATTTTTGTAACTTTTGCTTAGGATTAATGAAGATTTCTTACCAAAAAAACTTTCTCAAGTTCTGCAATTGAGTTTTTCCTTAATTGTTAGTTTCAGTGAAACTTTAACACGACTTCACAATTGCTATGTTTAGTTTTCTGACTAGCTTCTCCAATAAGTAAATCCAAGTTTAATTGATTTAAGTGGTAGTGATCTTATGGCTCTACTAATTTTTCCACTGTCTTCTCTTTTGCATTGCCCTTTTGAATATTCATCTAAGAATGGGATGGGAATGGAAAGAGAAAAAAATTATATTGAAATTCATCCATGTTATATGCTGATGCTTAGGTCTCACATTTTTGTATTGAATAAAATGTATAATTTATGATTGCTTGAAAATGACAGACACAATTCTGAATTGAATAAAATGTATAATTCATGATCGTTTGAGAATAACAGACACAATTCTGTGCTTTATATTTATCAGTTATTTGTATATTTGATATAAAAAATGCATAAACTTTGTTTTCTATTAATGCATATAGCTTTGTTAATGTTTCAATAAAATATTAACTATTTTAATAAAAATGCTCATTGGTTTTCAGTGAATAGTATATAATTATTAGTTTTGCCAAGACTTATCCCCCAGTGTTAGCCTGAATGATCAAAAGTTGAAATATTGTTATACTAATTAAATGCTGTAAGAATATCATTAAATAACATTGAAATTGTTTTTCTGCCTGAATAAATGCATATTTGCTGTTATTTTAAATGTCACCATGTAATTTTTAAAAATCAGCTGTAAATAGGAGTAAAGTTTGTCTCTTTCAACTATGAAATGGCATGTCTTTACTGAAATGGATCATTTACTAAGAGTAATTTTTGAATGTTTACTGGAATTCTTGTGAGTCTAATAGTTCTAAAGTTAAGATGTTAAATGCAGTTTTCATTTTGAGTGTTCTCTTCATATAACTGAATAGGTAGATATTTTTACAGATATACATGCATGGCTAAGTGAAATGTTTACATTTCTTTTTAGTTGAAAACCTGGTCATTTCCAAGTGATTAAAATTTTCATTTCCAATAAATTACTAATATCTACATTAAGAATATTGGTACATACAATATGACAATTAAAGTAAGTGTGAATAAACTGTTCTCCATAGTACATATCTGTTTAAGTAAAAATTTATGATTGTCACCACCAGGAGGCTTATAAAATATTATATGAGGAGCCAAGCACAGTGGGGCACTCCTGTAATCCCAGCACTTGAGAGGCTGAGGCAGGAGGATCTCAAGTTTAAGTCCAGCCTGGGCTGCCTAGTGAGACCCTGTCTTAAAAAGAAAAAAAAAGTGAATGCTAATAGTAGGTTTAAATTTTTCCCTGACCAAACATCTTAACAAAGTAGATAAGAATTCTTGAATCCACATATTTTTAGCCTCATGATTTTAATTTTAATGTTTTGTTATGTATATGAACATTTGTCTCAATATGAGACTGCTTTTAGGAATAAAACTAATCTATAATGCTTTATCTTGTATAAAATTAGTTTTTATTTTATTCAATTTATAACATTAAATATTAATTTTAATGTAATTCTGTATGTGTCTCATTATGATTGTCTTTTATAAGTGCAGTTTTAAATTTGTCTGAAAGGAGTAATAATGACAATGGCAAAATCGCCAATATAGTCCTTTCACTTATATTTATTTGGGGAGAAGAGAAAATACATCTAGATTAGTATTTCTCTTTATTTACATAGGAAACAATTTATCAATAGCATTCAGCTTCAATAGAAAATACAGAGCAAGTTCTTTTCTTTGATTTTAGCAGTGACTTTTCAATAATATAAATTTAAATACATTTTATTTATGCATCTTTAATGCTAATCTTTCTTCTCCACTAAAAGTAAAATCAACTTTTCTGTAACTAACAAATTTATTACTTTATAGTAATGGTCTAGCAAACCTAGAAAGACATTTTCATATGTAGTATATTAAGAAAGTGTGAGTTGTTAAAATCTTACAAGCATTCTTACTTCACTCATAATTAGCAAAATTTAAAATGTGGCTATATTTTATGCATTATATCATTGTTATTTCTGCTTACAAATAAGTCTCCAGAGTATTCGTATCTGTTTTCTCTACAAATAATTATTACAAAGTGGAAAGAAATGCATATTTAGACTTTTTGCCCATGATAACATATAATAATCTTTCAGTAATGACTCCCAACTATTTAGTTGTGATTCACATAAGTTATTTTTATTGTCCTTTTAAATATTGCATTGAAAGATAAAAGGAAAGTCAAGGACTATGGTACTATATTTGTCAAGTTGTGGAGGATAAAAGCCAGGCATTCAGTTGCTCTTCTGCAATGTTTTAAAAAATCTGGGAGATTCTTCAATTAGTATTCACCAATATCTCAATTATCTTTACATATATACTCTCTTTCTTAATTGGCACAATTGTAGACTTGCTATGAAACCTATTAATAGGAGGATTTTGAAAGTAGGACTTGATGGTATTTTGTTCATTTTTCTTTTCCTATTCAAATTTTCAGGAACCTAAAACTAATAGTGATGACTTTTTCAAAGACATCAATTCCTGCTGCCAACAGGAAGCAACAGTGCAAGAGCAAGATATGCCATTCTTGCGAGGAGGGCCAGGCATGTACAAGGTAGTGAAGACGGGACCTTCAGGTCACAACATCAGAAGCTGCCCTAACCTTAGAGGTATCCCAATTGGAATGTTAGTTCTGGGAAACAAAGTCAAAGCAGTGGGAGAGGTATGGATTCTTGTAGCTGCATGAATTTTAAGATATTGATTGGTAATGTGTACAATCAAGCATCTCCTTTCTTCCAGAGGTTGCCATTTCCATCCCAGGTTTTTAAATGTTAAAGGCCTCAACCTTTTCTTGTATTGGAAATACTAACATAATTTTCTTTGCTTCTTTTCTAATTTACTCTCATAAATATCCTGTGGAAAAATATTTATATTAACAAATAATTTGTATTATGTGTATAAGTGTTCAGTATTCACCTATCTTTTTGTTATTGCAAATGTGCTATACTGTCATGATCTATCAGCACTTAAGATGTTTTATGTGAATTCATTTAGAGATGTGATAATTCACACAAGGTTTCATTTCTTTGTTCCCATTCACAGGTCTCACTGAAGTCCTGAGCAAATTAAGTTATTCTTCAGGCCACTGTGGCATTTGCCACAGCTGATAAGCTTGAAGATGTAGTGTGTCATGCTATTTCTCAGGGTCAGGTCATTTTCAAGTTGCAATATAGCTACTGTCAACCTAAATAATAGCAAGGATGCCATGTTAAGACCTTTTAGATGCAAAATAAATGAGCCACGTATTTTGGGTGACACTTAAAATTATTTAGCAGTGATCTTTGTGCTTTAAAAATACTGTTTTATCAAAGGTTTAAATAAGCAGCATATTTAAAAAATTCTCATTAATTTCTGTCTTACCTCAGGCTGTGGTCTTAATTTCAGAAACTAATTTCACAGTAGAAATGTATTATAATGATCACACTGTTCAAATACACTTAAGCCTTTTACTGGTTTTCAGCCTGAGTGCCCTGAAAGAATCAAGCCAACCAATGGTGCTTTTTGTTATGTACCAGGTAACCAATTCTGAAGGTACATGGGTGCAGCTGGATAAGAACAGCATGGTAGAGTTCTGTGAGAGTGATGAAGGAGAGGCGTGGTCCTTAGCTAGAGACAGAGGCGGAAACCAGTATCTCCGGCATGAAGATGGCAAGTTGGCTTAAATTTGTGATTTGTTTTGATCTAACCTTTGAAAAACAACTTTAATCTTTATTGTATTATGTTTGTCTTAAAAGAGACTTTTGTGTGTTTATTTTTTAAGTAAAAGAAAAACTAAAGGTTTAAAAACCTTGCAACTATCAAAATTGGTTTATAAAATACATGAGTACTAAATGAATGCCCACAGAAGAAGAAAATTGGAAGCATAGGAATCCATCTTTATGAAAATGTGCTTTTTATTTTATTTGCATGAATTTGCATGCCTCATTCTTCTGTGCAAGTCTAGGACTGAGCATTTTACTGTTTCTAGCATGCATGGCAAGTTCATTTTTTAAACCACCAATTGCAGTACTCCTCTCAGACAAGTGAATTCAATTGAATTTTTTTTCTTTGTTGTTGTGCTGGGTGGGGGTACATTGTAACATTTACAAAAGTTCTTACAATGTATCAAATATATCTTACTTGAATTCATCCCTCCACCCCTTTATCCCTCCCTCCCCTCTTTCTTGGAATAGTTTCGGCAGGTACCATGTTTGCATTTACATGCATGTGTACACATTTTTTGCACCATATTTACCCTCCTAAACCCTTTCCCCACCACTTCCCCCCTCCCATTAATACCAACCTGTCTCCTCACCCACCCACCCTGGGCAGAACCTGTTCCACACTCCTCCAATTTTGTAGAAGAAAAAAAGAAAAAAGGTGACATTTTTGCTTGTTTGAGGTAAAGGTGGCTACAGTGAGTTTCCTTTTGCTGTTTCCATGTATACTTGTTCAGTTGAATTTTAATCTCAGGAAAGGAGCATCATATCATCTGTTTCCTACTTTGTTGTTAGATTTTTATCTTTCAGCTTTATTTTTCAGTTGCTCTCACTCAGTAATATTTTTGTCCCTTTCTCTTTATTCTCCTTGTGGCAAAAATTTATTTTTCAAAGTTGAGACAATGTTATCACTTTTATAAAGCTTTAACTAACCCTCATAATGCCAGGAAGTCCCTCTTAGTTTCCAAAGAGCTGTATTCACTGCCAGATCAAAACAGATTCTATTTTGTTGAAATTAATTTTTATTTCTTCATACCCACATTGTGAATCTATTGTGGACAGGCACAGGGTTTTAATCTTTGTATCCCTAGTTGTGAAGCAGTTCTGATACATGCTAACTAGTTGCTTATGAAGTTTTGTAAATGCAACTTGAATTATAAAAATAAGAGGGTATCAAAGAAAGTAGATAAACAAAGCATAGACTTTTCTACTAAATCCCATGTTTGTAGGATAAGATCAGATAAATAGGAGAACATGCTTCTAATTTTAAATAATTTTCAATTGAAAATTCTTTTTGGCACTATATACTTAGAAATTTTGAGGATTTTTTTGTGTATGCATATACAAAATTATATTTTTCAACAGAAGAAAAATTATTTTGGCTCATGATTTAGATTTTTTAGTCCATGGTTCCTTGGACCCATGGCTGTGGACTTGTGGCGAGGCAAACATGGTGGAGTGGGCAAGATTGAACAAAGATGCTTACCTCATGGTGACAAGGAGGGAGGGGAAGAAAGAGAGAGAGGCAGAGTCAGAGACAGAGACAGCAAGAACCCAACAAGAAGTACCCTTAAAGGGTATGTCCAACTAGGTGCCTACTTCCTCCAACTATTTCTAATTTATTGGGTATCCACTTTTATTTTGTGAAATGCCCTTGTATAAATTGTTTACAATTATAAAACTATTCAGAAATATTAATATATACTTAATGATACATCCTGCTAAAATGAGATTAAATTTTCTACTTAAGAGCATCTATCCATTTCTAAACTCCACTCTTTGATAAACAAAAACAAAGATTTGCCATATTTTCTACCAGTGTTAAGCTGATTTAGACTTAGACCAAAGGCGATAGCACATAAAAAATTAATGTTATAGCTGTGGCTTTGTTGTAGAACAAGTTCTTCTGGATCAAAATTCTCAAACTCCTCCTCCAAGCCCTTTCTCAGTACAAGCTTTTAATAAAGGGGCAAGTTGCAGTGCCCAAGGATTTGATTATGGACTCGGAAATAATAAAGGTAAGTGTGTGAAAGTGAGTCTTTTCCTTATCTATTTTCAGTAATTTTTGCTACTTTTTTACTTATCTTTTCCTGTTTGCCCAAAAATCTTTATTAAATTAAAGTTTGTTCTTAGAAAATGGACTCTCAGAATGTTGACGAAGGCATTCTTCTTTACAATAATATTTACTAGTTTTAGCTTATGTTTATGGGAGTTCTTGCTTACATTTTTTCTGCTTTAGAAGCACTCATTTTGAATTTATATCATAAAGATTCTATGTTGCTATGTCTAGAAAAATAACTTATTTTTATCATGCACCTGTTAATAGGAGAGTAATGTTCGCAAGTGACACAGAACTTTCTTAAATGATCCAGAATATCACTTTTAAGTAACATTACATATGAGCTTTATTAAATATGTGTGGTTTTAAATATCTAACACAGTTATCTTAGTTACATTTGACTTTGGTATGCATAGTGAAATCAAAAAGTTGTAAAATGAAAATCCTAAGCCATTTGAATATAAAATGTATACACTTGTTTTTGATGCATTAAGTGAAGAGACCAGCATCCTTGAGAACCCAAACAATTATTTTGGAATAATTTATACTGGAATAAATATATACATAATTATATTTATGGATAAATTTCGACATATTCTTGTTCTTTCTTATGTACCTTATCCTGATTCCCACAAAACGTGCCACTTTGTCAGCAGATAACATACAGTTGGGTGATAGGTAGGAGGAAGAATGTTTAAAATAATTCACAAGACTTCAGGGAACAAATGTGGTGTGACCCAGCATAGCAGATGAAAAAAATATGAAAATCAATGTATATGAAATATTCAACTTGAAATAAAATAACTTTCTATTAGATACACTTTATTATGTTCCACAAAGTATTTTTAGGAGGGAAATTTAGCCATACATATTTTTTAACTCTCTTGGTTTAGTTTGTCTCACAAGCATAGGTATTACCTACTTGCTCGCTTCTGGTAGCTCTGATTTCCATTAACTTAAGCTGTATCTTTACACTGGTAGGATTAATGCTTGGTGATATTTCCTTCATGTTACTTTTTCTCTCCTACTGTCAACTCTTAAGTTAAAACCTCTGTATTTTCTTACTGCCACAACACTTCTATACACTCTGGTTTAAAGCCATGTTTTATTCAAATTGTATGCTTTCAGTCTCTGATGTGTCTCAGGCATTGTATTGATTGCTATTATTTTAAATCAGTCTTTAAACTATAATTCATTAAAGCACCATAAAAATAAAATGAACTTTTAAGAAAGACACATTGCTGAGAATATTTGTTATTAAATAGAAAGAGTATTTCTGATGTGATTTTGTGACTATTGTTCAAAAATAGCATGCACTTGTTAATAGACTTTTCAATATTTACATGGAACAAATATTAAGAAACTTATTTGATGAAGTATAGCTAACCTTATTATCTTTAACAAAAGTTCCCTTTTTCTTATATTCTTTTTTCTGTCCAAAATAAATGGATTGTTCTTCAAAAGTGCTTTTCCTTAAAATAATATTTTACAAGGGCTGGAGGCATGGTTCAAGAAGAAGAGTGCCTGCCTGACAGTCATGAAACCCTGAAGTCAAGTCCAAGTACCACCACCAAAAATAAATTGCAAAATTCTTCATAATCTATAAAACCCTTTCTGTAATCTATAGCATTTTCTTATTTAAAAAATATACATGTATATCTTGTATACCCAGTTCTTTCCATAAAAAATTGTCCCTTCAGTTGAAATTTTTATCTATAAAGCTATCATATTTAGGCAGTACAACTAGAAAGATACTGTTTTCCAGTTTCTGCATCAACTGGTCTGAAGATGGGGCTGTTTGCTTCTTCTTCAGCATCATTTAAACTACTTAATACACATATTCTTACAAAGAAGGAGTTACTTATCTAATTATATTATTTCATGTCCTTAAAATATTTTGTTGTCCTTGACACTTAATAATAAGGAAAATGTCAAATTCATATTTGAGGCACTATTAAAATTAGGTAACTCAAATTAGTTTTTGTCTTGTAGGATTTACAGATTTTTATATTATCAATCTAAGGAATAGAGAGAGTTGATGCTTTTAAAAGAGTAGAATTTTTTTGACTATAGCAATTTTAAAAAGAAATTATTGATTTATAACTGTAAGATAGATACATTGCTGAGTTAAGAATACATACTTTGACCCTGTCCCTTCTACATTTTAAAGATATGTAATCATAATCTGCATGAAGTATATTGCAGATAAGCCAGGATGGTATTAGTCATTGTTGGGCTTCATAGACAAGACCTCATTTACAGTATTTAGATGTTCATTTATATATGTACAATATCAAAGCAACTTACAGATTCTTCATAGATCCTTTATTCTCCTATAAACAATAGGAAATGTTGTATGTGAATTTCAGTGCATTTGTTTTGTGGTGGGCTGCTGTAAAAGATTTGATGAAGTGCTTCCAGTAGTACTAAACTATAAACAGCATGCAAAATTTGTCCCCTAATTTGAAGACAATGACCACCAATTTCCATACCTTTCTGAATTGGCCTAGTTTCTCATTTAGTAATTTATCTGAATGTCATAAAGCATCATTTATTTTGCCATTTGGATGTTAATGAATAACAAGTTGTAGTTTTAACTGTTTTGCCTACTGCAGGTGACCAACTGAGTGCCATACTGAATTCCATTCAGTCACGGCCCAATCTCCCAGCTCCTTCCATCTTTGATCAAGCTGCAAAACCTCCCTCTTCCCTAGTCCACAGCCCATTTGTGTTCGGACAGCCCCTTTCCTTCCAGCAGCCTCAGCTTCAGAGTAAGTCTTCCAGCCTTACTTGCCTCCTCAAGCATTTCTGAAGCTTTGTTCTGAGTTGTTTATCAGTCTAACTAGTTATCAACTCACCTGACTTGTTTTATTCAATTAGGATGTTTTCCCTCCCTTATTTTTCAAGTATTTAAGCTACTTGGAGCCAAGACATCCCGCAGCTAAGACATCTGTTTTTAATCACACATTTTTAATTAAATGTAGTTATTAAAATATGACATACTTTCTATTCTAGTGCTAACATAACTAAATGCATATTATAAAATGTGTTAAGAAGAACATGTTTCTTACAACTTTCCTTTTTTAATATTCATGACTGTGCCAGGAATCAGTTACAGGAATAACTCTCATAGTTTTACATTGAATTTTTGTTACTTTGAAATATACCCTAAAAAAGTAAGTCCATTTTACTATTCCAGTAGGTAGAAGAGAGAATGTGCTTGTTTGAGCAAGTTTGTTTCCTTTAAGTGAACTTGATGTCTATAAAATGCATAGCAATGTAGGTCTCCAAATTTTCTCAAATGATCATTTCCTCTCTTCCTTTGTATGTTTTTGCTGTTGTTCCTAACATTGCCAGTGCATTATACTGGTCATTTGATTCCCAGTTCTACCTTTAAGGATGTCTTAGTCCTTTATCCATAATAACAACACATTGCTTTGGAAAATAGGCTCAGGCAATTGCACTCAACTGAGTGTTCTTTTCTCTTCAAATCTCTTTGCAGTATGACATTATGCTTGTTGTGACATTCAGATCTCGATCTCGTGTTGTCTATTTAAGCACACTAACCGAATGATACTGTTTAAGAAAGCTTCAATTTGTATACACATTATTTAGATTGACATGCATGACCTCTTTGCATAAAGTGTCCTCATACTTAGACCTAAGTTCTTTTTCTACAAAATTTACTTATGAGAATGCTAGCTGAGTTTTTTTTTAATCAAGGTAATACATAGATAGCAGGTGAGATTATTCATTATTATTGTCTACCTGAGGTAAGGAGTATACATGAGTGGAAACTTTGCTGGGTTTATACTCTACACACATGCTTAATTAAAGTAATGAATTTACACATAAAAGTACTCTCAATTTCTAGGTTATTATGCCTATTCGTTATGATATTCACTTGAATGTGTCTTTTTTTGGAGGGTGGGGCTATGGTTGAGTTTGAACTCAGGGCCTTATACTTGCTTGGCAGAAACTCTACTACTTGAGCCACACCACCAGCCCTTTTTACTTTAGTTATTTTTCTGAGACGGTCTTGTGCTTTTTGCCTAGGGCCTACCTTAGACCACAATCCTCCTACCTATGACTTCTGCAGAACTAGGATTACAGGCATGTACCTACTGCACACAGCTTGCTTGTTGAGATAGGATCTTGCTAACTTTTTGCCTGGGCTAACCTCAACCTGTGATCCTTCCAATCTCCACCTCCCAAGTAGCTGGTATTATAAGTATACACCAGTACACCCAGCCCCCTTGAATATTTCTTAAGAGAAGAATTTCAAGGAAACAGAATAGTGTCACATGTGTGAAACAGCTTTTTTCCTTCTGTGATAAGCATTTCAGAATGAAAGAAAGGTGAAAACTTAGCTTATTAATTAAATGAAGCAACATACTTTTTACATTTAGATGTACCTAGGCTACAGGGAGATTTAAAAGGAAAGACAAAGGGAAAAAAACATCATTATCAGTCAGACTGAGAATTCATATTAGAAAATTCAAATTTATTTAGATTCAGTTTTAAAAGAGAAATTGGCCTGATAATGATGCTGTACCTTGGTTTAGGTGTTTAGCTCAGTGATAGAGCACTTGTCTAGTATCTGTTTCTAAATGGTGCCATATCAACAGCAGACAAAAGAGCTTGAGCAGTAAGGACCTTTTTGTTCCACCTAAAGAACCATTGCAAGTCTTCATAAAACGAATATACTTACTGTTTTTATTTACCAAACTTAATATAGTTCAAAACAAAATACAAAGACCATAATAATTTCAATTGTCTAGTGATAATAAATGTCCAAGGGACAGTGTGTCAATTTAATTGTATGCGTATCATCTATGAGTGTTATTAGTATGACCACTTCATTTACCACCATCTTGGAAAAATTTGAAATCATGGCCTAGCTAGGTATTAATTATCAATTTTCTGAGTTAATACTTTTCAAAAAATGGAAAGTACTTACATCTATTTCAAAGCCTCATATTTTCAGCAGAAAATCTCTGAACTTTGGCTTCCAAATTTTTAAAAATATGGAATATTTCCAGTTGTATTAATGTTTTGAAAATGATTTAGATTTGTTCTTTCACATCATGCTGGGAAAAGTCAGTGTGGAAGGGTGCTTGTTGTTACAACTCCCTGGATATTGTACTCCTCCCAGAACCTCATTGCCACACGTCCACCAGCATTTCACCTTGCCGCAGAGGATGCTGGTGCACAGTAACCTAGCTTCCCTATACCAGTTAGGAAAATGAGACTCATTCTGTCTTGTACCCTTGTTATATGGAAATAAATCATTATGTGTACACCATGTTTGCTAAACTTTTGCTCATGTTGATAAGTTACCACTGTGTACCAGACACTGTATTTAAACACTTCCCTTATTTGAGATCAAATCTGTTTTCTCCATTTCCCATCTAAAGAGGCAGAAGCTTAGAGAGGGATAAATGAATTTTCCCTAGAAGCATACACAGTACAATAGAAGAGCCAGTCCTTGAAGTTCTACTGACCATAAAGGCCATGTTTTAATCAGCCTTGCCTAGATAAATACTAGAAAGTCTGTTCTTCAATATGTGTTTTTAAAATTTTATGTTTACAGTTCATTATGAGCTATAGATTATACTGATATACAGATTGGTTATTTTTCCTCTTTTCATGAGGTAATTTTTAACATATAGCAGTAATTTGAAGGGAAAAAAAGAAGATTTCTTAAACATTATGATTCAAGTCTCCAATTAACTAGACTAATTCTCCAGAGATACAAATACACTTACCCACATTTTAACTTGAGCATGTCTGTGAGCATTATTTTTAACAACTCTGGGTTTTTGTTTTTCCTGAAGCATAGTTTTTTCACTAACATTTGGAATTTAAAATAATCTGACACATTAAATTATTTTGATAAATTTTAAACTAGCAAAATTATTTTACATACAAATTACTTCATCTTTTATTTTAATAAAGTAGAATGATTGCAGAAATAAAAGTTACAAGTTTTCCTATGTTACCATGTACTTTGTGTATGGGGGTAGGGACATGGGAGAGGGGAGTGCATATAGAATTTTTTTTTTACTGTTCTATAATTGATTTTTTTGTTTCAAAGTTAGTTTTATAGTTTTTAGAATCAATAAGCACTTTGGCAATGAGAGTCCAGTAAACTAAGATGGAGAATGATACCTGTGACTGCTTTCTTTAACAGTATTACATTCCTACAATAACATTTATTTATTAAAAAGAATATTCCATATTTTCATTCTTTCCTTGTTGTTATCAAAAGCATTTGTTTTATGTCCCATAACTCCTGACTGTCTTACACATCAGAGACATTCAGAAAGCATTTATTAACTCTAGATAACTAAAATTATCATCTGTTAACTCATCCATAAAATGAGATGTCCAATAAATGTTATCTGCTGGTGTTATTGCCTTTTGATGTAGAAACTTAATATTTCTTGTGCCCCAAAGAAGATGTGAAAAAAGTTAACAGTTTGAGAGAAAGCAGTCTATTCAGTGTGGAATGAGTTGCAGGTAGTTGCAGGTAGAAATGAAGTTTCCTAGCTACTTTTTGGTTTTCTTCTAAAGCATAACTTTATTATTTGTTTTGAGATTAATTTCTATTATAGTTAGACTGTATACAAATGTTCATGTGAATGTCAGCTTAAAAGCCAGGTTTGCTGATAAGAATTAGAAATAATCTCTATCCTACATTATAATAGCACAACACTTTTCATTTCTTGTTTGACTGCCTGCTTGAAAGTCTGAGGGTGGAGCAATTTACTGTGTTTTAATCTCTCTGGTAGTATCTAGGTCAGTTTAATTCTACTTCCAACAAGCTTTGTGACACAAACTTGCTAAGATCCTTATAGCTGAGCCCTGGCAGCTCACACCTATAATCCTAGCTACTCAGGAGGCAGAGATTAGGAGGATCACAGTTTGAGGCCAGCTCAGGAAAAGAATTTGAGAGACCCTATCTTGAAAATACCCAACACAAAAAAGAGCTGGTATAGTGGCTCAAGTGGGAGAGTGCCTGCCTAGCAAGCGAGAGGCCCTGGGTTCAAACCCCAGTGCTACCAAAAAAAGGAAAAGAAAAATTGTATAATGACTTTAAGCAAAGGTTTTAGGAAATCAGGTCACCTGCTAATTTATATATTTAAATTACATAAAGTTTTTTACACTTGAATCTATAGCATCTGTCACAATGACCAATAGACATTTATTTTAGTTTTGGTTCAAACATCTCCAATATCCCTACAAATCCTTAGCATTTTGGTACCAGACCTGCATATGTATTCACTCAGCAGAGCCCTCTGCCCTGTGATGTAAAAGTCTTGACCTAGATTCTTTTGCTTCTTCAGCAGCAATTTCTCCATCAACCTTTCACTTCATCCTAGAATTTAAACCAAGGAGAGTACTGAAGTTGTTTATAAGACAGTTTGTCCTAGTGCGTTTGTTTGCTTTCTCCTTTTTACCTCCATCTTCCCCCACCTCCATATTGGCTAGTTAGTTTATTATACCTTTTATTACCATTTTTCCTCAGATGAGTTATTCATTCTTCTGTTTGTTCTCCTGCTTTTATGAAGAATATATACATTTATTGGAATATCACACTGAACTCCATTAATATGTATAATTATTGCATATTAATATTAATAATTTACTAATTTAATGCAAAGAACATATGACCACTGATTCTAAAGGGTTTCCAGAATATTATAGGAGGCAGCCATGCTTTAAAAAATTGATGGTATATTTTAAGTGCTGCAGAAGCAATATTCAC